CGAAGAGTGTAAGCAAACTTTTGGGGGATGCTGTTGATGGTCTGGCCGTAGGTCTTGTCGGCCCAGCCGGCGTAGTAACGGATGACGGTGACACACTCTGAGAGGTCAATCTCGAGGGCATCAGCGTACGTCTTGCCTGTAGATTGCGTCAGTTCTCCATTTGGCCCAGGGGTGGACTGAAAGTGGAAGACGGTGAACATACCATTATCCCATGCATCGATGGTAGCAAGAGTCTCCTTGTGCTGCTCAATCAGATCGGCAAGCTTGTACATGAGTTGACCACGATCCGTGGCCGAAATGCCCTTCCAGGACTCATGTCTCAGGGCGGTGTGTGCGGCCTTGACGGCCTTGTCAATGTCCTCGACCTCAGCAGCCTGGACGGACGCAATCTTTTCTTCGGTGCTGATAGTTGGGGTTGTCAGCTTCATTGAAGTTACATATGATACGATACCCCCCTCAGAATGCGAGGAATGAGGGGCTGAGTAGCACTCACGCAGGGTCTATGGAGTCAATGACTTCGCCCTTGGCAGACTTGACAAACTCATTGTTGATGAAGAGCCCGGTCGGCTGGGTGTACTTGACACCATTAGGCGCCGTCAGCTCAACAGAGAGATCGGACATTGCGGGGGTGTTGTTTGATTGACGATGGTGAGGGGTCGATGAGAAGAAGTGACGCGCTGGTTGTAGTCTTGCGCGTGTCCTTTTCGCGTGAGTGTCAAGGTGGCGCTGCCGGATCAGAGGGGTATCACAGAATCGAAACCAAGAAGAAAAAGTAGAAGTTGAGATGGGTTTGATAGGCAAAGAAGAATTGCGAGCGATACGCAGACGAAGGGAAGGAGAGGAGAGCATCTTTTTCTATTGCTCTGTGCAAGGTGCCGGCGGCCATTCGAAGGCCGACGATAGGAGCTTCCCGTCGGGTTCAATTGGAGGGGGGGTCGTTGATGGGTGAACACAACGCATCGGAGCGAGCTTCCAGTCCAATCGAAGGCCGCCGTAGCTACTCCGCATTTACTTACTGCATTCGGTCCACTGGAGCATCCACTGTAGGCTGTAGCATTGCTGCACAGTAGAGCATTGAAGCCCCCACGGCGCGGGGATATGACGTGCGGAACCGCTCTGCCGTGTTTCCCATCGGCGATAAGACGCCTGTGGACTCCGTGGAGTGGTGGAGAACCACACAATGGCACCCACAATGCGGGGATGGAGTCGTGGGCTTTTCGGGGATGCACAAGCCTGTTAACCAACACCAGTATCCAGGCCGCATGCTGGCGCCGACAGAGTGGTTTTAGACTTTTTCCAAGCATCATGTGCTGGACAAAAGGGATTCAATTGCGGACCCTCGATACTGAAATAAGGCTGAAGAGAGGCAGTGTCCAAGGAGCCCGCTGCAAATTTCGGCTTTTACCAGCTTGACCACTTCCCTCCGTCCGATAAAGGCGATATTCGAGACTCTTCACAGTGATGTTTCCCTTCTCGCCGACGGGTGAGCATACCTTAGGCAACGCAGGTAGCTTTCGGGACGTTCAAGATTTGTTAGTGCTTCCTTGTAGGATACAATTATCAAGACTCTACCTACCATGGGGCATTTACGTTTATGTAATTGCCCTCACCATAGGTCTAGAATTAGCTGGCCCTTGGATTCAAATGCAATCACATCTGCAAAGCATGCCAGTTTTTTACCGCAAACGCACTAGCTCAACTTCCGTGCTTGGAGTAGACGGTGGGCCCTGTCGAACCGGGCCGGCCCCGCCCCGCCGTCCTAGGGGACTAGCTGCGTCCGGCCCGGTCAGGACTCAGTAGAATCACGGATGGAATTTAAACCACAATGACAACACAAAACTTACTTGGTACGAACGACAGTAAATCGTCACGTAGCGGTAGCCAAACCAACGACATCGGCCCCTTCAGCCGCGCCCGAGCCCTTGTTATGGCGCCCGGCGGCATGGTATATCTTCGGGACGGGACGGGCCACGGGTTCCTCTGTCGGCCGCGACTCTTATTTCACCGAGACCTCGTCCACTCCACTAGAGATAGGCTCTGGATGGACTTCCACCGTGTCAATACTGTCGAGGAGGAGAGAAGCTTTATGTCCCGAACATGTAATGTAATTAAACTTGATTATGTTTCCACCAAACACATACTCATGAAGCATAAGATCTACAGCTATCCAGGAGCTATTCTAGGAAGTCCCAACTTTCCCGCCTTCCGAGTCTGACCACACCAAGTCTATTCCTCGTAGATGTTGGAGTCACTGTCCAATGTTAGCCCCCAATCGTTTCTTCCGCCAGGTTATGAAGTACTCACAATTCTTCGTTGAACTTGTCTCTGCCGTCGGCATTCTTGTTGACAAAGATGCTCACAGATGTACCAGAGCAGACGAACTCGCCGAACCCGTCGTCGCCAATGGTGACCTCCTTGTCGTTCCAACCCAGAACATCGGTCCAGACCTCGCCCGCGTGCATCTCACCGACATGCATACGCTTGGATCCTGGTCCAGCGTTGCTGGCCACCACAGCGCAGCCGTAGGGGCGGTCCCAGGTACCGTACTTGACCCAGCCCAGGCACGTCGCGTAGTCAAAGTAGTCGGCCTGCTTACCGTAGGCGTAGAGCTTCCTGGCAAGTGTCATCTTGGGCACGGCACCACCGCACGAAGGCGGGAAGGGGTGCTCGCCCTTGATGCCGTAGATGTCGCCGTACCAGACGCAGGGGTATCCGTCGGTCCGGAGGAGGATGAGAGCGTAGGCGATGGGCTTGAACCAGCCCTCGATCGGGGCCTCCAGGGCCTGGTAGGGTTGGGTATCGTGGTTCATGACCAACGTCTGCATGCAATCAGAGGCCGGCTTGATCAAAAGAGTAGGGATGCGGGAAAGAATTTGGTGAACGTACCACTGCGTTGATGGGCTCTTTCTGCACAAGTGTGCCGTCAAAGACCTTCCTCATGTCGGCGCCGTTGCCCTTGCTGATCTCGCTAAAGTTGTAGACCAGGGGCGCGTCGAAGAGGGTGAACTGTCTGCCCATACGCTGCAGGTATTCGGACATGTCGTCGAGACTGTCCTTCCAGAACTCGCCGACAAAGAACCAGCCCTTGCCGTACTCCTTGTCCAGCTCGGTGATGAATTGACGCAAGAAGTCCTCACTATAGTGCTTGATGGCGTCAAAACGGATTCCCTGGAGCGGCACCTCCTGAGCCAACCACTTGCCCCAGTTCAGGACGTCCTTGACAACCTCGGGGTGGTCGTAGTCGAGATCAGAACCCATCAGGAAGTCGCTTCACACGATTAGCATGGTCCATATTCCGACCAACGGGCCCCTTGATCTTACTAGTTGCCCTTCTCGTCATCGACACTCTCCGCCCATTGCTGGTCACCCTTGTCTCCCAGGATCTTGTAGATTGCCGTCTTCTCGTTCCGGGCATTGTAGTCAACACCGCTGAAATGGTACCAATGGTACTTCTGCTCGCTGTACTTGCCCTTGCGACCGGGGAAGTCGTAGCCGACCCAGGCGTCGATCTCGTACTTGTCGCTGACGAACTTCGTGCGATCGTTGGAGTCGACCTCGGCAGCAAGACACTTCTCCTTGCGGTCGGCCGCGAACTTGTGGTTGAGGACGGCGTCCCAGTAGATGCCGACACCATTGTCCTTGGCGGTGTGCGCCAGCTTCAGGAGCTCTTCTTTGGTGCCCCACTTCGTCGCGACGGAGCCTTTTTGGTCAAACTCGCCCAAGTCGTAGCTTTGGGGATTATCAGTAAGATGCGCCAGGGTGTCAAGGAAAGGATCGTAAAATTTACAGATCGTAGATGTCGTAACCGTTTCCAGTCTTTGATGATCCCTTACACCTAGATTAGGGGTCAATTGGGTTGGCCTTATCCTTCGCGATTCAATTGAGGTTGTCTTACCCTGGCGGGACCCAGATGTTGTCTACGCCGAAGCGCTTGAGCTGGGGAACGTGCTTTTCGAGGCGGACCCAGTGCTTCTGATCCGCAGGCACATACCACTCGAAGCCCTGCATCATCGTGTGGTTCTCGGGGGTCGGTTCCTGGTCTCCCATAATGGGCGATTGTGCCGTTGCGGCTGACGGCTAGGCGAGTGGATGGAGGGGTTGGAGGGGTCGAGGAGGGGTAAAACAGGGATGAAATGGCGATGAGGATTTTGGGGAAAACGAAAGATGGAGGAGAAAGAAGAGAGGTAGGACCGGGCAAGACGTCAGGCTGGAAGAAAAGAGTTAAGTTCCATATGATATACCTGACGCGCTGGACTACCGAATTCCAAGCTATAGAATGCACGCGCCTTCCTCTCCTGCCGGTTGGTTCACCAACAGAATCTTACAAGGCATCGTACTTGCTCCTCATGCAACACCAAACGCAGGTTGACGCGGCGACGGCGAGCAAATCAAATCGTCGAATCGCGGCATTCCATACGGTAGCTCGAACTCATGGCCAGACAAAACCACATGCGCTCTCTGCGACAACAAAGGCCTGTTCCTCCGAGTGCTCCCCCTAACCTGGAAAATGGCGCGACGCTAGCAGGATGCCATCAATCCATGGACGGCTGGCCCTTCAATCTGTTGGGACTGGCGTCGAATCGCAGCGGAATTCCAGGCGTCTTCTGCCTTGGATTTTCCAACTTGACAGGGAAGTTTGACGTCATGCCGCAGCTGGCGTCCCAGATAAGCCCGCAGATGCACGGCGCTTGCGTTCAATTGCTTTGTGTTTGAAAGGTCTAGACCATCCTGCCAGAGTTCAATGGCGTGGAAAAGGCACTACGAGCATGCTGACTACTCACACCGAGGTGAGCTTCGGTGACCCGCCCACTCTGGGCCCTCACCTCGATCGGAGGCAACTCTGGTCTTCAGCCAGGGCCGGAAGGGGAAGGTTGAAAGAAGCACCTCCATGCGTACCTTTTCAGTCCTTAGATTACTGAGTACAGATGGAAGCACTGAAACCAGGGTGTCGAAATGTACAAGCTGTCAAGAGCCAATATTCAAGATTGGTGAGCTCAGAGCTCATCAGAAGCAATCATTGCGCTAACGCATCATTCCCTACCAACGTAGGTAGTCAACATGTGTCCAACCCATACTGTGAGACCCATCATCGTCGGCCATTCCCATTGTAAGCAACAAGATTAGGACTCCCAACACCAGCATACGCAAGAATATCCTTCGTAGCAAGTTCCTTGATGCGAGATCCAATAGCCACAGGCAGAGCGGAACCCTCCAAGCCCTTGAGATACAACGCCAGACCGGAATATGTGCTGTGGACATTGATGTTCCCGACAGAAGTTCAGTCCCATCTTGGTACAACGAAGTTGATTGAACCTGCACCCCCAGCCGCAAAGACATCCACAAAAGGCCCAAAGTTGGACCACGTGGCGCAAGTGCTGATGATATCAATAGCACCAACGGTGAAGGCAGTCGGTGCGCTCGCTGGAGACCTCGTTGAGGCATCCTTGCCGTCATTCCCTGCACCGACGACTACAAATACACCCAGGCTTGTAGCTGCGTCGACGGCATTATTCAGTGTTGTAGATGTAGCAGTCGCTCAAGTTTCAAATCAGCTGTGAGTGTCTTCATCGGAGGACGCAATGACATACCTAGGCTCATGCTGATAACGGACTTGCCAGCCCTACAGGGGTGTTGGTGATATTTTGGACAGACCACTCCAGCGCCTCAATAATCTTGGCTACCGTGCTGTAAGCAACCCTGGCCGTTTTCACGTCGACTATGGTTATATTTTTGGCGACGCCGAATCGCAACGATCCGATGGTACCAGCCACGTGCGTGCCATGGCCAAAGTCATCGTCAAAAGCAACTTCGGGCCAGGCATTGATGCCCTTGATCGCGCGTCCCTGGAAATCAGGATGGGAAATACGAATTCCGGAATCAAGAGCGTAGGCAAAAGTGCCTGTTCCGGCACTCGTGTCGTAGATATACGTTTGGTGATCGACATCAACGCTGGAGAGTTTCGTACGAGATGAGAGGCTGGCTAAACCCCAAGGCTGGTCACCGACCTCCGTCAAGGCTGTCAATGAGGCTTCACTGTCAGGCTCAAGTGAATTGACCTGGAAGGCACAGTCTGCGTGTCAATTGCCGATACATTGTGTCTCCTCACATTCGGGAAAACATACCTCATCTTTAGCTTCAATCTCGGCTAACAGCTCCTCGTCGAATTCGCCAGTGTAGGCATGGAAGTTTCCAATTTCAAATGTCTTTTCGACATCAATGGTCTGACGGTGATGTAAGCTCAGTCTGTTAGTACTATGGATCCAGTCAAAGTGCTGCTCTACATCGCGTTTGTCGATGCCAGATTTAAGAGTGACTATTCATCGGCCAGGGATGGCACCCGTGCTCTACTGTTGCTGAGGATGAGGCGCGGCAGCTCCTGGTGCAACAAGAGAGGCGATTGCGATGCCTAGAACACAGGTCGCCTTCATTGTGAAGCTCATGGCGATTGTCAGTTGCGAGATTGACACCGATATCCAGGAAGTTGGCCTTAAGGATCAGGATCTCGTACATGGTCAAAAGCCTTTAATATCCTTCTTTTCCTGTGGTGTTCATCTCATGTTATGTCGCTCCACTTCTGTGTCAGACTATTTGGTTTTAGCAAGCGCCGAAACGAGATGTCCTCATTTGTTTAACAGTCAAGCTGCTCTTCGTGGAAGACACGCCGCGGGGAGTGTTACGGTGCCAGGTTCTGTTAGTGGGGGAAACGCGTTGCCAAGTTCTTGGAAAGGAAGATGTCCATCAGACGATAGGGATCTAATACAACTGTGGAAGCCTGGCTTGCAACCATGAATCTTACGCGAATAGTCTAAAGCATTATAAAAGCAGATGAAGGCTCAAGATTGCGGAAGTTGCGGAGACTACGAGCCGTGTACAGAGAAGTCGATTAGGCTTCCCTTAGTTGTAGATGGACCGTCCAACACGTGACCCAAAGTATGACGATAAAACCGATTTCCTTCTGAAGTTGAACAGGTGCGGTGAATCGCTAGATCATTCATACTACAATTTATTATTTGTGATCTGTCGGATGGTTTTGGTGGAATTGGGAGGTCGGCATCCTAGGTAATTGCCACAAAGATATTGGTTCATTCAAGATGAAATATGGCGAAGTGGAGGGGATTGGATTTAAGAGGAAAATCAATAGACCCAGATTCATATGAGTGCTACATCTCATGTAACTCCGTTAATTCACTCAGGATCTTAGACACACAATTTTTAGAATATTGCCCTCAATCAATTCAAGTTAAACCCCAAAATGGTGTTTTGACGGACACCGGCAAACTTGCAGGCGCAGACATACACCAAGAACCTTGAGTGTCGCCCCAAAACTAGCCAGCATCATTCGCCATCAAGTAAATGCAGAGATAAGATCGGATCTCTACCGAGAAGCACCATTATTCGGTCTGCAAGCCGACAAGAAGCCAAGGTGACCAAGTGAATCGACCAGAGTAGTGCTAGAACAAACCAAAGACGTTTGGGCCGACAGCTCGGACTTCGACTCCGAAAGCGGGCGCGTGAGATCTGTTAGAGTGCGGAGTGGACCCCGGGTGGATCATCCGAGATGTGCTTATCATCAGCCATTCTCGGATTGCGGGCCGGCATCGCTGCACCGCATCAGCATCTAAGCAGCAAAAAGATTGAAGATTGAAGTGAGAGCGTAGTTTTTTCTATGAGAGCCAAGTTTCAGCTTATCTTTTGTCCACATCATTGATAGGTGATGAGCCATTATCCTCCGCCGGCGATGTAGGCCTCACGGCATCGTGTCGGGTAGCAAGCCGACGACGGAGGCGAAGAACACTATTCATGACTTCGGCAAGCCGGACATAAAGACTGGTTCACGATGGACGAAATTGAATCCATTACTAGAACATTGATCTTGACTTGAGCCAATATTTAACATATTTCATTAAACTTCCGACGACCAGTCACCTCAGATATCTACCCACCCAGTACTTAAGTACCTCCTTAAACAAAATGCAGAAAATCAAGCCCGTTGGCTGGGTAAGTGAACCAGGCAAGATAATGTCCAGGTTCCTAGACAAAGATACTAATTGAGAACTAGTTCGGCCTTGGATCAATGGGGTTGCCCATGGCCGTCAACCTGCAAAAGAAGCTTCAATCTCACGGAGCCAACTTGACATTCTCGAACCGCACTGTGTCAAAGGGAGCCGCACTGGTGGAAGCTGGAGCTGTCGCAAAGAATAATATCGTAGAGGTGGCACAAATATGCGATGATATTTTTACCATGGTCAGTCTCGCCCATTGATTTGAAATCAGGCCACTTCCCTGGGACCTTTGCCTAACCATCAAACCAGGTCTCGGCGGATGCGGTTCTTCAGTCATTAGTTGAGGAACTCCTCGCAAGCGGTATCGATCTCAGCGGCAAGACATTCATCGACTGCTCCACAATACACCCCAACACGGCGGGATCCGTATCAGAGACCTTGCAAAAAGCCGGCGCCACCTTTATCGCTGCTCCGGTCTTTGGCGCCAACCCAGTGGCCCAGGCCGGAAGACTCATCTTCGCCATGGCCGGCCCCACTGCCACCATTGAGCGTCTCGAGCCCCTGGTAGTTGATGTTATGGGAAGAAAAGTCATCAACATGGGCGAAGACGTCAAGAAGGCCCCCATGTTGAAGGTTACAGGGTACGTACCGTCAGGAAGTATGCGTGACCACACGAAGATCGCTAACATACGCTTTGCAGGAACGTGCTTCTCGTCGTATTCCTCGAGGCCATTGCCGAGACTCAAGTACTGGCCGAACAGAACGGTATCGGAAGTAACGTAATGGAAGACCTTATCTTTGAAAACTTCGGCCCGGTCTTGGGGAGCTACTCGCGCAGACTTACCAGCGGTTCATGGGCTCCCAAGGAGGGCACGGCTGGATTCATGGTGTCGAACACCATCAAGGACGCGAAACATGCGCTGAGGGTCGCCAACGACCTCGGAGTGAGGATGCCGGCGCTGGATATTGCGACGAACAACATGCTCAGCGCCAGAGCGTACGGAGGCGAGAACCTGGATGGCGCAGCATTGTATGGAACCCTTAGAGCTCAATCTGGTCTTCCGTTCTGGTCTGAGAACAGTCGTCAAGAGTAAGGAACTGGTTTGGAACGAGCGCTTAGATGTTGATTTTATAGATAATAGACAGGAGCAGATCCTTTAGGCATAAGATGCTACGGATGCGGCGGAGGGAACGGGATACGCATGGATAGATTATGACAATATACAAACAGCAGCCTTGAATTAACTTTCTATCAGATGATATCACAAAACCCACGACTATATTCTTCGCTGTAAAGTCAGTATTCTCCTTCTTTATGCATATGCGAAGAAACCAGCCACGGTTCGGCGGGCCCCAGCCACTTGGCTAGAGTCAAGGCCCAGGGTTTCTCATGGGCTTCGCTAGCGGACCAGACATATCTGGGGCGTGCAAATCCTCAAGAGAATCCCACATGACAGCTTGGTTAAAGATAAGGCCTCCAAGGCTAGACAGTTCTTGACTGAATTTCACCATGTTCCAAGCGAATTGCGAAATCGGCATCCACTCATTATAAATACAACGCTCATCTCCCAGACAAAGTTGCCAAGATGCAGTACCAAGACTACCAAGCAACCGCTAGTTGCTACCTGTGGTCTTTTCATTGCAGACTTATCGCAGAAACAGCACGTCTTTCTCTTGGTAAATTGCATCATCATCTTAATTTCGCTCACATTTGATCTTTTGTCGCTTTTTCTCACAGATATCCTCGGGGCCCGAATCGTTCATTTGCTGATGACGAGAAAGAAGCACTGCCACGGCCAAGAATCACCAAGGAAAAGAATTTCAATTGAATCAGCAGTGAGATTCAGGTTGGCTAGGACTGGACGTGGGCTCGTTGGCATTTGGCGATGAAGTACGGAGCTGTTAGTGTTGGGAATACTTGGCAATGTCTTCCCCTTGCATTTTCGTCATTGTTGCAATAAGGCCCGGTTGAAAGGATCGAATATCACGCAAAATCATCTGCCAACCAAGGTCGAAACATCCAAGTGAACAACGCAAGAATATTGCGCGAAAAGATAGCACTAGTGTAAAGTCACTGTTGATATAAGGTAGATGGTCTTGACATGCTCATCCTCAAATATTCTCGGCCCCCTTGATTTGGAGAACATGAGCCTTTGCCCGCCCTGACCCGCCAAGAGATATCACCTCTCCTGCGAAGCATATGCATCCAAGGATGTCTGAGAAGCAAATCATCGACCAATCCTCGGCCACGGCCTCGGAGTCAGAGAGCAAGAAAGATTCCGACACTATCAAACTCGATGCAACAGACGAGGAAATCGAGCAAACAAAGAATCGCATCCTTCGTGAGCAAGCCGATCTTCGTCAGCAAGATACCCCCATCATCCCGATTCTGTCCCTTTTCAAAAAGAAGAATGGCTACGATCCCAGTGCCATAGCGACACAGCCATCTGTCTATGACCACCCATCCACAGCGAAGTTCTTCCAGCCACATCCGAAGTATGAGAACCTGCATCGGTTCGACCCGACCTTTCGATGGAGTTGGGGCGAGGAGCTGCCTCTCATCACTAAGATGGATTGGCGCGTGACACTATGGGCGTGTCTTGGTACGTGTGTCATGGCATTGAATCCTCATGCAAGGTCTCTGACGTTGCTGCAGCGTTCTTCGCTCTCGATCTGCCTCGAGGCAACCTGAGTCAAGCCAACTCTGCCTCCTTCCTCGAAAACCTCGGCATGAACACCAACGACTACAACCTGGGCAACACGGTCTTCCAGATTTCTTTCCTCTGCGCAGAATTACCGTCGCAGATGGTCAGCAAGAAGCTCGGCCCGGACCGCTGGATTCCGTTCATCATGTGTTCCTGGAGTTTGGTCTCGGGATGTCAATTCTGGCTTAGCGGTCGAACCTCTTTTCTTGTTTGTCGTGCACTATTGGGTGTCCTTCAGGGTGGTTTCATTCCTGATGTGGTCTTGTACCTCACGTACTTCTTCAAGTCAACCGAGCTACCCTTCAGGCTTGCGATGTTCTGGACTGTTCGTCGAATCACGGATATCGTGGCACCCTTGTTGGCGCTTGGTGTTCTTCGCATGGATGGAATCAACGGCTACGAGGGCTGGAGATGGCTTTTCTTGATCGAAGGGATCATTACTCTGTCAATCAGTGTCTGGTCCTGGTTTGCAATGGCGGCTTCGCCAACGCAGACAAAGGCTTGGTGGCGGCCTAAGGGCTGGTTTAACGAACAGGAGGAGAAGATCCTGGTCAATCGAATCCTTCGAGATGACCCTTCGAAGTGCGACATGCACAATCGACAGGCAATCACGCCCAAGCTGCTTCTCAAGTCTCTTGCTGACTGGGAGCTTTGGCCCATCTACATCTTTGGTCTCCTCTGGGAAATCCCGTCTGGCCCTCCCGACCAATATCTCACGTTGACCCTTCGCAATCTCGGGTTTAACACGAACGATACTAATCTGCTGAGTATTCCGCCTCAATTCTTGGGAGCCATCTTCATGTTGATCATGACATATTTATCCGAGATATGGGACACGAGAGCGCTTTTCGGTGCGTTCACGCAGTTGTGGTACCTCCCGAATCTCATTGGCATGGCTGTTCTGCCGGCGGATGCCAGTCCCTGGGCCCAGTACGCTGTTGTCACTGTTCTCTTGTCCTATCCATCTCGTAAGTTTCGGTGCTTGCTGTTGAAAACCAAGCAATAACTCAATCTGACATTACTAGCGCATGCCATGCACGTCTCTTGGGCGTCTCGCAACTCTCACTCTGTTCGAACTAGGGCAGTCTCCGCGGCTTTGTACAAGTAGGTCGAAGCATGGTCACATATAAAAAGTCTCAAGCTCATAGGTCGTCAGCATGATGGTTCAGCTTGCCCGCGTTATCTACTCCAACATCTACCGGGAGGACGACCGGCCTCAATGTGAGCATAATTCATGGCACAACCCCATACTTGTCGCAGTCTGACAGAAGAAACCTCTGATTTGGAAGACCGACGTGGAAACCGAGTTCTCATTGGAATTTGCTGCATGAACATTTGCGTCTATCTTATCGCTAAGGTATTCTACATGTGGTGCAACAAGAAGAGAGAAAAAGAATGGAACGCAATGACAGAAGAAGTAAGTCGTGCCAGGGCCTTTATGAGCCCCAGAGCTGATAGCGAGTTACAGGAGAAGATTCACTACCTCGAGACGACAAAGGACCAGGGTAGTAGCCGCAAGGACATTCGATTTAAACACTAGGTCATACGGGCTTCTGGGACTGAGCTCGGCCTTCGATACCAGCCACGGATCATGTCAGCATCAAAGTCACCCTTGTTTCTTCCACGACTGAACGCCACTGGCTCGTTACACGACCATCAGACGTGGGCCCTCGTTTCCACACTTCATACACAACTTGAGTCCCCGTTCTAACAGCTTTGATACCATAAACCGCAACTTTCTCATACCAGCAGCGAAATCGGTCTTGGAGATGCTGGTCATGGGCTTCCGTTGCCGCCATGAAAGCCGGCCAGAACAGGGGTGCAGCGAGTAGCTTAGTTTCGGTCTTGATGGCTTCTATAGCCTCAATATCATGTAGGATCTCTGCCACATACTGACGGAGATATCGATGACTAAGTAGTCTGACATTCTGGGAGAAGTAAATGATGAGGGCGTTATGAAATGAACGGGTTTGGTAGTAAATGATGTCGAAGCTCGTGCCAATGTTGGAGTCGCGATACTGGGAGAGCTCCAAGTCGAGTGGCCAATCGAAAATATCCTTTTCAACATCATCGCACATTCTCTCCAAGTCTCTCGGTATCGTTGTGATAACGTGTTTGTTCCTCGCAGCATCGACCTTGTCGATCAGATCGATGGTTCTTTGAAGAAGGACTAACAAGCTCTGGGGAATGCCATAGATGCACTCATATGAAGCCATTTCGTGTGCTGCTTGCGCAGGTCCACAGCTCGTAGACGTTGTATTCTCATATGGGATTACGATGGAGGAAGAGACTCCCCGACTTAGTGACTGAGGTACCTCGGTAGTATCGTCTCCAGATGAAGGCGAAGAGCGACTGGATGATGTTGTTGTTGTTGTTGTATTTAACGCCGTGGCGGCCGGGCTAGAGCCCTTACCGCAGACCTCCCGAAGGGTATATGGCGTGGAGGGCCGTGAGCCAAGGCTACCTACTCTACAGTACGTCGTCTCTTTACATCGTCCTCCAAATCATGCCTTGTGGCCACTACGCGTTCTGTCTGTCCCCGGTTCCCGCTGGTGCCCCAGTTTCATTCTTTCCCAAATCGTCCCTTGGAATCGGGAGGTTCTTTGTAGTCCGCACTCACATCTACGTAGGTGTGGATGCTGCTACCGCAGACAGATCTTCTGGAAGAAGTCCGTCACGCGGAGAAAGGCCTCGAAGCCTCGTGGGTCGGTGATTAATCTCTTGAAGTAGGCCTCGAGAGATCCCATAGGGCCTATGGGCTCGGGCATACTGCGAGAGTGGAGGGTCGGCCACCGTTGCCTCCTCGCCAGCGTTAGTCGACAGTAGACCAGGTGGTCCACGTCTTTCGCCTCTCCACAAGAGCACATCATTAGAGCGTCGTCGTGGTTGAAACGTCGGTGATATTGCTCGAAGTCCCCGTGACCCGATCGTGCCGCCAGCAGGTGATGTAACGTAGCCCGCGGCAAGGCCAGTTCAGGAGGGCTGGACAGAGCTGCCTCAAGCCCCAAGTCCGCGTACCGCGGCCTTCGCTCTTTATACCACCATCTCCTGTGCTGGCTTTGTAATTTTTCCCTTGCAAGCCGCTTGATGCCCGCTAGTGTTGCCATTTGACCCATCCGCGCCGGCAGTGTCGTTCCTTCTTTGGCCAGCCGGTCCGCGGCCTCGTTTCCTTCGATGCCCTGGTGTCCCGGGGACCAGTGCGTCCGTATATCAAATATCCTGGCCGCTTCTTGGATTTCGAGGAACGCGTCTTGTGACGAGTCCGGCGCCTTGCCGCGGATGCCTTGTATAACGCTGGTGTTGTCGATACATATGTGGATTGGATGACCGCGATTGGTGAGCAGAGCCCTTCTGAGGCCGGTTCGCGCCCCTTCGACCTCGGCGTCGAACACTTCTGCTAGTCCGAGTCGGCCGCACCCTTGTGCTATGCGTTTGGAGTCTCGGTAGATGACGAAGCCGTACCCCACGGCTCCGTTCGTCGCCCTGGAGCCGTCCGAGAAGACGATCATATGGCTTTCCGGTACTGTCTTTAGCCAGCGCTCGAAAGCTTTCGCAGCCTCTTCTTTGCATTGAACTACTATCTGATCCTGTGAGCTTGGCAGGTACTGTGATTGAAGGAACGCTGGTCTTCCGCATCTTGGCAGAAGTTCAGCCGTCCGTTGTAGTCTCGTCTGTTGCTGTCCCTGCTGGGAGAGCCGCGCGACTAGCGGGTGTCGGCGATCAATCCTCTGTAGTCGGACTGCGGCCCGTAAGCGGACGCCCTCTAAGGCGACTTTGGCTGACGGTAAGCCGGCGTCTCGGAGGAGGCTACTGGTTGGCGTTGTCCTCCAGACAGGCAGAACGGCCCTTGCTGCCGCTGTAATGACGCTGTCGATCTTCTGCACGAGCCCCTTTTGGCCTGTGTTGACGGGTCTTCCTTGGAGAGGCGGATTCGTGTCTGTCTCCGCTTGGCGTCTCGAAGCCGGCTTCGTGATACCTGCGTACCATGTTTCGGCGCCGAAGAGCGCGATCGGCAGTACGCAGGAGACGACGGCTTTTCGCACGGCGGCCGCTGGGAGTCCCCTCTTTGTGTTCGTAAGCTGTCTCAGATGTTGAGCTGCCCTCTTTGCTGCAGCTACTTTTGCGTCGACATGGTGCCGGAAGGACAGTCTCTTGTCGAACCAGACACCCAGCCAGCGTACAGGTTTCGTCGAGGCCTTGACCACCAAATCCCCCGCCCGGACCTCTGGCAGCTCCGCTGGCTGGCCGTGCTTCCTAGTAAAGTGGATGACCTCGCACTTGCTCGGGTCAAAGGAGACCTTGTTCTCCAAGCCCCATCTGAGAATGCCGGCTGCGCTTCGGTTGAGTATTGCGACGTTGCTCTCCAGGGAGGGGCTGATGGCCAGAGTGGCGATGTCGTCCGCGTACCCGAATCGCGCGTTCGGGTCGTCTTCAAGTATCTCTGCGATGTAGAGCAGAAAGGCAATGGGAGATAGTGGTGACCCCTGAGGCAGCCCGCATGACAGCGGGAAGTACTCCGTTGTGCTTTCTTCCAGTCGGACTCTAGCGGTGCGGTTGCAGCAGAAGCTAAAGATCAGTCTGGTCAGGCCATGTGGCCATCCCTGCTGACGCAGTCTAATGACGAGCCGGTTCCGAAGGACGGAGTCGAACGCCCCTTTTACGTCCATAGTCAGAAGTGTCGCCGTGAGTCCTTTTAGGAGGGCCATCTCGATGTCGTGGGTGAGGCAGGTCGTCAGATCGACGGCTGACCTGCCTTGTAGAGCCCCGATCTGTTGCGGACTGATGATGCGCTCGACAATCGCCAGGGACGCCATCCTTCTGGCTATCAGTCGCTCTAGTCCTTGCCCAGGCACGAGAGGAGCGCGATCGGCCGCCAGGACCCGGGCTTGGAGGCATCCCTGCCGGCCTTCTGGATCATGACCACCTCAGCTCTGCGGAAGGGCAGAGGAAAGTGGCCGGCCCGCATACAGGACTGGAATAGCTGCCTGACCGGTTCCGAGATGACATCCCAGCATGCCTGGAGGAGGCGTGTTGTGATGCCGTCCACACCAGGGGTCGTTGTCTTTGTTAAGGTGGCCGTCTTCACTTCTTCTCCGCTAACATTGTCCTGCCAAGTAATCGCTCGCCTCGGGACGACGGGTACGTCAAACGGGTCACCGGTGCGTCATCTTCCGCACTAAACCTGTCGAGAAGGGCTCCCCGAAGCGCTTGAGCCTTTTCGTTAGTATCCTCGATCGTCTGGTTGTCCACAACCAATGGGGGTGCTCTGGTCAGTAGGCTCGCCTTCCGCCAACCCATGATCTGGTACAGGTCCCGGTCTGAAGCGACTCCATCGATCTTTCCGGCCCAGTATGCTCGCTTAGCCTCCTCACCGTGCTCAGGAACGCCTTTCGTTTCTCCATTAGATAAAGGTGCGCATCTTGCTCCGTCTCCCAGGCTTGTTGGTTGCGGGCAGCACGGTATGCTCTGTGGGCCTCTGCGCATTCCTCCGTCCACCAAGCCGCGCCTTTACCATGTTTTCCTCTCTTCTTGCCGACCGCCTCAATGGCTCGGGAGAAGAGCTCGACGATGTGACTTGCCTGCCCGTCCAGGTCTTCCGGAGTAGGTTGATCCCCCAGATTGGGCATCGCAGCTAGCCCCCTTCGATCAGGTCTCTCAGCCGAGGCAGCGCCGAGTCGGGCACTGACAGTGGCCGTGGCTGCGGGTGGCCCTCTCCCTGTGACACTGGGCGTTTGAGTAGTGGTATGACGGCCACGATGGCCTCGTGGTCAGCTCCGGGTGTAGCTGTGGGCTGACCTGCGCGTGCGCAAAAGGGATATTAGAGAAAGCCAGGTCCAGGACATGTCCGCAATCCTGGGTTGCCACCCCAACTTCGCTGATAAGAGAGAGATTGTGGCCGTCTGCCCAGCCTGCGATGTCATCTCCCCGGTTCCCGTTCCTCGTCCCGGGCTCCCAAGAGTAGTGATGCGCGTTGAAGTCACCCGCGATCAAAGCTCGCTCCGGGGGTTTGAGTTCTAGCAGTATCCCTGTTGTGCGGCTGTGGGGGTCGCGGGGTTGTCTGTACACGTTGACGATAGTCGTCGTTTTGTCGACCACCAGCCACAGTACGTCTCTCGTGTGGACAGGCCTCTGCTGCTCCACCGTCATCCCTATCCCTTTGCGTGTGTAGGTCAATACTCTTGGTCTGGTTCCTTCGCTGTCCCAGAAGTCGACCGGGACGAAAGAGTCGAAACCCGGGTGCGTGTTCAGTTGCACGTTTCCGTCCTTCCAGCCCGTCCAGGGTTCCTGGACGAGGACCACATCTATCTGAGCCTCCCAGCAGAGCTGCAGGAAAGCCGTGTGCGCCGGGGAGATCTTTCCGACGTTGCCCTGCGCAACGCGTAGCATCCGTGGGGTCGCCGCTCTCGGCTTACGTCTCCGAGTCGAGTTCGAGGTGGGTGTAGGCATTCGCGACGTTGTAGTTTGGCTTCTGTGCTGCCCGTTGGCTCCTGCTTGGCATGGGTAGCACGGGACGGTCGATGGAGGTGTTGTCGGGGGAGTCTTCGCCTTCGCCTTCGTCCGCCTCGTCTTCATCCATGCTGCTGCTGTCAGTGCTTCCGTCACCGAGGCAAACGATCGAGCTTGCGGAGGGCGTTCTCGTGCGCGCGCGCTTGGCGCCGGGTTGCTGGTTCTGGCTGGTGGAGGTAGGGACGCCTGCCGCCTCCTGGCTACTGTCGGATCGAGTAGCCTTGTACAGAGTGTCCGATGCTTTCTGGCCGGCCTTCCGGATCCGAGCCCGCTCCTTTCGACCGGGAAGGGAGACGACGCCGTTTACGGCCGAGGGCCTCGCTGGGCAGTCTGTGTGGCTGGCTTGGAAGGGGCCGCAGCAGTTGGCACATTGGGGCCTGGCCATGCAGGGTCCCGTTTCGTGTGAATCGGAAGGTCTTCCGCAGTTGCTGCAGATCGGTCGTCGTCCGCAGAACCGGTTGGAGTGGTAGCCCTGGCAGCCGGGGTCGTGTCGGATGAGCGTCCTTCGTTTCTTGACGGGCAGAGATCTGCCGCTTTGGTTGAAGAGCCTGAAGGGCGTGACCTCTGATGTGAATGATATGAGCCAAGATATTTCGTTCGTGACTGGGTTGGGCCCAAGGCGGGACGGTCGAGCAAGGACAGGCTTCTGTCCTGTCTGTGCGAAGACCTCATCTTCAACGAGTGTGGCTGGGTCCAGGACGTCCCCGCCAATGCTGTGTAGTTTTGTTGGGCATCGCGGCACAACGTAAGTGTACCACTTGATAGGCGTCTCGACCTGGTGGGCGCCGAGGCATTCCGCCAGCTTTGCCTTACTTGCAAGTAGTCTTTCCTGTATTTGCTTGTTTCGCGGCTTCAGAGAGTAACCTGTGCTGATATGGTAGACGTGGGGAAGGTCCGCTAGCCCCAGGCCAACGGCCTTACAGACGATCTGTCGTACGGCGAACGGTGCGATCTTCCGAGCGGCCGCTAAGCTTTCTTCCGGGACGCGGGCAAAGATGCGGAGGTCCTCCTTCGGCTGCGCCTGCGGCTGATCCTCGGCGGGGAGTGTGGCCTTCGGGCGGGCAGAGCTCTGGCAGCTCTGGCCGCTCCGGGTCGCCGCAGTGGTGTTGCCCGCCATCGGTGCGACGACAGCCGCCCAACTCCGGGCCGCTATTGGGCTTGTCTCGTGATTGATCAGTCTCTTGAGGGTTTGAATGACATAGGCAGTGGCTTCTTTCGCGATCTGCTTTCTAGAACCGTCAAAGCTGGCGACAACGCTGTCGACGGACCGTGCAATGGTCAGAAAGACGTCTTTCCGTGCCTCGTACTGTCTAGCTTCTTCTGCAAGGGCTGTCAAGACGGACCCTGTGGCAGATCCGCTCGGAGCAGATGCGGTAGAGGCTGCGGGCCCCTCGGCCGAGGTAGGGGCGTCGGTGGTGGCATCAAGCTGGCTTCCCGTTAGGCTGGGCCGGGTCGGCTGTGCCTCGACGTCGCGGCGTCGCTTAGCTCTTGAGGTGGGGTTCGGCTCCGGAGGTGTCCCGGAGCCTGGTTCGGGGTCGGCTTGGTCGGCCGACATCAGTCCGGTGCCCGACGGCGGCTGTGAGGCCATCGCGGATGCGGGCTCCGGCAAGGGGAGGTGAAGAGTTTTCGGCTGTTAGTAATTTGGTGGTAGGCTCACTCATTCACTAACAGCAGATGCCAAGAAAAATTAGGCGAGAGGGAAGTTGAGCGACTGGATGAGTCTCGGAAGGAAGCTGTGCTTTCGTAGATGACGCGGAGGTAGTAGTAGATCCTATGCAAAGCTAGAGCTTTTGAGGATAGTCTAGGCTTTCCCTTGCCCATGTGGGTGATGAGCTGTTGAGCGCCGTCTAGATGGACACCGCATGTGCTTGTGTCTCCTGACATGACCTAGCCTATCTGTCAGCAAGGACTGAAAACGCTATCAACAAGAGTCACAACCGATGTAAAGAATATGGGCAACTGTATGCTAGCAGAGAAAGGAATCCCCATATATTGCTAACTTGCGCTTCTCTGGTACAGGGCCAGTCATGAATCATGACGAGAGAAGGGTTTGACTCACGTTAATTGTGATCATTGACAGCATTGTCGCCAGAAACTCCTTGTACTTGGGTCTTCTCGGCGAATGCAGATCAACTTCCACAGCCTGCTTAAGCAATCCGATCGCATTATAACGATAGAGTGTGGCTGCTTCCACCCATTTTGACTCCGCTCTCAACCTCCTATCTGACGTCTGGACATTTGAGAAGTAGTACGCGCTGATGGAAAGCAGCGCATTTCGCAAGGCGTTGCGGATCCTGGATGTTGCGCCCATTACACTCAGTTCACCGGCTCCCTGGATAGCTCGAGGCAGATGTATCGTCTTCCAGGGGCTCTTTGCATTATCGATGACGCAGAATATGTTGATGACTCTATGCATGTAGTGGTGCATGAGAAATCGCTCTCGTTGAGAGATCAAAGACACCGGTGGTCGTGGAAGCTCAGTGGAGACGGTTTTCGCGAGCCACGGCTGATGTGTTGATGAAGATGACGAGATTTCGATATGAGGTTCCTGATCCTGAAGGTCACTTGAATGGTCTCCGGCAAAGCCTGGGCCAAAACCACCTGTCTCTGTCTCTAGATGCTGTTGCACATGCAGATTGCACAACTCCCAAGCGGCTTCAGCTTCGGAATGTGAAGGCGATAGCCAAATTTGCGGTCCTTCGGGACTTGATAAATTTGTAGAGGAATTATAGAGATCCAAGTCTTTGCCGGGGATTTGTTGCGGCTCTTCATCGCAAGTCTCGCCTGCCGTGAGCGCATCTTGCATTAAGAAAGTGTCGGTAGTGTGCTGAGGATCGATGTTCGATCGTGCCTTTGCACCAAAGACTCCAAAATTCTCAACATTGATATGCACGTCATCGCCTACGCTGGCAGTCGATGCTGGTTCTACAGAATCAATGAGTTTAAGAATTCCCTCGATATGGCTCGATTCCAGAACTTGCTGGACAATTGCTACGTGATATTTAGTATTGCACCTAGTAACCATGGAGGTAAGGAAAAGCCTACAGACTGGAACTTGACGTCTTAAGGATCGAGGACTTGATGCATCGTTGGCTGTTCCGATAGCATCATGCAAGTTCGATTCAGAGAGAGCAACAGTCTCGTGATGCATCCACTGAAGACGAACACCATAACCCTGGCAGTCAAGGCCCCTTGTCTTGCATGGAGAACAACACGGCCTAGTCTCGTCACATTTCACTTTTCTCGAGCGGCATGTCCAGCAGCCAGTAAATGTCTTGGTACGCCTTCGACCAAAATACGCCGCAGGTCTCGAAGAGGACATCGGTCACGTCGAGGGTGTCAGATACAGATCAAGATGTTGCTTCTCCTACGCATGTGTCAAACAGGAAACTGAGAGCGAGAGCAGCGGACATCTGAACCCCGCCCGACCAACTTCGTAATCTGTCGCTTTCCCGGAAGACCCTGGTCTTGGAGATAAACTAGCGAGACCCTGGCGAGAAGCCCGCGAGATACAGATAAGCTTATCATCTTTAGCCAAGCCGGCGCCGATTGGAGTGGAGAGAATGATAAGGCGGTTGTTAGAACAGGTCCTGCGATGGAAAACGATAGCGAGGCTAGCCGTTAGTCGCAGTTGATTTCCAAATGCAACATACATGTATCACTTCGTCGTTCGGCCGATTGCCAATGACATTAAGTCATGCTTCGTATTAGGGTAATGTTCATACCCGCAAACACAAGTCAGATCTAGACATATCCTGCTGGATAAGAAGACACTTGAACAAACTACCTGGTATTACATAGTGAGATAAGCCAAGTCTCACTTACGAGAATTCTGCGAACCAAGCCCACGCTTCACCTCAACTATGCCTGCAACAATCACTATGGCCGCTGCGCCCGGCGAGACTATCACCAAGTCATCGGAAATCCTTGTAACACCGCCAGTAGTCGAAACTTCCGCAGAGAAACCAGGAGTGTCAGCTCTATCCACAGGTGGCTATGTGTTTCCTGGCATTCCGAATATCACAGACCCATACAAGAAGAGACAATGGCAGCTCGAGCATATGGCTGGCGCGTTTAGGGTATTTGCGCGTAAAGGTTTTACCGAAGGAACCAGTGGACACATTAGTGTTCGCGACCCTGTAGACCCGAGTACTTTCTGGATCAACCCGTGAGTTTTGTTAGTCTGACCAAACTTTTGTCAACTCCCTAACATGTCTTAGGCTTGGCAAACATTTTGGTATGCTCAAAGCTAGCGACATGGTTCAGATTGACGAAGAGGGCCAAGTTATCGGCGGGAATAGGGCGGCTGTCAACGCAGCAGGATTCATGATCCACAGCGCCATTCACAAAGCTCGTCCTGATATCCATGCAGCCTGTCATACGCATTCGCCAGCCGGAAAAGCCTGGTCGACGTTCGGTAGACCGCTTGATATCATCAGCCAAGATACTTGCAACTTTTGGGGGATCCAGGCTGTCTATAAGACATTTGGCGGCGTCGTTCTAGAGGCAGACGAGAGCGCAAAGATTGCAGAGTCTCTGGGCGAAAAGGGCCGCGTCATCGTCCTTCAAAATCATGGCCTGTTGACGACTGGAGGCACGGTTGATGAGGCAGCGTACCTTTTCACACTGATGGAAAAGTCATGCGAGGTCCAGATTATGGTGGAAAGCACAGGTCTTCCCAAGAACATGATCGGTGAAAAGGAGGCCGAATTCACGGCTAAGGTCAACGCTGATCCGGTACGTCAAGACGGGTACGCTTAATTTCGCAGAGAAGCAAAGCTGATTCGCATTTGTCTAACAGGAAACTTTATACACGGAGTTCCAACCTGACTTCGAGTACGAAGTTTGGAAGTCACGCGGGGAGCTCTGCAAAGGGGAGTGAAGGTTGTATTCAGGAGGGCAGCATGAGAAGATGCAGTTGAATTGAAGTCGATCGGACAAACTCGGGTGGTCTTGAAGACTTATAATCAGCATGGATGTAAATTATTTGGGATGGCATCACGTAGTTATCAACGACCAGTAAGCTGTTGGTCCTGTACAGCTCCACGCTCTCTGTCGAGATGTGACTAGGGACATGTAATTTGTATGACGATCTTCACACGTCTATCGCGAGAGATCGATGATCCTACTGTTCATGCTTTTCCCGTCAAAATCTTGCGATGCACCTCCACCCAGTTCTTCTCTAGTTCACCTTTGACAACGCCCACCAAGAAACGAGAGCAGTGAGCATCCACAACTTCTTCCAACTCCAGACTGCCGTCGCCTCCCTTCCGAACACACCACCGCGTTTCCAAGAGAACGCTCATAGGGCAATGAATTTTGACAAAGCTTCCGTCCGGGGTGAAGGTGAACTCGTACTCGCTAATGCTCTTCTTCTCCAACATGCCCTTAGGCAGCGCCTTTGGGAGATTGGTGGGCACAGTATCCGTAACGGTGAAGCACTCAGTGACTGCAATGGAATCGACATCCTCTGGAACAGTGGGTGGCACCTTTGGCGTGCGGGGCGTCCAGTGCGTCAAGTTGGGGTCGCTCTTGATGTGGACTTCTGCGTTGTGAAGGCGGGAGAGGACCTCCTCACGGGTCATGTAATCTGGGACCGGGGTGACATGAGTCAACTGGAATGAGGTTGTGAGCATATTGATCTTGCCGGTGGCTGGCGACGTCGATTTGTCTTGGAGGTAACCTGAACTGTCTAGATAATTTTCCGAGTGTGTCGAGAAAGAGAAGTCTACAAGTCGACTTGTTCAGGACTATGTAGGCACAGGACTTAATGATAACCAGAGATTGACTAGCCGATGACAACAATAACTACAAAAGCCTCAAGCACGCTGTACGGGCTACCTACATAATCGAGCCTCCAGCCACGTTTAAGTACAAGAAAATCCCTTCGATAAGCGTAAAATCCAATGTCACACTCGCAACCTCAAAAGCCGTTGGTGGAAGTCAAAAGAGGCGTGATACATCTAATGTGTCAGGCCAGGCTGTCCTAGAATCCCGAGTCCATCGCACCGGAGCTAGGTTGATGAACACTTACATTCCTGCATGGACTGGCTGTAAGCTCCCCCACAAACCGAGGTGACCGAGCATTGCACCAGAGGCGACTGTGAACGCCCACATCTGCTTTGCGACTGAGAAAGACTCTGCGGGACTACTGCCTCGGAAGGGCAAACCTTAACCTGCTGGGCCAGTCAAAAGATTGGACGAATGTGAATGGATGAAGCTTGCATGCCAGGCCGGTGGGCGAAACACCAGGCTCATGCACTGAGGCCGGCAAGAGTAACAGCGCTCTCGTCTCTTGTCTGAGCCACACGGTCTTCTACAACGGCGAGAACACAGAAGTCCGACGCCGCTGATTTCGACGCCATTAGCACACATTACCAGTGAACCACTATCTGTGCCGGTGAAACAAACTACGGTGTTTAGGCTGCTTATAAGTTCGTGCGGGTTAGTACAATGCCGGGTTAAAAGTCTGTAGACATGACAGTGGTGTCCCAGAAGAAGAGGCACATTGGTATCTCAGATCTTGAAATAATGTTGACCTCTAGTGATGTTAACCCTCTTGCGTTGAAGAAAAGGTTAACTAAAGGCGCGATACAACACCGCCCTGGAGACTTTTCACAACTTCCGCAGCAGCCCGCTCTCCACTTCGTACAGCGCCCTCCATGTAGCCCTTCCATTCACCAGCGGTTTCTGTTCCCGCGAAATGAACATCACGATACGGCTCCCGGAGTCCGTCTCCACCAAGCGTGTCAAGAACTCCAGGAGTGAGCGATGTGCACGGGCAACCCCATCCTGAGAACTCATCGTTGACCCATTCATAGAACACCATTTGTTTGAAAAGGTGACGGATGTTCTCAACGCCATACAACTCGCTCAGTTGCTTCAGCAGGCTGTTCTCGCGCTCGGCGGTTGTTGTTGCTGCCCATGCCTTCCCAGGTTCGCCGGCCATGAAGCACGTCAGCACGAATTTCTTGTCTGCCGGACTGCTCGTGTCACGGATCACGGAGGCTGGGCCTATGAAAGACTGAGCCAAGCCGCAGTAACCCTTCTCAACCCAGAACGGGGCGCTAAACTCCATCATAGCTTTTGTGTAGTACCCGTAAGTTTGAGAATCAATCCAAGCCAGCTTCGTGTGGGGAAGTGCTGGTTGGAACGAAATCGTCTTGAGGAAGGGCCCGGGGACGGTGGTGATGACCTTTTGCGCAGAGTAGACCTTGCCACTGGCCTCGACTTTTACGGAGCGATTATCGTTCTGCACAACAGCTTGTACGGGGCTAGAGAGATGGACGACACCTTCAGGCAATGAGGAAGCCAACCCTTTGGAGAAGAGCTGCGTGCCCTGGCGCACTCGTAGATATTGCCCGCCGTCTTTCCTGTCGGATCGCATCTGCAGCAGTCCACCACCGGACTTGCAATAGTTCAGGAAGTACAGTGCTGATATGTCTTTCGGCTCTTGGCCCAACATGGCCCGTGTCCATACAGTGGCCGTGGCCAGAGCAATACTGGCGGCACCGCGAGATTTGAGGTAGGCCTCGAATGTGAGGGAATCGAGAGATGTCTCCCTTGGTCTGAAAACGTCGAGGGCTTGGCAGTCTGCTTCTACCATGTCTCTAATCTGCGCCAAATGATCACGAGTCGCTTCGCTGAACTATTTCCGGGAGAAGAATGTGAGTAAAAGTCGAACTCTGCGAGGAAACACGTGAAACTCACCTTGGGCAGCTCTCCATATGGGAAAGGACTGCACTTGCCATCAAAATCTTGAAGAACGCAGTTGCCTTTGGTGTTCTGTTCGATCAACTCGGCGCCGTATCTCTTCGCAAGTCCATACATCCTGCTTTGGTTCGTGTCGTTGATCCAGGCCGCACCGAGGTCGAACACTCCGTTATCCCCGCCATCCTCCATCGGTTGACTCCACGTCTTGCCACCTACGCGATCCCGGGCTTCCAAAACGACGCAACTCAGCCCAGCCCGCCGGACCTCATGAGCAGCGGAGAGGCCCGCCAATCCCGCACCAATGATAACAACATCGACAGTCTCCTGCACAGAAGGAAGACTTCGAGGAACTGGAGGTGCCTCTGGCCGAGCGACTACGGCGTTTATCTCGATCAACCAGCCCGGCACCGCCAGTTTTTGTACGGGGACCAGCGTCATTGCGGGGCGGTGCGTTCCCAAGAACCGCTGTACGTGGCGGGCGTGCTGACGCTTGGAGGCATCGTAGTCCACAATGTACAGAGTCAAACTGGCAACATTTGGCACAGTCGATCCGGCAGCTATGATGACTTTGCGAAGGTTGAGCAGCGCGAGGTGGATTTGTGAGTCGTAGTCCGACGGCACCTGGCCATCTTTAGTGTTGCCGGGCAAGCCCGATATATGCACGAGAGAACCGGCGCGAGTGATTGTTGCTGGGGCGTAGTATGCCGTGGATGTGTTCGAGAGGTCGACGGTTTCGATGAGTCGGGTCATGTTGATTGTCTGGGACTAGCTAGGTGCGTTGAAGGTGTCTGGTCAGGCCAGGGTGAATGCGACGTGATGATCAAAGAAATGATGATGACCGATTCTAAAAACACTGATGAGCTTTGATATCGTTATCTGAGTGGCTTCCTCAAGTGCCCAATTAAATTTGAATGTGTTCTAGTACAAAGAACGGTATCTTTCGAATACGTTACGAAGCTGCTGTGATTATCGCGATACCGGACGTTGAACCAACTCATGGGCCGTATCATTCTTTCGGCCTCTGAAATAGGCATCCGACAGCGATCGAAGACCCCGCTCAGTTGCAACGGTTTAGTAGGCCGGGGCTTGACTGCAATAATCTGTTGGGGCCTGGGACTGCCCTATCAACACAGCGGCCCCATGCCAACCCCCGCTGCGACCACTAGTTGAACCAACCCTATGAGGGGAATTAAGCAAGGCCAAAGGTGTCTTTCCGGCGGGGAATTACTTTCTGATCGGACAATACAGCCGGTTGTCCGCGGGTGTTGTTATCTAACACCTTCCGTGCCTTGCTGCCTACCTACGGAATCCAGCCCCGAATCAGCCAAGCATCCAAGGGAAAGACACTTGGACGATAAACAGACACTTCAACGGATGCTACGTCATCGAATTCTTGTAAAAACACCCGGCGGCTTCTTACCATTTGGAGTCCAGAGACATGTTATTCGCTGATTCAAGTCGGGGCCTTGCAATCGACATTGGTTGTTTACGTCAACGTTCACGGGAGAAGAAGTTTTTACAAAGCTGATTACATGTTTGAAGGTGGCACACACAGAGTCTGATGGCATTGGTGTCAAGACTCTCACTCCCCATCGTCCTCGCCTTTCGGTACGAGGCATTAGTGAGAAGAGTTCACATCAGTCTTCAAGTTGCCATTCACTCAAAACATATGGCGCGAACCCTTCTGTATACTCATACCAAGGAAATACAAGAAGGCAAATGTTGCTGGCGAAAGGTAGAAACGTATCTATTGAAGCCACTGAGGTAAGCCGGAAGTCTGGCGTCTAGTCTAATTGTGCGTTGAGTCCCGGACAACTGTCTCTGTCTAATCTACTAGGTAGGTAGAAGTCGAAATCTATGCCCTTAGGATGCGGTCAACCAACCTAGTTGCCTGTAGTACTTCCTCATCTTCGAAGTGTTTTCCAACAAGCTGTAAACAAATAGGCATGTCGTGGAAAAGGTCGGCGTCATCTGCATAGTACCGCACCGTCAGCGTCTCCCACAAATAACGCAGCTCGAGTGCGCCGTTGATCGTACTTACAGGCTTTCCATTCTTTGGAGTCATGTTCGTTTCGAGGTGTGTAGCCTTCTTCGGGCTTGTCGATGGCTTTGTCAACCTTCAGTCCGCTCGGCAAAATAGCTGCAGGTTGATCGAGCACGTTCCAAATAGCTGTGTAATTCCAGTACTCGGCACCACCCTGTAATACACCCGCGCCAACATACGCAGGACAGAGGATGACATCTACGCCTTTGTGTTTCATGAGAGCATGGTAGTCTCGTCTATATGCTTCTCTCCTGTAATTCAGGTCCCAATTTTCTGCGATTGTGAGTGGCTCAGCTTTGGAGAACTTGAAAGCATGATCAGTCAGTGGGAGGACTGGCTCGCCACTTTCGGCGAAAGTATCAAGATATGGCTTCGGCCCTTGGGGAAAATACAAAGCGGACTAACCCTAGTTAGTCAAGGGAAACCTTACGGGCTCTGTCTCTTCGAAGAAGAAAGTCTAAGCAAAGGGTGGCGACTTACTACTATTTCCCAGCCGCGCTGGTGGTCGTAGGGTTCCCAGTCTACCACTTTGACCCCAGCTTGTTTCAATTTGTCCGCAGCCGAATGGAGAGCTCGCAATACAGGAGGATGCGGTTTAACGAATCTGAAAATGCTCGAGTCAGTGGCAAAGACAGCATTGAAAGATAAAAAGAAGGGACACACCCATCGTCAAACATGATTCCTACCGTGATGTCTTTCTTGAGGTTAACAGGTCTCCATGGAACTGGGACCAACATGGTCTCGGTGTCCCATGGTTCAGCTGCAAGAACAGCACTCATAAACAGGTCCAGATCCTCAACACTCTGACCCAACGGTCCAACTACGCCGCGGATACTCTCTTGACCCGATGTTATACCAAAGTTTCCGAGATTTGGAACGCGCAAAGCCGTCGGGCGAAGTCCGTAGCAACCGTTGAAAGCGGCGGGAATACGGATACTGCCACCAATGTCTGTACCCACGCCAATCACTGAACATTTCGCGCCGACTGAGACTCCTTCACCACCGGAGGATCCTCCGGGCGAGCATAGAAGGTTGTGAGGATTCAAGGTCAACCCGGTGATGTTGTTATTACAATCCAAATGCTGTGGAGCAGAAAGGTCAGCTTGTTTGCGGTCTCTTGAGTTGGCCGTAGGTAGTAGAGCAGACAAATATGCTTACCATGAGACTTTGAGGTTGATTTGTTCTGACATGGATAACTGCTCCTGCCTTCTTCAAGATCTGAATGGAGAGAGCGTCTTCGAGCGGGATGTTTGTGATCTTTGACACAAACCCTGCATGAGTGATGTGGCCACCCATGCCTATATGTTCCTACAATGCGCAAATTAGTAACCAGATCCCTCGATGCGGGAGAAACGAAATCTACCTTAACGGACACTGCAATGCCATGAAGAGGGCCGACTAGCTGACCTGTCTTTTGAAAGTGCGCATCAAGCTCGTCGGCCTTCTTCAAAGCATCTTCAGCCAAGATCTCAGTAGCGAAGTTGGTCTGGCACGTAGAAACACTCTATTAGCTAGGAATAACCCTGATCGCGTGGAATACCCGCACCAGTTGATGAATTATCGTCGCCTTCTTCAGAAAAGCAGTGATAACTTGTTTTACAGTCCATTGGCCGCTCTTGTATTTTCCTAGCAAGTTTGAGGCATCCTGCTCTGTCATCCGAATCTCCTCTGCAGTCAAGATCCCAGACTCGCTTGGAACACTAAGTACATTTTGACGATCTTTCGGGGGAAGCTGGTCGCTGGAAAGCAGATATTCCTTGGGGACCGAAATTTGCTGGATGTCGATACAGACTTGTGCGAGTTCTCGCCAGCCCTTCGGAATTGTGGTGATAGCCATTTGGGGCGAGCTTGGGGATGGTTGGGGTCGGGGGGTGCGGTCTAAATTTTGGTCACGTTGCACAGCATTTCAAAGCAAGACTCCAAAAACGAAAGCACAGCATGAATAAAGCAGCTGCTTGGCTTCACAAATATCATTTGCCTAATAGTAGAGCATACGTTGTCACAATGACCCATCTGGACGATAGTGTCTTCCCTATCTGCCATCTTCAGATAGCGCCAAATTGAGCTCCCCCCGCCTATCGCTGTCAACTGCCATCTTGGTCTTGTGATGGGTACTGTAGCATCCATCCTGGCGCTACTTCATAATTACATCCAGCACCCTTGTTCTTAGGGGCTCCGCTCTATGCGGGCGGTTGACGACCCAGGAACGAGGAGATGTAAGCGCATATCTTTAGGCGGCGGATCCATGGGAGACGTTCTGCTATCGTTATCCATAGCTCTTTGGGACCGTGGCGTCCCACGTTTGTGTGCCTCTTTGGCGTCGTTATCTAAGTACATGCAGTGGGCAACTTGAGTGTCAGCCATCTCATACGAACGCCCATGTCAATGTCCGAGACTGAGAACCTGATTTGTCTTATCACTTTTCCCGCAAACTGACGCCTGGGCCAAACACAGGCTCGCGTGACAAGTAGTTCGCTTTACACCGAGATAGCTGATTGCCGTACCCGGGTGGCGGGTGCGTGCAACTTGTTAAGTTGAACCGTATGTCCCTTCAGATCGTCATACCACACGAACGTCTCCTTGGGTGACGCTGATAAGTAGCTGCAGTCGCACATGGTTCCCAGCTCTTCAAGGACGCTCTTCTGCCGATTCACCTTGAACCTCAATCATCTCCCAAGCCAGCTGACACTTGCGCGGAGACTTTGAAAGATCGACACTATGGCTCACTCAAACCCCGCTGAGACGGACGGTCAAGGTCTACCTCCCGGCACCACCAGGCTCATCGACGTGGACGGCTCCGTCATCAGCAAACATGCATCCGGATCCGATGAGGCAGATATTGTTCTCATTCCTCGGCCGTCAGAAGATCCAGAGGACCCGTTGAACTGGACCAAGAAGCGGAAATGGCTTGCGACATCTTGCGTTCTGATGTACACCATCATGATCGCAATCCCAAGTAGTGCTGTGTATTCCGTTGTCACCCCAATTAGAAAAGCAACGGGGTTGTCGCTTTCTGACATCAACAACGGAACGGGTATCATGGTTAGGAGACTCCAAGCCACCTTCAATGCAGTACTGACATGGAAGTCATTCTTCAGTTCTTGTTCTATGGCTGGGGATGTCTGATCTGGCAACCATTTGCGCTTCAGTACGGCAAGCGACCAGCGTACCTTGCGTCCCTTATCGCCAATATCGTATGTTCTCCAAGCAAACCCAACATCCAAGGCGGTATCATTCCTAATGCGCCGAACTCTTAGATCATCCTTGCAACCGCCCCGATGTGCACTACGAAACACACATACTTGGCCAATCGCATACTTCTTGGTTTATTTGGTGCCCCCGTTGAATCATTGGCCGAAATTTCCATTACAGACATCGTGAGAACCTCAAAAGACCTTGGGGGATACTCTTGACTAATAATCCGCAGTGGTTTGCGCACCAGCGCCCCAAATACCTTGCACTCTATGGGTGGGGTCTTTCGATGACGGGCAAACTTGCCCCGATGCTTTCAGGCTTCATCAACGTGGGCATGGGTTGGAAGTGGACTCTGGTATGCCCTCTCGCTAGCTACATCCAAAGCCTCATTTGGCTAATCCTTGCTCTCTATCACAGTGGTGGTGTTCAATCTTCAACGGCATTGCTCTCGTTTACTGTTTTCTCTTCATGGAGGAGACCAATTACGATCGTCCCGCGAGGCCAATCGAGCACAGGATAGCACCAGGTCACGCAACCGGAGTTCAAGAGCAACACAACGGAAGTGATGCGGATGAGGGGTCTTCTGAAAAGGCTGGCGAGAAAAACATGACAAACACCAAGCCTGTTGATACCGAAACCGGACAGATGATTTATCCCCGCAAGACGTACATTCAAAAACTCGGTGTCAAGGACAAGCCAAGGCCCAACCGCATGTTGGATATTGCGCTGGGTGGACTTAGGGGCTTCACATACCCCTCTGTCGTTTACGCAGGGTGAGAGCTTCTACGAGACCACGAGATGGATATGCAAGTTGACTCGCAATTAGTCTTATGTACGGTGCCAACAACTTGGTATGGTCGGGTGTGCAGAATGCCACGGCTGGCACTGTCTACACTACCATGTACGGTTTCTCTACGGCTGGTGTAGCTGCGGCCTACTCCGGTGGCTTGCTCGGTACCATGGTCGGGTAAGTCTCTCTATTCCACACCCAAAGATTGGAGGATATTTGCTGATACGTTCAAATTACAGAGGCTACTACTGTGGTAAGGTCGGTCGCCTGCTCACAATCCGACTCGCCCGACGCAACAACGGAATTTCCGAGTCTGAGCACTCGCTCTGGCTCTTCTCTGCATCCATGTTCCTGGTCCCGTTTAGTATGCTTCTATACGGCCTGGGCGTGACCTACCACATTCACTGGATGGGGCTAGTCATCTCCCAGTTCACCCTCGCCATCAATAACGCCCTCGCTGTCGCGGGTTCCCTCGGATATGCCATTGCATCGTATCCACAACTCAGCGGTGACATGATCACAACGTGCGTCATAATTCGCAACACCATGTCCTTCGCAATCAACTATGGAATTACGCCTTGGCTGAACCATATGGGCTATCGGGATACCTACATCATCGTTGGCGTGATTGGGTTTGTCTGGAACGCCAGTATCTTCATCATGACCAAGTACGGAAGAACCATCAGAGAGAAGAGTGCAGATAGATATTGGAGGCATGTTGCCAAGGCCCATGCTAAAGGCCTAAGTCATTGAGTGGCTTGCAAGCGGCTGAGACCATGTACTTGTCGTTCATTCTTGCTGTAGAATATGAAGGGGGCATTAGCGTTGTCTACACAGAACAGTGTTTAACAACCATCTATGTTGATCTAGGTCTCGTTATTCCATGCCTATTTCATACATCATCAGATCACACAAGTTCTTTCAATAGCACGAGGTCCCAGAGACTCTCGATTGATTGCAGGCCCACCCGAATTCTTTGTTGGAAAACCAGCTCGTACAGTCCATACTGCTTCTAGATCGTCGAGGATCCTTTGGATCTCTCCATACCCCATGCGCTCTACCATCTGGTTCAAAACACGTCGAATCAATGAGATGTCCTCGGGTAAGGTAACGGAGTACCCCAGGATCAACATTGGCCAAGCTCCCAAGAAGCATCGAGTCCAAGTTTCGTACGCAGCTGGTCGGCGAAGAATCTCGAATGCACGTTGCACTTGCCACCTAGGAATGTTTGATGTTTCTTGCGATGGGCTCCAGCTGAGGTGAGAAATCTTTGGGCCCTGAGTCGCTAACGGAGACAAAGAAGAAGAGGACTCTGAGATGTAGTCTAGTAGTAGTGACGCGCCTAAAACAAAAAGAGTTGCAGCGTCTTTGTGAAAGCTTGTCAGGGATGGAGGGTAGTCGGCTGCTGTATCTTCGACCAAGACAAAGCCTTCCCATGTATCAATCTCTTCTCTCATCCGAGTAAGGAAAGCTTCAGTGGGATGCTTGGGTGAGTTGAGAAAGTCAATGAGGTCTGTTATCAGACGGTACAGTGGCAATGGTAAGCCTAACACAGGGCTATCATCTTCGGATAATATGTCGATGAGCTTCCTCGCGTTCAAGACGTGTTCGGATCGATCTAGGAACTGTTCGTCGACGTGAAAGTTGGGCGCGAATGGTCTTCGCATTGCAAGTAGAAATGCTTGATAGAGCACGCTCTCGGTATTGATTCGGTGTAGTGGGCGTGACATCGACATGGGTGAGCCAGTGTCCTCGTATCGGAGCTTAAGCAGATTCATGGCGCCGTCGACATGCTTTCTTGCATCCAGAGTCTCGTCGGGCGGCCCCCACATCTATCACACAACAACATCAGCCTGAAATCCGAGACCTAGTAGTCTTGGAGTCCTTACATCATATAAGTAGAGATATACAACAGTAGTCAGTAGGGGATCGTCCGGGCCCTTGGCGGTTGCACTCAAGTCATGAAGAGCTCGGTTGACCAATTCCACGGCGCGGAAATAGTAACCCAATGCTGCGTCATGGTACTTCCTTGACCTCTGAAGCATGTACTTATTAGAAGCGCATGCAGCCAGGACGGCGCACTTGACGCTTTCCGAGCGATGCATCATACTCATCACCTGCGACCCATAGCCTTCCAAGTCACTCTCCCTGACAGTGGGGAGCAACAGTACTGAGAGAAAAACGTTGAAATAGTGGCGAGTAAGCTCCTGTTCGAGATCCGGTGACTCTCGTAGCTCCAAAGCGATGATGGAGTCTTCGCTGCGTGGAGACGGTGATGGCAGGGTCCTATCATCGGAGCAAGATCGACGAGAGCGATGACGTCTGTCGTACATGTCGTTGGAAGATGGCCATACACACCCGCGACTTGAAGCAACGCAGTTTCGGCATGTCGGCTTTTCCTCGCTGCATTTCACTCTACGCCTTCTGCCTGTTATTCATTAGCATCAAGACTAATGTCGTCGGAAGACACCGCATGGACTGACAGGTAGAGCATCCAGTTTTCGTCCGTAACTTGGCTTTCGGCATTGTAAAGCGCTTATGGTGTGTGACGAATGAGCCAATTCCTGCAATCGGTCTGAGACGACATGGAATCAGAAGTATGCTAGTTGCGAGACAAAGTCACATTAAGAAGGGGACTGCGCAGAATCCGCGTGTCTTATCAGGGGCATGGAATCCGCAACCCCGCATGAGCATCATCCCAACATCCCTGGTGGGTCGGCTTATCGTCGGGGAGCTTGGGGCACCAATCCTCTGCGGGGTCAGGTTGCTTGTATCTAGAAGCAAGATCCTGGCCAGCCGGTTGAGCTTGGTGAGAGCGAGATTTACTGTGAAGGTGATTGAGAGACCAATTGTTCTTTCTAGCATCGATCCTGGAAATCTAGATCGAATTACAGGCTCATGGCTGCATTTGACAGATACGCGGATCCAACTGAGATTCACTTGTCAACCCGGTAATTATACATCAGTTTGCTTCCTTCAGTGATCTTGGATGGTGAACGACTTGAATATACTCGTCACCTGATCTGTTGAACATTGAAATGGTCTTCATTGAACTGCGAGTACCGAGTACCAAGGATTCTGCAAGGAATTTGGGTCATTCCACACAGTGAGCGAGGTTCGGAAACAGGGCCATTTTCCCCGCCTGTGTTTTTTGTCCCACCCTACTTGATAGAAAACGAACTCCAACTATGCTATTCATCACGGCCCGGGGATCCAAGTAAGTCAAGCGATTGAACTAGCTCTTCGTAGCCAGATTGCTTTCAGCTTTGAATGATCTTTGTCACCAGATCTGCTGCAGCCACTGTCTCTTCATCACGGAAATGCTTTCCAGCAAGCTGCAGGGCAATCGGAGCATCTACGAACTCTTCCGGTATATCTAGATTTCAAGATACGTCAGCAGACTCATGCATCTGGAATTCGCGTAAACTTACATTTCTTATACTCTCTTTCATCGGTGTCTGAGCGTGGCTTGTAGTCTTTGTCGACCACGTCAATAGCAGGATCGACATGAAGACCAGTCGGGAAGGTAATGCTTGGCTGATCAAGGATATTCCAAATTGTCGTGTAATGCCAGTATTGAGGTGTGCCACATTTCGCAGCAACACCTACATAGGCGGGACACAGGATGAAATCGACGTCGCGATCTTTCATGGTCTTGTGATACCTAAGTGGCGGCGATGTCAGTTGTCAGTCAAGCGAATGAAGATAGTTGTTCTTACTCTTCACGGAAAGCCTCTCTTCGCACATTCAGTTCCCAGTTTTCTCTGATGGTGAGCGGCTCCGGCTTTGAGTACTGGAAAGCCCACTCCGTTAATGGTGCTACTGGTTCGCCTCCTTCTGCAAGCACCTCCTTCTGTGTCTCAGCCGCGTCTGGGAAATAAAGAAGCTCAATTATCTCCGCGCCTTCGCTGTGCTTGTACGGCTCAAAGTCCACAACTTTCACCCCAGCTGTCTTGAGCTTGTCGACAGCGTGCTTGAGGCCACGAATGACTGGGGGATGGGGATGGACCATTCTGGAATGCTAGTGTCAGCATCCACTCGATATTCTGGGAGCGATTGAGCTAGGAATCACTTACCCGTCGTCCCAGATAACACCAACGGTGAATTGACCTGGCTGGTACAGCTCCATCTTCTTCCAAGGCAGAGGAACCAGAGATGTTTCTTCATCCCAAGGCTCTTGATTGAGGACAACATCTTCGAATAGCTGAATGTCCGAAATGCTGTTCGCCAACGGGCCCAAGATACACTTGATACTCTCTTGGCCTAGGCCCGGTAGGCAGATACCCTTGTAAGGATTGCGCAGAGCCGTCGTGCGAAGGCCATAGCAGCCACAGAAGGCCGCTGGCCCACGCACAGAACCCCCAATATCGGTTCCGAGTCCCAAGACAGAGCCACGTAGCCCGAGGCACGCTCCTTCGCCGCCGCTGGAGCCGCCTGATGTGAGGTTGCGATTGTAGGGATTGACCGTTGTGCCGTAGATGGGATTGCTGCAGTCGAGGTGCTGTAACAGAGACGGTTAGTCTAGTTGTCTCGGAATTTCATGAAAGAGTTGGCTCACCATGCAACTCTGCGGCACGTTTGTGCGGACATGGAAGACAGCCCCAGCCTTGGCAGCCAGCCGAAGAACTAGAGCGTCCTCTTGGGCAATGTTGTCAGCCCAAGCCACGTAGGCCGAATGAACAATTTTGCCTTTGAGTCCGATATGCTCTTTGATGGATATCGGCAGACCGTGTAGCGGCCCAACAATCTTTCCAGTCTCCTTGAATTGCGCATCAAGCTTCGCAGCAGTAGCTAACGCGTCATCGACCAGAAACTCGGTCGCGAAGTTGGTCAGCTGATGAGCCACATGAGCGCGCTTGAGGAAAGCCGTCACTGTCTCAACGGCGGTAAGCTTGCCAGCGGCCATTTGGCGGACTAGCTCGGTGCCGTTGCATGCTGTGATCTCCTGCTCCCATGGCGTCAATAGCTTGCATGTGTCAATGAACTTGGAGATGTTCAGCTGGCTTGGGGAAGGTAGGTCTCCCGGGGCCAAGAGCCATTTCGGATTGAGAGAGTCTTTGAGGATCTTCCTCAGCTTGTCGGCCTTGAGTTCCCACGAAGCTGGTGCAAGTGAGCCCATGATGAGTGATGAGTAGGCTGCTAAATGGAAGTCGATGTTGACAAATAACGGGAAATAAAGTGATCCGATGCCAGATCAATAGTCTATGTTAGATGCACTCGGGATGATGGTTTTATCAATGCTCCTATCTTAACGGGGGAGGGGTAATCAGCAATCCGAACATTCCGCGTTAATTGAAGATTGGAACTTTTCCAACTTCACAGGCACATCGGCCGACGATCTATCGCCACAGATTGTGACGACAGCATGCACAATCTATTGGAGTCCGCAAGGAGGTTCCCCTCATCAATGCAGCGCTGCCTCCCTCGGCCTAAGGGAAATTTATCATTGAATCAGATAGACAGAAGACCGGAACTTTTCGCTGATGTATCGCAGTTGGAGAACTTCCCTCGGCATACTCTGCCGATCTTGGAATATTCTGTCCTTGTCGCACGAATGCTCTGTTGCTGTTAGTGTCCCCTCAAGGACTGGATTGTCGTCCCAATAGGTGTGATGCGTGCCTTATCAGAGTTGGCTCCTCGCTACTTCGCAAATACAAATGATTGGCTAGCTCAGGGCATTTAACAGCAATCAGCCAGCGCCGAGCTTTCGTAATTCACAATCATTGGCTACTTGCTTATCCACACAAGCTTCATGCATGTCATAATCTGCTGCTTGTTGTCAAGGTAGTAGACAACCGTGGCAGAATATATCCTCACCCTAATTTTCCGGTGCTTCTGTAACCTTGTTGTGGTGTTACTACGACGATGCCGGGCCCAGCAGAGTTGCTGCGCGCGTAGTGATTAAATCCATTTACCCCATTGCTAAGTCAGTCATTTGGTGGAGATTACCCCAGACTCAAGGGCTGGCCCATATGAGATAAGTTCGTAATTGTATATGATTGGCCCCATACAAAAGAATTGCGGCCGCCGAGTCTACCTCTACCATGCTCCCCGTGTGCTTTATCAACAGAATGCCTATCTTGTCACACAGAAGCTCGGAGCATGCGCTCAAAGTCTGTTATCATCTGGTCGTCCCGGGATTGCTTCTCGGCTTCACTCTCATCATTGCTATCAATTTCTGAGTGGAAGATAGATAGAGCCATTTATCTCTTTTACATCTCAGCGATTATCCTCCTCTCGCAACTCTTTATTTGACTCTGTGCCCGACAGACCACTTCCATTTACCCAAAAAATATTACTAGAACACTTTCGAAATCGAACATGGGCTCCGGCACGGTCGGAATGGCACCGCCGCCGGGCTTTATCCCCGGAACGGTCCACTTGGTTGATCTTGAGGGCACGATGGCCTCGCGGCATGCTGAGGGAAGCGGAAGAGACATTGTCTTGATTCCAACACCATCAAATGACCCTGATGACCCATTGAATTGGAGCCCCCGTAGAAAGTATCAGCTCCTTGCATGCATTTGTGTGTAAGTCAATTCCAGTGGACAATGCATCTGCACGCTTTCTTCCAAGCTAATTCAATGGCACTATATTGCAGGTACTGCCTCGCAGTGGGAATCGCATCGGCCGCGATCTACTCTGTTCTCGTGCCGATATCCACCGCGACCGGTCTGACCCTGGCAGACTTGAACTCCGGAACTGGGTACATGTTTCTGGCATTTGGCTGGGGTTGTCTGGTATGGCAACCACTTGCCCAGAAGTTCGGCAAACGGCCCGTGTACCTGTTTACTCTGTTAGGGAGTATGGTCAGTTTTCGCCATGCCAGTTGTTTGTAAGAATTCAGGCTGATGACATTGGTAGGCCATCATGCTGTGGGCTCCATATGCTACCACCAGCAGTAATTGGATTGCGAACAAAGTTTTGCAAGGATGGATCGGAGCCCCTATAGAGTCTCTTTGCGAGATCTCCATTGCTGACGTGGTATGTAAACCGTTCATATTACACTTCTTACGATTCTGAATCTCGTCTCACAATAAGAAACAGTGGTTCACACACGAGAGAGGTACTTACATGGGCTTTTATGCCCTGTTCTTAGTGGGGAGTAACTTCCTCGCACCAGTCATTGCCGGATTCGTGAATGACGGCCAAGGCTGGGAATGGGTTCTAGTAAGTATTCGAGTTCGGGGGTTGCATTTGCTCCTAGTACTAACTTGGAAATCCAGCACTGGTGTGCCATATTCTGCGGAGCTGGCTTCGTTATATGTTTCTTCTTCATGGAAGAGACCAACTACCAGCGGATGGACGTGTTGGCAGCGGAACCCTATCAAGTAGACTACACACCATCAGCATTCGAGAAAGGGTCCAAAGATCCATCCGACTCGGATCGAGTCGCCCCTGTCCAGACGCCCCCCAGCCCTGAACCGATAATGACGAAAAAGACGTACCTCGACAAGCTCAAAATGTTCAGAAACAAAGACATCAACCACCACGCGTCGCTTGTAGAGATGGTGGTCAGGCCATTTCTTTACTTTCAATTCCCATCAATCGTATTCGCCGGCTTCATGTACGGAGCTGTCGTTTGTTACTTCAATGTTTTGAACGGGACTGCATCGTTGATCTTATCGAGCTCGCCTTACAACTTTAGATCAAGCATTGTCGGACTATCGTACATATCCTGTTTGATCGGAGTCGGCATTGGGTAAGCAAGGTCTGATTCACTCTCGCGCTATGATCCATAGTCTAACTCATTGTTATAGAACAGTGTACTCCGGGCTGTTCGGCGACAAGTTCGTCATCTGGAAAGCGCGCCGTAACAATGGAATCATGGAACCTGAGTTTCGTTTGTGGCTTTTCACGGCGCTGTTGATCTGCATCCCAGGTGCGCTTCTCCTCTGGGGAGTTGGGGCTGCACATGAAGTCCACTGGTTTGGCCTGGTTTTTGCAATGGGAGTCTTCGGTGCTGCCATCACTGCCGGCAGCCAGCTTTCAATAAGCTACTGCATTGACTGCTATAAGGAGCTGGGTGAAGACGCCATTGTCACCGTCATCCTAATCCGCAACACCATGTCTTTTGCTGTTTCCTATGGGTGAGTCGTCATTAATTTCTCGGTAAAGGTTCATTCTGCTAACTGGAGGTATCAGTATCACCCCTTGGGTAGAAAATATGGGGTATCAAAACGCATTTCTAGTTGCTGCGTTTGCTGCCATGGCACAGATATCGTCCTACTTCGCCATGATCAAATGGGGACGGCAGATTCGTGCAGCGAGTGTAGCCCGCTATTGGAAATACTGTCAAAAAGAGTAGAGATGTTAAGAAAGCAATGAGCACAAGACGGAGAAAGAGAAATAGACTTGTACTATTAATACCAGGCTTGCAAGTATATTGAGGAAAGAACGGATGTAAGGGTAAGTTACTTCAGATCCGACGTTCTGGCCCTTCTCCAAGTCAGGGAGCGCAGTCTTAACGATGACGACTAGACCCCACCGTCGTCGTACGAGGTTTATAAATTGCGTCGATTGTGCATTTATCAATAAAGACGTTCCACAAGACCAAAGCGAGTTTCTAGTGCTTATGCTTATTTCTGGGCCCGTTGGTCTCAACTGGCTTCAGCACCGCCTACGACTCAATGAGGTTAGGTACGTACCACAATACGAATACGAACCACCTCAGAGCTCCAGGCTCAGGGTACCGAACGCAAGAAATTCGATGTGGACATCGCCGTTAATGACACCTCGAAAGTCGAAGGCCTGTAGGTCCAGACGAATACGAATTCGACAGGTCAATTGAGATGTTCAAAGACTTGGTCCCAAATCGCCAACGGAGATTTGAACATCTGCCTATGTGCCACTACCTACATACGAAACATAGATATAATGGTCTCCCTGATGGTTACCTGATCTAAGCTGATATTGAGGTGTTTTGTGTCAGCTCGAACATAGTCCTCCTCCTTTTCTAATTTGACAACTTATTCGAGTATTCTGCAAGGGATCGATTTCAAAAAGCTCAGTCAGCCGGAAAATGTCAGATTCATTAGGGTTCCTGGACCTGTCAAGTTTGGCCTCTATTACCTTTTATGGCTTCGTTGGATTGGCCGTGTCAATTTTACTCAATGCCTGCCGTCAGACACTTTTCCACAGCAAGAGTGAACCACCAGCTGTATTTCACTGGATCCCCTATATTGGCAATGCCATCTCCTACGGCATGGATCCCGTGGCTTTCTTCGTCAAGTACCGTGCAAAGGTGCGTTCTGCTGCAATCTCGCAAAGGAGCTACCAAAGCTCTACAGAACCATTTGGCTAACTTTTGGTCAGTATGGTGATGTCTTCACTTTCACTCTTTTCGGCAGGAAAATGACATGCTATCTGGGAATCGAGGGAAACGACTTCATTCTCAACGGAAAGCTTCAGGACATCAACGCCGAGGAGATTTACGGACCGCTTACGATACCTGTTTTCGGGAAGGATGTTATCTACGACTGCCCCAACTCGAAGTTGATGGAACAGAAGAAGTTTGTCAAGTTTGGACTGACACAAAAGGCTCTGGAGTCCCATGTTCCATTGATTGAGAAGGAAGTGGTCGATTACATCAAGATGGACCCTGCATGGAAAGGTGCGTCGGGTATTGTTGACATCTCTGCCACCATGTCCGAGATCACACTGTTCACCGCAGCGCGTTCATTGCAGGGAGAGGAGGTCAGACGAAAGCTGACGGCTGAGTTTGCGGAGCTGTACCACGACCTTGACATGGTAGGTGTCCCCCATATTTTAAGATGCACGGATGATACTGACAGTCTCGCCACTAAGGGATTCACCCCGATCAACTTCCTCTTTCCCTGGCTACCTCTACCCCGAAACCGTCGTCGCGATGCTGCGCACAACAAGATGCGAGACGTTTACGAGGACATCATCATCCAACGTCGCAAACACGACCTCGGTGTCGATGACGAATACGATATGCTGTGGAATCTTATGAAATCCAATTACAAGGACGGAACACCGGTGCCCGATAAAGAAGTTGCTTGCATGATGATTACGCTCCTCATGGGAGGTCAGCACTCATCATCTTCAGCCAGTGCATGGATCATGCTTCGCCTAGCCGCGCATCCCGAAATCGCACAAGAGCTCTATGAAGAGCAAGTGCAGAATCTCGGCCATGGAGATCAACAACGACTGCCACCGATGCAATACTCTGATCTGGATAAGCTTCCACTTCTACACAACGTCGTCAAAGAGACGCTTCGCCTTCATGGCTCCATTCATTCCATCCTCCGCAAAGTAAAGAGCCCTCTGACCATCCCCGGAAGTCCTTACGTGGTCGGCACTGACAAGGTGCTGCTGGCTTCGCCAATGGTGACGGCCATAAGCGATGAGTTTTTCCCAGACGCGAAAGCTTGGAATCCGCATAGATGGGATGAGCCACAGCCAGGCGATGACGTTGTGGATGTCAACGATGTTGTAGACTACGGATATGGTGCTGTGTCAAAGGGCACAAGGAGTCCTTATATCCCGTTCGGCGCTGGGCGACACCGTTGCATCGGCGAAAAGTTTGCTTACTTGAACTTGGGCGTCATTGTTGGCACTATTGTGCGCAACTACAAACTGAGCACCATTGATGGGAGAAAAGGCATCGTGCCGCCGACGGATCACACATCCATGTTTGCGCGACCAATTCAGCCTGCGCTCATCCGTTGGACCCGTCGGGAGTAGTACTGACGAGCGCCGGACTAATGCGACGCCGGAACCCAAGTCACATTCTCTGATTTCCTTTGAAGTCTAATAAGAATGACAATATTGAATAATTTCAACCATAATCGCAGGCGTCAGGATACGAAATACAGTGACACTAGAATGAAGGAGAAAAGTCGTGGTCAGGTGAACCCGCGTCATTTTCGTAGCTCCAGTAAGTAGAACTGAGGTGATGGGAACTTGACAGTCCACACTGAATTGACATGACTACACCTCGATTATTATGCATTCCGAATTCAGGAGACGTCTGCGGTAGAACAATAAGGCTATTCATCGGGTCAACTGTGCTTGGAGGTGTGAGGTTGAGTCTGAGCGGGAGACACTAAGCGCCGACACTCTTTCAATTAAACATTGTCGCGGAGTGCAGCTCCCCGGCGAGTTGGAACATATTCCTAAAAAGGAAACGTCTAGATGATCATCCGAGACTTTGCCGAGAGCTTGTCACAGTCAGCTCCCGGACCCTGAAACCGTTAATAATCACCGACGCCCTCCATTCCACGCCGTCAACTTACCCCAATGTCATAGCCTAGGGAGCTCCTGTTTGATGCTCTTTGTTCACGGTCTTCACAACGCCTCAAATCATGGCACTTCCTACGATATCATCCAGTTTCAGCGATGCAATGGAATCAGAACGATTACTTGGCACTGGAGGTGCGGATTCAAACATTGAGTCTAGGGCACACCTATCTGTCAACGGACAAGCCCAGGAAGCCGTCGCACTGAAGCTTGCCGCTGCAGCTTACTCCTTTGTAGTTGCCGGTCTCATGGTGGCCACCATTGGAGTTACACTACCACACCAGCAAACATATTACCAGCTCAACGACATCCAAGTATCCGCCATCTTCCTCGTTGGACCAGTTGGCTACTGCTTAGCCTCGCTTTACAACAGCCGCATTCATGAGAAACTCGGGCAACGCGGAATCGCTTTCATAGGGCCCGCATGCCACCTGGTCTACGCAGTAGTAGGCTCCTTTCATCCGCCGTTCCCATTGTTCCTCTTAGGAGTGACTATTGGTTCCTTCGGGGTGGGAATAGTTGATGGATCCTGGTGTGCTTGGGTTGCTGCACTGAACAACGCAAACACACTATCAGGTCTGTTGCATGGCTCATTCTCTATTGGAGCTGCTATGGCCCCCTATATTGCAGGCGTCATGCTATCAGCAAATGACGGACAGTGGTATCAATGGTTCTATGTTCTAGTAAGTTATGCTACGATTGTGCTTGGAATACAGTCAATTGTTTTGTTTACTGACATTCTTTCAGGCTATTGCATCGGCTGTAGAAGTTGTCTTTTTGCCATTGGCATTCAGGCTTGAAACTGCTGCGAGATATCAAGAAACCAAGAAGACGCAGGCGAACCCCGAAGATGGAGTCGACCAGCGAGCCATCTTCCGATACACCGCGACCTGGATATACGCCGCCTACCTTTTGGCATACGTGGGCACCGAGTGCACTGTCTCCGGCTGGGCTGTTGCGTTCATGCTCCGCGTCCGCCATGCCAGCACCTACGCCTCGAGCATCTGCTCCTCGGGCTTTTGGGCAGGTATGGCAGTCGGACGACTCGCTTTGGGGGCCGTCACCGAGAAGTTGACTCCCCGGAGAGCAGTCATTATCTACTTGGTACTTGCTCCCGCCATCGTGGTGCTTTTCATGATAGTCCAGGTTCTCTGGGTCTCAGTACTTTCGATGGCTCTGCTCGGTTTCGTCATGGGTCCCTTATTTCCGTCCTGCATCGTCGAGTTTGTTCATTACCTACCGAAAGAGCTGCATGTTGGTGCGGTATCATTTGTGGCTTCTCTCGGTCAAGTCGGCGGTGGCATAATTCCATACATGCTCGGCGCTATCACACAGGTAGCAGGTCTTCAGGTGTTTCCTTACATGCTTCTTTCACAATTTGCCATCATACTTCTCTTGTGGCTTATATCGTTTAAGGTATCCGGGAAGAAACTACTTCAGGAAGAGCCTGGGCGATTAAGACAAGACTAGACGATGATAGATAGAGTCTCCGTGTCGTATTTGATGCTTCATGGAATCGTTTCCGACTGAAATAATCGGGAGGAGACTGAATACTGGTTATCAAACATAAGCTTGTGGTACGTACCTACTTGCAAGTTGCAAGGCCTCGCGAGACCATTTTAAACACGGGCTTTATTCATAGCCATGGTACACCCAGATCTTTTGGCAGGAATGAATGACACACTTTCCAGAACTATTTCTCTATTCTCTGACAAATTACCATCTATAACCAGGAGATCGCGATTGGCTTTCCGGAGCCATAGTAACACCAGACCGTTGACCCTGCTTTTTGGTTTGAGGCAGTCGAACACGGAATTACGCCGTCGAGTACTTGTTTTCCAGTCTAAAAGTCCAGAGACAGGAAGGGTAGCTGGATTCCAGGCTTTTCTTGGTCTTCCTTGCACTCAAAGGGAATGAAGCTGAAACCTCTTTTCTTCTGCTGCTGCAAAGTTATGACAATTATGGAAATCCAAGACATCTGCTGCAAGGACATCCAGACGTGAAACGTCTTGGGAGGTATCATTTGTGACCACCAGAATGCACAGTCGACCTTTTCGCCAATCCTTGACGCCGTCTGTTTTCTTTTGTTTCCTAGCTCCCAGTTACCTCCATCGTATTTAATCACTGCGAGAGAACAATATTGTTCGTGTTCACGTCTTGAGCATCCAGATCTCACTAAACGGGTAAGGTAGTTATCGTGGAATCACAGGTAATTCGAGTTCATTAGAAGAAAACCATAAGCTAAAATGAAGAAAGTTGAGACGCTAAGAAAATGACTTATGGTACACTCTATATGCGGAAGGAACAAACGACGCAGAAAACCATCAACCGTAAAACCAACTGGGAAAGAAACTGTCTGGAAGATCCCCCGCCCAATCCAAATAACAATCCCAAAACCAGACCTATCCGGCACTCGAGTGCAGTTTCCCGTGTCCTGCACGTCCTGCCTCAAAGCACTAATCCCTGTTGTCGTTGATAGAAGTCTCCCAGGCCCTAGCTCCCTTTCTCGATCGGGTTCGTCCTCCAAGTCGGAATCTTCCGGTCTGAGCTGAATCTTCTTCTTCCTAAGGCCCGAAAAGTCGTCAGTCTCCTGACCCGTTGGTTCGTTTTCTTTCGCTACGCAATGCAATGGAAAAAGTCTCTCAGAAAAAGTCCAAAGGAAACGACGAACGCCAAGCTTTTTACAATGCTTTAGACGAAGCCCTGCTTCGCTCTGGCAATATCGTCTCTGCTCCAGTCCCGGGTCAAAGGAATGTCGTCACGCACAAGATTGTTGTTGCCTTCGATATCGTTGGAGGTGAGTTCTACCTGCACGGCCTTGGGCATGTCGGCGCTCATGCCGAGCCAGCCTCCTGCGAGCATGGCAATTGTGACACCGAGGTATGTGCCGAAGATTAGGACAAGCTTCGTCGCGAAAGATCCCATGATGGGGTCGAGGCTGGAGATTTGGTTGAAGGCGTAGGTCGTGGTGTAAGCCAGGTGGATCAGCTGAAAGGGCAGGCCGACGACAGCAGCGCGGATCATGAGCATCGCGGGGCGGCAGTTGGGGCTGGATGAGGATCGGATCTTCTTGTAGGTGGGCCACAGCCAGGCGCAGACGGCGAACATGACGAAGAGCTCCAAGCAGTTACCGATTTGGTTCAAGCTGTTGTTGATCAGGCCGCCTTCGTGACTCGGGGATCCTCCGTAGGTTGCCATGCCGATACCCGCAGTGTTCGTGAGATGGGTGACGCCCAAAATGATCTTCTCGGTCCATCGCTTCGGTGATCCAGGAAGGATTATGTTGCTACAAAAAACACTCGAGTTAGTTCATCTCATCGACCGCAGATATTTGCGGATTGTCTTACGCTTCGTAAACAATGCCAATCAGGGTTAATGACAGACAAGCCAAGCTGCCGGCGCTCGTCATAATGTTGAACTGGTTTGGGAGCAATGGTTCATCCCGTTTGATGACTTGATAAATATCGGCAATAAATCTCATAGCGAAGTGAGAGACAAAGATGGGCCAGCAGACCATGCCCTTCTTTCCGTGCTTCCAGGTGATCCATACTGCGGCTGGGAACATGAGACCGTAAAGAACTAGCTCAGCAATTGCCAAGTTGACAACCTCGCTAGAGACGGGAGGAAAGTTGTGGGCTGCGGCTTCGGCCATGTTGAAGAATATCCGTTGCTGTCAGGGTGGCGGGTTGTGATTGGTGCGTTCGGTATCGAATCCAAATTGGAAAATTGAAGGTTGACTTTGCGTAGACGATGTGATATCCGAATTAGCAAGTTGCGCTCTTGGGTGTCTGGTTCGATGATGATGCTGTTGTTGTCAACTTGGCTCGAGATGATGCTGAATTGTCGGCTGATTTAACCATGATCTTGCGTCGTTGATGGACTATTAAAGTAAACCCCTATGTTGAGGCCGAGTCATTTGTCATGACGACGTTTTAGTCTAAAACAAGATCAGGCCGCACAACTTTGGAAGATCACTGCAACGATTGACAGCCAAATCATTCGTGTTTGGTGTATTGCCCAGTTGCACAGCCGGTCGATGGAACTCTCCCACTCTATCCAGCGATACCGAGACCGAGACCGATTCAAACCCAAATTAACGCCCCTGCGCCGTTACGCAGCGCGGGTAACCCCGAGTGGAGCATTTGGGCTTTGACACAGGCGGGGGTCCAATGAACGACTGCCGGCAGGCTCTATCCGGTCCTCGAGGCTAGGATGGTCCTAGGACGGGCCAAGGATCTGCTATCTTGTGAATGCAAAAGATGGTGACTGAGTGCAACAGGGCGTTTCACTCCCAGTTGTCTGCTCGCGTCTGTCTGCCTTGCCCCCAAGCCTTGCAACGATCTGCCCTACGGTGAACTAGCGGAGAATTTTATCTGAAGCCAAGCCACCCATCCAATCTACGTGAACCCATCCGTCCAGTCGATGTCACCCATTCCGACATAGTGTGGGGGACAACTGGGCATCAGATCGGCACTAGGGTTGTAAATACCGACAAAGACCAATCAAGGGGGCCTTGATAGCATAGAAATTCTGGCAAACTTTACCTCCAAACAGATTGGAAGCTCGGTTTCGAGAACCAGCGTGACCTTGGTCGTTGTCGATTGGCCCCAAGCTCCTACCAATGCTTCGCTTCTCCATCAGAAGAGGCGCAACAAATCCATGGTTACGGAGAAAAAAAGAATGCCTCATTGTTCGCGACCCTCTTTTCTCCCATCACGTCTTTCCCGACATATTGATAATTGATTGATTCTGGATCTGGAATTCTCCATCGGCACATGTTTTCCGTCTCAACTTTATTCCTCGCATTCTTGCCATCCTCTGGAGTCTCGACTGCTCAGTAAATCCGATGGCGTTCGTTCAGTACTTGGTGTCTCTGAGGAATTGATTGATCAGGATATCCTCTTACTCATAACAGAAACAAGCAACTATAATTAAGCTGTGCGGGCGTGTTCCAACAAGGCCACCTCAGACTCCAGGGTTTGTGAGACTCGCTCTCGCCGTCCGGAAAATCGATGCTTGAATAAGCACAGGCCAATCGTCCCGTGTTTGACGACTGAACTACTTAAGACAGCTGAATTTGAGGCACGTCTGGCCCGACTTGACTTTCACCTCGCTTTCGCGGTGCTTTGTGGGGAACCAGGATCCGGCTTGCGCTGCCATGCTTGAGGGACCACAGAAAACCACGATACGACGTCAACACCACTACGAATTCAGCAACTCTGCTCTGAGTGGCTGTATTGACAAATACCATAAAAAACTCTTTAGGCCGTTTATCCGATCTTCTTGACAATCTTTTCGGGCTGAGTTGAGATGACCGTCATTTGAAACCCCAACACGTCTCCATCATTGGGGCTTTTCAACGACTCTGAGCTCTGCGAAACCGAATTGCAGCATGCACGATGATCGCGAGATTTTCGAAAAATAAGAGAAAGCCTTGTCATTCGACCCCGAGAAAGAGGACCTTTCGCAGCGGGACATTATTGTCTGGAACCTTCGCATCGTGTACGAAATCGCACGAATCAGTAACATCAACTCTCATGTCCAGTTGCTTGTCCCAGTCGTGCCCGGACTTGAGCCACTGATTTAGTGTCCAAATGCAACTCGAGTCTGCAAGTCACAATGCAACGTCGAGGTGGGCGACGTTTGACTGTCGAATGCCGAAAGACAGATCAGGGCCGAAAGAAGCAAGTCTGGTTTGGATGGCAGATTGTGCAAGTTCAGCCACCTGAACTTTCAAGAGCGCTTCAGACACCCCTGCGCCGCCCAGCCCTTGGTATTAATGACGAACGTCCTTGATCGACTAGCTAGCCGTCGTCTACGTCACATTGAGCCGGTTTTGGGAGGTTGCTTTGGGTCCTGGAGAAGCAGACTTAGCGCTTGTTGTAAGCGATATGCCGCATGTTGCAGCCGCCCTAAGTTGCATGCAGACGCAGCCAAGTTCGGGCATCAAACATGATTGCTGCAACAAACTTGGAAGCTGGGGAGCCGATATCATCCATCCTTCTCCCAAGAGTTCTCCCACATGCTCTTCGAAAATTCGAACTGCTTATTACCTCCCCTTCCTGGAGCGACATGTTACCCTCCGGATTGCCATCTCAAGGTTACAATGCTTTGAATGATCATTCAACCCCTCATACCTATTCGACACATCACTGCCAAGATTCTTTCCTCCCGTCGATGCGTCAAGATTTAAATTGACGCCTCGGGTGATAGATCTTTGGCATGTGGTTATCTCTTGGGTTGACCAATCTGATGCAAGACCTCTACTGAATAGAGCAGCCCGAGATGGGATCCGAAGCATTTGATCTTTTCTACGATGTCGTGTTCATTTCTAACATAGTTTTATGCAGAGTACTAGTAACTATCACGATACGTCGACGAAAACCTAGCCATCAGCAGTCTGGCGACACGTAGTAACTCACACGCTCGTTGCCAGAATTTGGAAATAGCAAGCAAAACTCTTCCATCGCTTACAATAGTAGATTCTGTGTTCGATGCATCAAAGAAGTTATGCTCGTGCAGCGCTAGATAAGCATGTACATCAAGGGCGGCCGACTACAATAAAGAGGTTGCATATCGCTTCCAAACAACGAAGACTATCAATAACCGCCAAGGGCATCGGCAATGTACAAGACAACATCGCTCATGCCGATAGTAACATTCGTTGGCTAGAGGTAGTCTAGAGCTCGAAGTTTTGCATGATGCAGAATCATCTTGAGCCTCGGCAACAGATACCTGCAGTTTTCTCAGCAGCCACGTATGACTTTCTTAAAAGCTGATTTACTTGATATTCCTTGTCACATGTCGCATGTCATCTATTAAGCCTCTAATCCTCTAATGATCTCCTCTATTAGGAAGCTGATCGACCATCTCGCAGTAGTCAGGCCTATGTTGGTTGTGCTGGACATCAAGACTCAAATGCAATGGTTCCCAACTTACTACGTCTTCACGATGGGACTCTGTGCAAGCAATACGGAGGAAGGTCATCAACGAGATAATATTATCAAGGAAATACCAATACTATTGTGACCACACTTGAATGAATGCCCTTGTCAAGTTACTGAATGTTGAAAACAGGTTTTGGGCAACCAATCTACTTCGAATCATGGTAAGAAAAAAGAGACCTCTCGCCATAATAGAGCTCAGCATTGGCAATCTATTACCTTCTACAAAGGGGTGACTCCTTCCGAGACTGGTTGTTTGTCCATGGCTACATGGACTAGCTGTCGCTTCTCCGACACATTGGAAGAGAACACTTGAAGGGCCGAGTCTAAATGGTAAAAGATTGGCGTGGAATTCTTCAACCCCTTTGCCAAGACAATCAAACCACGACGTCTCCGAAGGTGGTACCCGACCCCTCACCTTATCACCATGTCTATCTTGAATCGTTTTTGACCGCATCTTGGATCTTTGAATATCGTAGGTTTTACGTCCCCGGTCCCCTCAAGGTCACAGCGCCTACTTCGCGGCGTGATGATCTCAGCTCCCACTGGCCAGAGAAGGGTGGCAAGTTCAGCGCCGTGCAAATTATCAGCCACGCATCTAATCGATGTCACACACGTGCCCGATTATCCATACGCTCAGGCCCTCGAGGACTTTAGGGAGCCTCGGGAAAGCCATTAGGTCCAGCTGCAGTCCGGGAGGGCGATTCGGAGACAGGGCAGGAATAAGGGACGCAAGAAGACAAACCTCGTGTCCGGAGTTAACCATCAGCCATGATTGGAGACTCGCATAATCTGGGCGAGTCATAGATTACCATCGCCAAGGAGTTTGGCCAATCTTGTAAAGGTTGTTTGTGTTTCTCTTGATAACTGCCGATAGTGTCGATGACATTGCAGCCTCTCGAGGCTCAACCATTCTGGGCCAGACTCGGAACAAATGCCTCGGGACGTCTCGGCAAACTAGACTGGAGCGTTCGCCCCTTTTCTGTTCGTAGAAGACAAGTCTGCCTTGGCCACCCGGTAGGCTCTCCATGGGCTCCTCCTCATTGATTGGTGACTGACTAGTTCCCCGACCTGATGGTGGGCCTTGCGCCATCAATCACCGGAGTCATTTACAGTCCTGAAATTGTTTTTGAAGACACAATTGGCATTTTCCATTCTTCGCAGTACCCTTCCGTAATCTAGGGAAACGGGATCTGCCATGCCTGTCTCTCGAGATTCTCTTGACGTCTGCATGTACTTCCCTAGGCATGCCACGGATGTACCCCATCGGACCCTAGGTACCTAGATCATGACACCGTTGTCTGATTTGATATTCGTTTGTCATCTTTACAAGTAGACTTTCAGATGTACGAGTCCCTGATTTGTGCTAAATAGTTGGTAGGGGTTATTGTTATTGGTTTTAGTCCAAAGATATCATTCCTGTACTGAAAGTAACACCGGCTCGGAAGACGGAATTTCATGGTGAAGAGTCAATTGAGAACATTATCTAGAGGATGATTGATACTCAACGAAAGGAAAAATGACATTTCATATGAAAGATTCGTCTCCAACAATTTTAAACAACTAGAAACTCCGAACCCCATTTGAAAACCCAATATCAAGTGAAAGGCAGCAAAGAAATCATCCCACACAAAGCTCTCAATAACTCATTAAATTGTTCAAGAGTCCCAAATAGCGCCATATGCTGGGACACCTCTAGTTTCAAGACCGTAGACGACCTTCTTCGTAATCTTTTCGTTCGCGATGATGATGACAGCTTCGGCGTTGAAGCTCTGGACGAGGTTATATCCCATCTTCACCAGATCCGGGCGGCCCGAAACCTTGGTATCGTGAACCACAGCGTTGGGAATCTTCCTCTTTATAGCATCGAGCAAAGGCTTGCCGAAAGTCTGTTCGGGCTTTGGGGTAGACCAGATCAACTGTGTCGCACAGCTCTGCTGCTGGATATGACCAAGCAGAGGCCCGATACCCGAGCCAGTAGCGATGACAACGATCCGATTGAAGCAAGTTGCAATGCGCATGACACCACAGGTTGGGACGCCGCGAACCCAAATATGGGTGGGAGGCTTCTGAATGCAGTTCTTGGTCCAATCGCCGGCATTAGACACCACCAGAGAGAATCCCTTCTCGCGATGGTCGACCTTCTCAGGGGCCGGAATCGTGGCGAACGAGTGCCACTCCAGAAGAGGTCTCTGAGAGAGCCTGACGAAGCTGCCGTTGACAGGAACCGTGTAGTCAAAGTGCAGTCTGACGGCGTGGTCGGAAAGAACTTCGGCTTCGACGGGGACTTTCCTGAGGAACAGCCAGGAAGAGGCAATGCTCATTGTAGCGACCGCGAGCATCCAGAATCCGGGCGTTCGAATGCATGCGGCACCCAGAGACATGTCTTCGACCTTGCTGTCGTTGGCGCCGAGAACAACCTGGACCCAGAAAAGGCCCAGCATAGTCCATCCAACGAAACGATGAGTCTTTTCGAAGAGATCGTGATGGGTTTTACGGAACCCAGGCCAGGCGAGACCAATGGTGATGGTGAACAGACCCGTAAGAAGCCAAGACACGACCTTTGAAGCGACGGACTGGTGGCCCCAGTTGGGGCACTCGGTAAGCTGGCAGACCTCGTCGCTAATGTTGGATGCCAAAAGCCAAGCCCCGGCAGAAACAGCAGCGCCCGAGTGAACACCGCCAAAGTGGAAGATCTTAGCGCAGCGCTTCCTGATGGCAAGGGGCCAAGACTTTGGCACGTTGCAAGTGATTGTATAAAGCGTGTTGATGACGAAGTCCTGACGGGCGAGAACGGCGACGACCAGGTTGATGGCTGTGAGAGTGCTGAGCCAGTTACGCTGGAACCCGGCAAAGACGAGGGCGATGACGGCCGCAACGTTGAAGAGGCCCACGATGGTGAAGAGACGGCGGTAGACAATGGCGATACGGTGGACGAAGCCACGGTAGGGACGGCCGAGATTCTTGTCGGGGACGTCACCGGTGAGGTCGAGCTTCTCGTCCACTTCGGTAAAGCTGGAGGCGGAGGACGCGGCCTTGAGATCTGTGGTGGTGGAGTTGCTATCCGTGGACAAGGACTCCTTTGAGGCCGTCTCTCTGATGGTGACATCGGCGACTTCCTTCTTGTCGGTATCGCCAGACTCAGTGACCATGTCCTGGAGCGCCCGCTTGTCGACTTTACCATTGGCGGTCAGAGGAAGGGCATCAAGGAAGTGAAACTTGGTGGGTATCGCGTAGTAAGGCTGGCGAGCCCTGACATGCACTTGGATTGCGTCGAGATCGCAGTCTTTGGGTGCGACGAATCCATGGATCTCATTGCTGATGAACAAGGCGGTGGCCTTTGACACGATGGGACAGGAGCTGATCGAAGAGGTAACTCCGTCAAGTTCGACCCGGAATCCCTAGGCATACTATGTTAGCAAACCTGTTTGCCATGTGAGAGGGCGAGGCTAGGACTCACTTTGATCTTGATTTGATCATCAACTCTTCCAAGGATATCGATGGAGCCGTCTGATCTCCAACGGCCGAGGTCACCAGTGTCGTACATCATCGAGCTACATGAGTATTAGTGGATAGCTCCTAGCGGTCTAGTACATTACACTCACCCGTCATTGGCAAAGGGATCCAGCTTGTATTTCTCGGCAGTCTTCTCAGGCAGAGACACGTAACCCCTAGAGATTCCGTGGCCACCGGCCCACATAACTCCGGCCTCTCCAACACCGAGAGAGTTGCCCTGCGAGTCAAGGACATAAACAGTGTTGTTAGGGGTAGGCTTTCCAATCGTCAAAGCTTCACCGGGACGGTGAAGGTGCATAGTGTTGACAATGGTGGTCTCCGTAGGCCCGCAGCAGTTGTAATAGGTCGCATGGGTGGCCCAAAGGTCAGCGAGCCTATAGAGTCCATCGTCAGTATAACTCAGGTACCTTCAAGAGTGTAATGGAGGTCTCACCTCTGAGAGCTAGGTTCACCTGCTGTCGCAGCAACTCTGATGTTGGAGTACTCCTGAGGGTCATATTTGGCCAAGATACTTGGTGTGCAAATCAAGACTTGAGCCTATGTACTATGTTAGTCTTGCATTGGCGGATGTCAAGTAGTTGTCGTTTTACCTCTCTCAGGCACGGCTCCCATTTTGAACCTCTCAAGATAAGAGTTCCTCCGTTACAAAGACATCCCAGCATCTCCCAGGCAGCTATTCAGAAATCAGTCTAAGTGATTCGTTGTCTTGACAATGGAAACCCACCCATATCAAAGCTGATGTTCAACACCTGACTCACCCGCGTCCCAGGTGAGATACCCAGGCCACCAGGTGAGAGGCATACGAGGTTAGTCACATTTTTATGGGTGACATCCACTCCTTTGGGAGTTCCCGTAGTTCCTACAGGGCCGAAAGATTAGTTCAGCTGTCCCCTCAACTTTGAATGGACGAAGACGTGATCGTTTACCCGAAGTGTAGATGACGTAGCAGCCATGGTCTGGCTTGGCTAGGTCTTGGAGGGGGTAGGATTGCGAAACTTCCTTATCTTTCTCCAAATCTTCATCAATGACAAAGGTCTGGGAGGGAACACCCAGGGTCTCGAATCGGTGCTTTGTTGATTTGAGACATAAGACGTGTTTGCCGCCCGCCTGTTCGAGAACGAACCGCAGTGTTGAGTCTGGCACCACACCGCCGTCGAGTGGAACGTACTGAGCACCGCAAGAAAGAATCGCAACAATACCGACTAGCATATCGATGCCTCGCTTTACGACAAGCGGCACCCTGTCTCCAGGCTTGACCCCGAGTGTGGTCAGCTTCCTTGAGAGCTGGTTGGCTCGAGTAGCAAGATCACCGTAGGTAATCTCACGAATCTGCTGCGACGACAAGTCACGCCCTGCGGTGACATCAGGATGAGTCTCTGCATGATGATAGAATGCGGCCGTAACGGTGGGATAGCTGGACTTGATTCGTTCGCCTTGGGTAAAGGATAGAGGGGCTGACCCAACCGGAGTTGAGGCCGAGTCTTGAACGACAGTGTTTTGCATGGCTGCGGGACTAAAATAGACTGGAGGAGGGAACTGGCAAGGATAAATTCCAAATGAGAGCCAAATAAAGACCAGGCTATTCCAAATCCTAATAGATCTGAAGGAGTAAATGCTCCTGTTGCTTGTCGACTCGTCATCATGTTGGCGAGCGCTCGAGACTTTAAATATCTTCGCCAGCCTCCTTTGGCCCCCCTCGACAACCTCTATCCCCAATCCCCTGACAACGCAAGCTCTCATCCTCCTTCCTGGACCGGATGCAAGAGGAAAATCTCTCACCATCACGTACATCCGTGTTGAGTTGCATCGCACCCAAGGCCATCCGCCAGGGTTATTGCGTGAATTCTCCCACTCATGGCCAGCAGATGTCTTCGAACTCCACCCGAGCTACATCGAGAGGTTCGGACTGACACATCAAAATTCTCCTTCCGCGTTGAGAAGACCTCGCAGTCATCACGAGAAAGAAACCATGTCCTTGTCAGTACGGCGGGTGAACTTGACAGCCGACTCTCAAACAGGAAAGTTGTCGGCGCAGACATGCGCATACATCCATTCATCCATCCATCCATCCATCACATCACATCACATCCAAGCATCGATAACATCCTCACCAAGGTGTGTCAACCAAGTTGGCACAGTCCTGCAACGTGCTGCAAGGCCCCACCTCAAAACTCGTGGGACCTAGGTGCGGTGCCTCATGCAAGCACTTTCAACCTAGTTGCAAGTTGCCGTGTCAATCTTTACAACCAAGTCCAAGTCCACAAATGACATCGGTCCAACGCCCACGGCCCGGCCAGCGGAGTGGGCCCTCGACTGCCGGTGGGCGGGGTGGAACTTGGTTGTCACGATTAAATACCTTCTCGGCCGAGCTTAGGAACATCTGGCCGCCGGAATACGAGACCGCAAACGAAAGCAACGCAGCGTTTCATCGCCTGCTGGCTACCGACATCAAGGTACTAATCACTGATCAATCATCTTTGATCGTCCAGTCGGTCGCGAACAATAGCTTTAAAGCCTGATCATCTGCTGCGGCGTAGCGGGGAGCTCGGGATCGACTCGGAGGATCGTCGAGGTTTCAAGGATCAAGTCCTTGGACAACGAAACCACAAGTCGCGGCTGCAGGCTCCTCCGACTGAGGCCTTGTGATCGGTGAAGGTGGTCTTCTCCTCCTCCAGGTCTAGTCTTTGCGCAAAAGACTCTGGCAACGGACTAGGCTTCGTCAGTGAGTGGAGGGAGGATCTTGTCCCCAGAAGGCCCAGATCGAGATGGATCCAGGATGGCTGCGACGCAATCTAATCAATCTCTACGAGTGGATTCAAGTGGTGTGATTTTCTGCCCCCGCGATCCGTGGGCAGCAACTGGGCCAAGCCTCGAAAAGCTGTTGTTGCTGGCTGGCCTCTCTCTTCGAACTGGTCCCCAGTGCAACCTATGGGGCCGGGCGACCGTGGGGGACGATTTAGACGCGGACAGGGCGATTCCGTTTGCACTACGACGTTCCGGAACTATCCCTTGTTCAGAAGCTCTATATGCCGATGCAACCTCACGTCACTCAGCCGAACGCAACCAAGCGACCTATCGAGAGGGCCCAAGAAGTGGCCAAGACGCGGGAAGCACATCATACAACCAACAGAAGACGCGGTTCCCCTTCTTCGCGCCTAAATTCCGAAGGTCCATGTCACATGTGAGCGAGGCACAGCTATTCAAAAGCAGAACTTGGCAGCTGCTCGGGAAGCTGCTTGCGGATGACAGATGCTGATGTAAAATTCTACAGGTATAGCTCCTAATCGGTTTTTGTCAACCTTTTTTGGACGCTTTCTTCTTCCATATTACTCGGGAAAATGTAACATTGAACTAGGCGAAAAGAGCGCAAAGCGGGTGATCACATTGCAGTTGCCGCAACGAGCCATCTCCTCCGAGCCGCTGCCGCCGTCTGCATCGGAAGCCCGACCGTAGTGGGGTCACGGAGCTGGGGATAGGCCGGCGAACCAGGACTGGATTCCTCAAGGTTGCTGGTTTTGAACTTTTGGAGACACTTCACGCGCGCGCGGCAGATCGGGAAACATCGCAGGGCTTCTGTTGTTGGCCAACAACGTCGTCCTGCACTTTGTCAAGTTTTCGTCAGCATCTTCAAGGGCCGTTTACCGCGGGAATCTATTGCGGTCCTGGCCTCAGTAAGCCCTGTGACGTTTATTCCGAGTCATTTTCGAACGGGCGGGATGGGTTGTGACGTCGCTCCGTCAGCTCCCCTGGTCTCGACTACAACCGATGTCGGACATTTTCTCACTCGAGGTGGCTGGGATGTTTTTTTTGCTCCCCTATAACGCGTCAAAGAGTTGTATGGCCTGCAACAGTAGCAAAAGCCGCAATACGCCAAGTCGGCGACATTGTCCGAGTATCAGAGGCAGGAGAACCGATCAGCGTACCTTGGCATGCTCTAGGTTGTGTCGGACTTCGGAGCGGGGTCCGCTCGAAGTTAATCGGTCAGCGACTAGATCTCAAGCAGAAATGGCAACTCTAGCCTGCCCATGCACACCTTGTTCGAACTTCCCATGAACATCACATGCTGGTCGCGATAGCATCAAATTGGTGTTTTGTGTGGTGGTTGCAGAGGCCAAACCTTTTTGGCCCATTTGGCATGCAAAAGGACATTCAAATATTGCGCGCTTGTCGGATTCGCACTTTTGAACGTCATTTGCGGCATGAGTGCAGTGTGAAGAACCGATCTTGTCTTACCCTCCTGCCGAATCTAGCAGCTGTTTGTCTGTGTCGTGCATAAGCCTCGGAGCTATCCGCAATGCTGCAGAACAAACTTGCCACTGCTTGCATACGTCGTGGGACATATGGCAAATCATGGAGTATCTACCTTCGCCTTCACGGTAGTTGAATATGGAGCATCTGGAGCTTGAAATAAAGTCCGAGGGTCTTTTGCTGATCTTCCAGAACAGTGCAACGGTGCCTGACATATGTGTACACCTAACTAAAGGGGTGTAGCGGCAGTCCGTTGATCGCGCCTAGCAGTTTTTGGTCACATACGCATGGCCAGGGAATGAAACGGAAATCCGTGCATTATCAAGACTTAGCCTTTGTGTCATATTCGATACAGAATACGCTATCAGATCAACAGCTATGAAGTCTGGAATCAGCCTTCTACGCCAGGGCATGCTGCCAAAGTAGGCAGGAACTTCAATAACCTGTGCAATCTGGCGTGGTGAGGAAAGAATAATTTGTCATGAGACCGCAACCCTCAAAGACACCAATGTAGGTAGATTCCAAAGTACCTAGTAAACATGCAGATTTTCCAAGTACAGCAGCTGTCAATTCCTGAGGAACCTTTGATAAGTTGTGAAGTGGTTCTACTGGTGTTTCAAATCTTGAGATCGGCCTTTTCTTCCCATTGCGACATCAGGGCATTGTGAGCAGCAAAACAGATTGATATCGAAACCTGGTCCAAAGATTGGAAATCAAACAAAAGTATTCATAGGTTCCAGGCGCTCTTTTCCAGGCAGCAAACGGAACCATGGACAAAAGAGTAGTTGGGATAAGTTTGGCGCCGCCCAGGCAGGGATCATGTCTCTTGTCTACTTTTACCTCACTCATTTCTTCTGTGACAAGTCAACGATGTCCATTATTTCCCACAATCCAACGCAGAAAGTGAAGACATCTTCAACAAACCATCAAGCAGACGCAATGGTATAAACATGGAGGGAACAGTCCCCACTGCAACTCTCGCTCCTTCCGTATTTCATCGCCGCAGACAGCCCCATCTCATCAAACGCCACATCCGAGTTCCGAAAAAGAAGCACCCTCGCTACTACCAGTCCAGAATATTCCCAAAACAGGAAAGTCACATTATTCCCGCGATAGCATCTCAAGATAGCACCCCTAGCATCAGCATGTCGCGTTCCAGCTCCGGCAAGGTCAGCGCTTCCTCGGGCTCCGCGGCCAACCTGAACCCATCCGCTCAGCCCTTCACCCCCACGCGTCTCGACAGTTCTCCTACCAGTACTCCAGTTGATCACGGTATGTATATGCACAAGTTCGCCAATTACGGACATCTAAATCCTCCTCATCCTTACATGAGAGGTTTCGTTCCCCCGCGATTTCACGTGCTAGCCCCACCCCCACCGTTTGGCCACGCCGATCAGCATCCCGGATCTTCACATGGACATGGTGCCATCCCACCATCTTCATCGCAGCATAACGCTAACCTCCAAATCGCAGGCGATCTTGCCTACCACCAGGCCAAAGCTGTTGAGGCTGCAAACATGGCGGCAGCTCAAGGTATGCCTCATCCTGGCTACGATCCTACCCACCCTGCTCAGCCTTCATTCCCGCCTCACCCATTCTACGGTCCTTCCCCTTACGGCGCGACTCATGCGGCTCATGCAGGCCCGATGCCTCCTTCTCATCCCGGTCTCAACTTCCGTCCTGACAGCAATCTAGGCTCTCGGCCTCCCGGCTATAGCCCTGAAGATCATCGATCTTCTCCAGTTGATCCGGCGGCAGCAGTTGGCTATTCGAACTACAATCCATACGCTCAATACTTCCAACACACCCCTCCTGGTCCTCCTTCTACGCCAAGTTCGGCCGGTCTCTCGGCCGGTCCCTTCAACCCCCAGACCCCGCCCAACCGGAACAATAGACGCGGCCAAGCTGACCCCACTCCGCCAGCGCATACGTTTTCCGACGATGGCGAGTTTTACCCCGGTACTGACCCACGCTTGAAGAACCACTACCGCGCGCCAAACTCTCAGTGAGGAAGTTGGGAAACAAGAGGGTGGATTGTCGAGCTGGAGGTTGTACCGTTGCTACGCTGTGAGGCTGCGGAAGGTTCCGTTCGTTAACTCGTGAATGTCGACAAATGTTGCAGTGAAAAGGCGATGAGGTCACGTCATCGAATAGCAGAGACTCGCACTTGTGCTTGTTATCTGTCAGGTCTCAACTATGATCAATACCCTACAATTGCTCTATGGTTTATTTTCTTCAGTCACACAAAACTTAGAACCTGATGATAAAGCGTGGAGAGATGCTATGAGCTTTAACAACAGATAGCAGAACTCCTGCGCGTACGGCTGAAAACATTATTGATGCTAAGAGTTAGGTGGGCTTCCCAGCTCACAAGATTGCGACCGCTCTCAATAATACAAACACTTCCAACAGGTAGGCTCTAGAGATTTTAGTAGAATGATTGGAAAGTAGGTTCATGACATGATCCCTCCCGTATCAAAAGATTAATGTAAATACAATACGCCCAGCCGGCTTCTGGTGAATTGCGGAAACGGCAGAGTTGGTCTACTTAATTTGACTATTTGAGTAGAATCTATTTGTGTATACAGACAATTTCATATGACTCGCAGCTAGCAGCACACCAGTGAGGCTTCTCTAAATCCCGTCTTTCTCCAGGAGGATAGTATTTGTCTCAAAATCAGGCTGGGCAAGAGCTGCAGCCAAGTCGGGGCCGGCGCATGCCTTTAGCTCGGCGCGGTAGCAAAGGCATCTGAATAATAAGTGGTCACGTGGTAGTAAACCCCACGGGGAGGGAGTAAGGCAGGTATTTGAGCATCTTCTTCTGCCCTCATTCCATCAAGTGATATGGGAGACGTGGCAGAGTGGTTGAGAAGACGCCAGTGGAATCCGTCCTTCCTCGAGCTGCTTGAGCCAAACGCCTAACCTTTTGTCCAGTTCCCTACAGAAGATCATTTTCTTTCTCTTTTTTCAAGCCCCCGTCCCCGAGTCCTCCGTAAATTATTGGATGGAATGTTGATTTCTTGACTGGTCCATCCCACATAAGGTGAATCAGCCACTTTCCAATCTTCCGCAAAATCACGCTGGTTAGAGACCTAGTTCTGGAAGTTCCGTTTGATTAACATGCATGTATGTACGGATCATGAGAAATAGCTATCTGTCCACCACTGTGAAGTAATATGAAGGTTTAATATCCAAGCCGACAACAACAAAAGGGCAAAATCTACCGGGAGAAACCCAATGTCCTGCTAGCACCGTGATCTTGGCAGATGCTCTCCGTTAGATTCATCTGGTCGAGCATCGAAGGTAAGCACTACCACAACTTCACTTGGCCGCCTTCACTTTCCCAAATTCCAGCTTCTCCCACTTCATGAAACAACCACTGAGAAATGCAATAGCTCCCGCCGCCACAATTACGAATTGCATATCGGCAATCACACTCGCGACATCCTGAACGGCAACCGCAACCACCCGACGATCCGCAGCCGTCCAAATCTTGGAGTCGAGACCAGCCAGTGCTTCCCTGATATCATGATCGTTATATCCAAGCCCGGAAAGTGACGCGTGGAGGCGATTGAAGCCGAGATTCGAAAAGACGCAACCTGCCAGGGCAAGAGTGACCGAGATACCGCCAAGCTGAACCATGATGAAGAGCGCGGTAACGTCGAGACGACGGTTCGCAGGTACGGCCTGTGTCATGATGGCTACCCCGGTCTGCCATATACATCCGGTTCCGGCACCAATGAGGGTACTGACCCCCATCACCCGGGCTTCGGAGGTCTGAGGTGTGATCTGAGATTGGAGGCCGGCGCCGATCATTGCTAGGGCACCGCCTGCCACGTAAAAGGGGGCATATCGACCGATGACTGGGATGAGTCCGGCCATGACGATTGTGAAGACAATGAAGGTGAAGATGAAGGGAAGTATGCGGACGGCAGCATCGACTGGCTCAACTCCCTTTGTGAAGGCGAAGAACAATGGTGTGTAGTACAAGGCGATTCCGTAACAGCTGCCGGCAGCCATTGTTCCAAGGCCGACGAGGGCGACGGTTCGGCTCTTGAGGAGGTCGGCGGGGATTGCTCGGTGTTGCTTGCTAGTAAAGAGACAAAAGTATTGCTGCGCAAGATAGACGGCGTAGATGACACCCACAAAGACCCAGGCCACGATCGCTGAGTGAGATGACCACTCCCAAGTGGAACCGCTGAAGATGAGCGCGGAGCACAAGAGAATGAAGCCGGCCATGTGCAAGATGATACCGAACCAGTCGATGGTGAGGAGACCACCGACGAGGGGTGTATTGACGCCGACCTCGATGGGAGGTAGAGCCACGAAATTTAGGACAGCAATGACAGCCAGGATTGGTAGGTTGAGATACATAGCCCACCTCCAAGTGGCGCTTTGGTTCTCAGCAAAGGCTCCTCCGATGACAGGGCCCAGTGTCAGTCCAATTGCCCAGGAGACGGCCATGATACCCTGGACGCGAGGTAGTTCAGCTGGGGTTGTGAGAAGAACATTAACCAAAATACAGCTAGGTCACATTGTTAGCCAATATTAAATGCTCAAGTACACGTCACCTACAGCTGGTAGATTCCAGCGCCTCCGACTCCCGAAACCGCGCGGCCGATGATGACGGAGTTCATGCTTGTGGCGGAACCAGACACTGCTGCACCGATGAGGAATATCAAGGTGTAGGCGACTATTTGCAACTTCACGTGTCCCAATAGCGCCAGCTTGCGGACGAGAGGAACCATGCAGACCTGGGTTGCCGTGTAACCCGTCGCAACCCACGGCAGAAGATGAACCTGGCCGAAGGCTTCGTAGATCGGGGGTTGGATGTTCGCAATGTTACTGACATCGTATCCTAGATGTTGACGGTATACATTAGCTGGTGTTCGGAGTCTTTGTGAACTTAGAAGAAAGTGGTGTTCTCACCAAGCAGCATGCCTCCGAGGAAGAAGGCAGACTGTATGCATGGCCAGCGCCATACCGCCATGCCATCTCTAGGATGCCTGCTCTGTGACGCTCCATCGACAACTTCCTTGGTCTCTGGGAGGACGCTGCCCGTGTACGTGCTCCCTCGCTCGACATCACTCCCAGACGTGGGCTTTGTATCTGTCTCCATAGCTCCAAGGCAACCTTGTGTGAGATATGTATGGTCGTCTGAGTCGCGTGTAAGAGGGCCAAAGCCAAGCCACAGAAGGAGGTGCGAGATAGGAAGAACAAAACTACTGCAGTGTCTAAAGAGGGAAGAGAAAATCTAAAGGCATCGGGGCACAGTCTTCTGCATATAAGTAAAGCACTCTCCCATCGGAGAATTGGCATCTATCTGGGCAAGGCAAGGACGTGCCGTATCTCTGCTTTTACTTCGGACGGGAATGGCGGCGCCACACCCACTCAATTCTTACCGCCCGCCCTCTGCGCCGCGGCGGTATGCAGTTTGCTTCAGCCCGCCCCCGGGACGGGCCCCCAATTGCAACCGCGTTCCAACATGCAACATATTGTCTCCCAGCATCAAAGTCGCAGTGAAGTTCTATTCAGGTTGGATTAGCAGGGTGGCGGACCACAAAAGCCGTGTGATGAGATCGAGCAAACAACCAAATGTGGCAGAAAGCCCGAATCACAAACGGCGGTAATAGAGTTGGAACCAACGAAGAAAATTGACGTGCTGTCGATATCCCGGTGCTGCGCCGCACTCTGTTTTGCACCCAACAACGGAACAATTCACCCACAGGCAAACGCTTTTCTTCGATCGAGATGAGCGGTCAACAATTATCAAGTGTAATGCGGGATTGTTCTTACTACTTCGTACAGCCTGATTCGGTCATCGCAAAAAGCCCAATACATCATTGCGTGAAACACCAATTAAGCTTCAAATGAAGTTGACAGGGTCTCACGTCAGCCCAGCGACCCAATCTACTGGTATAACGTCTACCCATCTTTTCAAATTTTGACGTGTCGATAGGGCCACGGAAGGAGCCTCGTAGTGCCGGTTGTGGTAAGATTGTCCTCCCTTAGCGGCCGCAACCCCCGGCTTCCGACCGCGTGTCCACCTTGGTTGGACCGCTATGCCGGAAGGAATCCATGCAGTGAGATGCAGCCAGGGAGTTGTTGGCCCCCTTCGGCTTCAGCGAATTATAGGAGCCGTCAGGTTGGATGTGTGCTATTCCAATCTCGCCGGTCGTCTCATGTCGGGCGGCTGAACAGTCTTGGCAGAGGCAGAGTTAGACTCCCAACGGCAATCAGGTGGTATTAGTGGAACAGCACAGGATTACACGCGCATGCCGCCCTGATGTTGCGACTAATGAAAAGCCTGTGAATTGGTAAATGATGATGGCTTTCTATTTCGCTTGGACCGCCTCTATGCGTCGACGTTGTGTTGGCTCTAATTCAACCTTCCTGGAAAGCCAGGCCCATCAGGCGTGTCAGGGTAACCTGAACGATACAAGGTAGGATACGAAGGAATTCTTGGACCCCAATCTCTCCGAGCCAAATCGGACGCGATTCTGGTTATAATGCAACATCACGACTTCAAACTGACGTCTTGAAATTTGAAAATCGAAGCGAGACACAGTGGCTATTTCTTTCTTTCTACCTTAAGGTACTGAAAGCAAGCACACGTAGTTGAGTAGAGTATATCTCACAAGGCTTCAATTAGCATGCCCTGTGCGAAGACACCGGCGCAAGTATCCACATTCGGCTCCGCGTCCGAGGCCGGCTCCATCGGACGGCGTTCCAGGATCTTCAGAACCTTCACAACCCCAACAAAAACCACGACAAAGACTCAAATTAGGCTGAAATCCTTCATCTACGAACAGCAAAACAGGAAACAAAAGAATTCGTGCCCAGAGGCGGATTCGAACCGCCGTCAACACGGATCGCTGTATAGAAGAACCACAACGTATCATCCTAACCAACTAGACGATCTGGGCTACGGGTACTAGGGCCGTGAGCCCTTGCTTGACGGGGCAGCTCGAGAGTCACATTATACATGGTTGCAGTAAGCCCCGGTGCCATGCCGGCCATTAATACCGGCCAAAATGAGACCGGATACCTTTTTTGAAATCGGATTTTGCTTGAATATGCCGTTTTGTCATGTTCGATCCAATCTTCTCATCATCGGTGACGGTTGTGGAGGATTCAGCGGTAGCTCGTGGGCATGGCCTCAGGCTCCATCAAAGCTTGTAGTTGCTTTCGGCTTGAGCCTAGGTGTAGATCTTATTCTGAGGATTACTGACCCTTGATCGCCTCTGACAATCATATATTCGAATGTTCCATAAGCGGAGTGAGGCGCACATGAAGACTCGCGTATGAGAAGACATAAAAGAAATGCTCATTGCGGTCAAGTCGCCCATGTCGCTTGAGCCACGCCACGATCCTTTACCTCAAATGCTTTGTCCTCGGCGAAGCAATTGTTTCCATACTTGAGATGATATGATTGAAGGGACAAGAAGGATGTTCTCATTGTCATTCGGGTCAATGGACAATGAACTAGGTACTTCTTGTCACTTGAAAGCAATGAGAACCCAACACAAGACATACTGCTGTCATACTGTATTTAAGATAACAAGAAGTTAGATAAGACAGCATCTTCTCGGAGCATCTCGATCATCTCAGCTTTCCTTACTACGTTACTTGGGCCTCCAATATCAACACTGGTACTTAACCACCGCCGCGTTCCTAGCAGTATTACATCGTAAGTCAATCGTGCCCTCACTACACTAACAGCCTCTTCAGTGGAGACCAAGATGCCCTGCGGTACTCCCGGACACCCTGGTAAGAGATGGGCAGCGCTCCCAAGCCTGGATCAATCACGAAAGAGGCCAAAAAATATCCATATCAACACATCCCGTGACGGACAAAACACCCGTTCATCGACCTGTCCATTACCCCATAGCCCAGCAACAGACATCTTGTCGATCTACCGCCGAGGCCCATACGTCCCTCAAGGAGGTATCTCAGCAGTTGGCACTCATACCCAGCCAGTCCCTGAGTTCCTTCAACTCAACCCTCTTCAACCGAATCGGCCCTCTAGCGGCTTCTCAGTCACCCTCCCTCCTCTTAGATCCGTCATCGGCAACAACTCCCAGTATCCTGATGTTCAAGCATGCCGGACATGCCCCCAATGCGCTGAGACTCTCCTAGGCCCGGAACCCATCGGCACCAACGGCCAACCCGTCCCTACCGTATGCGAGAACTGCAAGCAGAGCAATATCAGGGAGCAGGTCCTCCGCAACATCGCCGCCGAGGCCCTCCTCCTACTCAGCACCGGTGTCGTTCCGATTCGCGACAACACAAACGAGGCACCAGCGGCCCCCATCAGCCCTCCGAAGCAAGATGACAGTGACAGGCTCTCCCAAGAATACCAAGGCTTCCAACCCCACAGACCGTTTCTCTGCGTCCGCTGTAAGAGATCGGGTGTGCCATGTGCCCCCGGACGAAGACGTTGCGCAGAGTGCATCTGCATTCTCGTCGCCTTTGGCCCAGACGATGGTGCCGGTCCCAAAGAAGGTAACAGTCAACCCAACCCGTTCAAAAACATCCCTCCCTCGTCACAGAACCTTACTCGACCGCCGGCTCTCTGTGACGTCTGCCACGCCATGAACGTGCCCGCGGGCACGAAGCGCTGCGAGGGATGCATTGCCCCAGATACCCCAAACACACCGCTGACAGCTTTCTTTACCGCGCAGGGAATTTGTGTCATATGTGAGCATAACCACGTAGTACAGGGTAAGTCCCACTGCAGGAAGTGCCTCTTCGAAGGGACGACCAGCGCCGAGCCCCTACGAGCCCTCCAGAGCCTCCCGGAAGCCGAAATCATGCAGTGCACTGGTTGCGGCCACCAGGTCCATCGGACCCCCGAGGGCCACTGCCGCGAATGTCGAGATAACCTGTCAAGCAGCAGCGAAAAGGACGGATCGATGGATGACGACGACAAGCCTTCGGAGCCGGTTTCCTCCCTGGGTACCATCTTGAGGAAAAAGTGCGGTTGCCAGAAGAACTTTGCTCCACTAGGTAGAATGCTGTGCTCAGATTGCCTGGCTGCTAAAAAGATGGTAGGATATTCGGGAAATTGGACTGCATGGAAGAGGACGCATTGGCCAAGACTGCACCCCGATCGGGAAAAGAAGAAGCATTGAGCCTGGTGTAAGTTCATGGCTCGAGTGAGGTGTATCGGTCAGAGTTGTGGTTGCCCATGTCGCTAAAACCTATGCAGCTCTGGTACGAAAAAAAGACGCGTCTGCTTTAGTTGGAGTGCTGCTGAGGGAGTGGTGAGAGGATGTTAGGACAGGCGAGCCTAGGTAAGTAGAGATAATTCAAAATGAAGCATTGTGCTGGCTGGATCCGGTCATGTACGACCTCACGGATATACATACCTAGTAGTCAAACTTGCGCGGAGTTGTCATGAACGTGAGCAGACATTTGGCTGAAGAAACTTGACTTGTTTGCATGCTGAACCCCAGAGCTTTTGATTACATACGCCATCATCCCCAAACTAAGAGCCGAGTCTATGTACCGTTGGCACGTCTACCGCCACGTTTACTCCTGTCAATGTGGCCCTGCAGCACCTTCTTCGTCTGCACCAAACTCCTCTTGTTTTTGTACTTGGCCTTGTTCAGCGTCATCATGAAGTTCTTCTGGCGCGCCTTCTCCTTGTTCGTCGAACTCTTGCCCTCGGCCTCCTTCTTCGACCGGCGGATGGCCTGCGTCGACTTGTGCTCTTCGCGGCCCGGCTTGCCTTCACTGGCCATCGCAACTCTCTCCTCCTTGGTCGTCTTGCGCAGCCTGGCGGGAGCCTCGATCTGTTCAGCCGTGAGACCATCGTCGGCGTGGCGGGCCAGAGCCTTTTCAAGCTCCTTTGAACGCTTCGTGCTCTTGCCCAGTGTCTTATTGAGACTGGCCTCCATACGCAGCTCCTGGAGCTTCGCAAGGTCGGCAGGCGTGAGAATAGTGGTTGTGGCGAGTTTTTGTATCCTCTCGAGTTCGTCGGCGTCGTCTTCCTCGTCTTCCTGCTCAGAGTCCGATCCGTCCTCTGCTGTCCTGCGCTTCTTCGGCGCAGGCTCATTGTCCTCATCGTCCGAGTGGTCAACGTTGATCCAGCCGCCCGAGTCGTCGCTGTCGTCAGAGTCCACTTCCCAGTCCTCAGACTTGTAGCCATCCTCGTCCTCGTCTTCGTCCTTGTCGGCGCCGTCTTCAGGCAAGCCCTTGGCGGCTCGCTTGAGCTTGCGCTGCTCCTCCTTGTATCTTGCCAATAGTTCGATGCCCTCGATGCCACCAACTGCCTCCTCGCCGAATCTCTTCGTCTTGATTTCTCCGCTTCTGAGACCCATGGACGCGTCCTTGCCTCGGTCCTTCCTCTGCAGCAGATCAGCACCAACCTCTCTGTACAGCGACAGGAGACCCTTGGCCGCCATCATCGTTCCCTTGTCTTTGCTCTTTCTGTATTGAACAAGATCTTGCAACAGTGTGTCGGTCATGGCCAGGGGCTGTCTGACGCAAATTTCACGAATAGCATTTAGACCAGCAGCAGCGACTTCGGCCGCGGCGGCTTCTGAGACGAATTCGTTGGCGATCTTCTGAATGAGAGGCTCCACCGCATCAGGGGGGACCAGGCTATGCGTTCCCTGAGCTAGAGAAGCCAGGTACGAAGTGACCGACTCTTGGCGAGGCGTAAGGAACTTGATGAACCACGAGTACAGGCTGATGATGGTCAACTTGTGAAGACCAACCAGTCGTGTAACCAGCTGCAGAATGAGGAGCTTGTTCTCCTGGGAAAACTTCGTCTTGGTGTTTTGCAGGTGCTTCTGGAAGACGGTCTCGGCAAAGCCTTGAGGGTCGTGCAGGAGGTGGAAGGCGGAGAAGTTGAGCGGGTGAGGCTTGCCCTTGCCGCGCTCCTGCTTGTGAATCTTGGCAACGGCCTTCTTGTACGCGTTCTTCTGCTTGTTGGACTTCTTGTTGATGCCGATCTGATGCTTCATCTTTTGCAAATCAATCTGCTCTTCGTCGCTGCTGTCATCTTCCAACTCCTCACGCTCCTTGTCGCCACCGAGGAAGAACCGAACGGAACCAACGACAACCTTTTCGTTATCGGAAAGGGCCGCCTCTTTCATAACGTCGACCGTCTTGGCATCGGTCCAGATTTGTCGCTTCCACAGCTCGCGGGTCAGCTTGACAGCCCAAACACCTTTCGGTGATGTGCGATCGGCCGTGATGAGGTTGTAGAGGACGGTCTGGATCGTGCGGTTGAGGGGGTGGTTCGTCGCCTTGGAGTTCGCATTGCGCATCTCGGTGAGGATCTTGCCGAACAAGAGCGTTCGCAGCGTCTTGCTGGGCGACGAAACGAGGATGGGGAACAGCGTCGTGAGGTAGTACGTTGAGTCGATGACGTCCTTCTTACGGAGGAGCGCCAAACTTCCGACAATCTTCTCGCGCAGCTCGGGGTGCAGGACCTCGTGGTGCTGCAGCAGGATCGCCTTCAAGTCGTCGGGGAACGCGACGGCGTGCTTCGGGTACAGATCGACGGTGTGCGCGAGGAGATCGACGAGGTTATGAAAGGACTCGGTGTACTCTCTCGTCGCTGTCGTCGGTGAGACGAGGAAGACCTCGCGCTGACTCTCGTACTGGCCCCATTGCTGAAGGAAGTTCTCTTCGTACGACTTGGGGTCGCGGCGGATCTTGTACTGAAGGCCGGCGCTGTGCTAGTTAGCAATTGAGCATTTCGGGAAGATCGCACGCAACTCACAAGTCGACATCGACCTTCTCGAGGGCGGTGACCTTGCGCTTTCCCATGGTTGCTGTTTTCGCGGCTGAAGTCGACGGGTTGATCGGTGTCTGAGCGACGGCGGGGGACTTGGCCGTCAAAAATCTCGACGTCGGCAACTTTTTTCGCTTATCGTTATCTCATCTTATCGGACATAGTCAGCTTATCGCCCAGCGCTGAGAGCCAATTTGGTGGGCCCGCTGAGCGCCCGTCTCCAACCGGAGGCAGGCACCCAGGTACATGTCTTCCTTTTCCTTGAGACATCTCAAGAGTACCTATTTGAGAGTGCCGGTCCTCACATCCAAAGACTAAGGGGAAAGCCCACGTCGGTTGAGCAAGGATATAGTCATATTGAGACCCTCTCGGCTGAGTCTTGGTGTACAGTACCTTAAGAATTGGGGTATTGGGGGTACCCAGCACAGCAGGGACAATTACGATCCGTCCTCCACCATAGGTTAGGTAGCTTGGAAATGTCATAGGCGGCCTACTCTGATAAAGTAGTTCGCCACACTTCGTACGGCAACCAGAACCTTTGCTGCCTATGACTTTTCTTGGGCTTCTATGTGATCAAAAGGCCCATGCAGGCTGTGCGCTGTGCGTTCGGCGCTTGTACAGGCGATACACAGAGGCGACCGCTAGCCTATCAAACTTTGGTGATACACAGCTTCATCGCTTTAGGACTGGCCGTCTCCATGATTCTCGCAGCTTTGACTAGCAGTGGCACTTCTTAATGAGCCTTGGCAAAGACCAGGCAACCAATCTCTGTCGCTCATTATCTGCCATGTAGCAGAAGTCCCAACCAACTAATCAGGCTATCCTTTGCTCAACGCCGTTTGTGCAAAAGGTCTATCTCTCCAGACAATCCATCCCTTATAAATTGAAGTATCAATCTTATCAGAATCGAGCATTTAGCATCCTCAGTTGTGTACGCCAGCGCATCACTTGCTCCCACCACGCGACTTCCGTTGAGCCAAGACATCATCGACTTATCTTTTGCTTTTTCATATAGATCGCTCAATGTGCCAGCGCCATGTCTTCCATCGAGTGGAAACGTTTGAACGATGAGATCACCCAACTCTACGTCACTGAAGATAGATCTGCGGAGGACACAATCAGGACTTTGAACCAGAGACACAAGCTCAGAATAACGTATGTAAAACAGTGTGTCTATTGTGTAAAACTTTGCATATCCTACTTCTAACTTGGAAAAGTATCAAGCAGTTCAAAAGGCGATATTCAGGCATGAAAAAGCTGCGCGCCAATGAATGGAGAGCCATCAAACGAGAGATGCGGAAGCAGAAAGCCGCAGGCAAGGAATGCCTGGTCTTTCTTAATGGGCGCCAGCTTGCCCCGGAACGGGTTGTCAGAGAGATGCGTCGATATAGCGGCATTCGCGGTCAAGATGTAGAGGATGGCAGTGTCCCACTTGGTGAGTAGCCTATATTAAAACCTAATTCGTCATTGTTTGAGCGTCACATCTCTAATACACACTAGACATCGGTATTGATACCACAGATCAGCATCGGGTAGAACTACGCACAAAGGGCCTCTCAGAGAGCGATATCTCGGCAGGCGTCGGATCGAGCGTTGCACGACTTTGTTTTTCATCAGATGCCACTTGTGTTATAAAATCTCATGGCACAAACTCAGCAAATATTGATTCTTTACAGGAGACCTTCCTCGATATGGACGGGAACGACCTAGACATGAGCGCCCTATTGGAGAACGAATCACCGGATCTGCAAACCGTGCAGACCATGCTTTGCACACGCAGTGATCAAGCAGGTGTGCACGGCAATAGTGGAAATACGACATCAGCCATGACTCAGCGACCGTTTCCAACGCCCGAATTCTTCATGCCGGGATACGGTTTTCCTAATCCAAGCATGGTCCCGAAGTTTCGCTTCAAGATACCAGCTCGCTTCTCGAAGATGTTGCGTAGTATGGCGGGGGATATTCCTCGTACGTAATGGCCAAAACACCATGGCATACCTTACTGCACTTATTGCCACTGGAACTTCGCTGACGACCGCCGTAGAAGTGAATCACATCATGAAGTATTATCTCAAAGGGGAAATCAAAAGTCGTGCCTCCAACGTCAACCAGCTCCGGTGGCTAGCCCGGCTGGAGACACGAAATCCTTATTCTGGCTGGACAGCTCTGGCGAGTGGTGACACTTCTCTACGTCTCATGAAGCCGATCTACTCCATTGCAGAGGACGTTCTCTCTGGCGAAGGCGGCGACGGGAGTTATCTTGAAAACGCAGATGCAAAGAATTGCCACATTGCTATGTGCAAAGATCAGTGTTTGCTGAATTTATTCTTTGCCGTTGTTCTACATCTTATCTGCAACAACATCGCAGGGGTTTGTGCAATACCATCACTTCTTGAGTGGGCGACAGAAATGAATGTCCTGGATCAACTTGCAACCTACTTGAAGATTAATCCAGGCGACCCCGACGCTTTCTTAGAGGCAGCTATACGATGTCTCCAACTCGGCCTGGATAATTGCACTCCCTTGTCCAGATCGCACTCTTCTCAATCCTCATGGTGGGAGCAGCTGATTGAACTTTTCGACAATAAGGGACTGGGATTTTCCAAAAGATTGTCCTCTCTTCTCCTTCATGCTATTGCAGATACCACATCAGTCTCGTCGGCAAGAATATTACTTGCCAATGGAGCTGATGTCAATGTTACAGCACCCATCACACATGATCATAGAAGGTTCAGGGCTCATCAATCCTCTGACATCTCTTTGGGACCCCCACTGTTCCAAGCTATATATTCTACTCAATACGACATGGCAAAAGTCCTCATCGAGGCAGGGTCGGAAATCGACCGTTGCTATAATGGGAGTTCTCCTGAAGTATCTTGCAACGCTCTCAGTATTTCCTTTTCAGAAAGCAACCCGAAATTTGCCGAAATTCTGCTGGAGAAAGGAGCTCAAATGCCCCCATCGATCAAAGTCGATTTATGGCCCATGCGGAGGCTTTTGGAATCAACTTGGAAGTTTTACCCATGTCCGCTTCTTCGACAGTGGATACTTGATCACTTACCCCTCATTGATCTTGTCGTCAAAGCCGCGGGTATCAGTAGCACTGAGCTCTCGAAAGTTCTTCTAGCACACAACATCCTTCAGGAGGCAGCTTTGGAGTGCGCCTTACGTCGAGCCGTCAAGGCGGGAAACGTTCTTGCTGTGCAAACGCTACTCCAACGTGGCGTGGATCCGAATCCACCTCCATGCCAAATTGAATGCTCAAAACGTCTAGGGATTGACGAAGAATTGGTAGCAGTGGCACCAATATGTTTGATCGATAAGGGCATTAATGAAGATGAGAGACTCGACATCATGGTTCTCCTCTTGCGAGCTGGTTCAGACATGCCCGATCAAATTCTCGATTATCTTCTTTTCGAACTTGGAGGGAACTCTACAATACTCTATCCTCTTTTAGTACCCCGCATATTAGCGACACCAATACTTGGAGCTTCCGCTTTGGAGAATGCAGTCGATTGGGGCCTTTCTCACTGCAGCCTCCTTCTTGATCACGGGGCTCCCTTAAACTACCATGGACGCGGCGGAATGAGCTGTTTACAACGAGCGGCAGGCAAAAACAACCTACTCCTAACACGTTTCCTCCTCGAAAATGGTGCGGATGCGAACTTCGCTGCTCATGAGGATGGAGGACGCACGGCGCTGCAGAGTGCTGTCGAACGCGGGGCAACTCCAGTCGTGGAATTTCTCCTCAGTGTTGGAGCAAATATAAAGGCTGCTCCGGCGAAGAGGAACGGGGTTACCTTGCTTGAAGCCTTGGCCAAGTCTTCTTTCTTTAATCTTGACTTATCCTCGAAGTTAGATCAGTTCCGAAATTGGGTGGCCAAGGGTGCGCCTATCAACCGCCCAGATGGAGATGACGGCAAGTTACTACACTACTTCGTCCGGTACTTCGATCATGCGTGCCTGGAAGAAGCATTAGTCTTAGGGGCAAAAACAGACGCCAGATGCCACGAGGTTCAGGATGAAGAGGCCATGTAGCTTGGAAAGGCACCAAGACCCCTCTTCAACTTGCCGCGTACTTGGATAAAGTGGACGCTGCTCGCTTATTACTTAAGTATAGGGCAGACATCAACGCGCCTCCGAGTGGTGCCTACGGCAGAACCGCATTGCAAGAAGCGACTTGTAATACCAGTGGACGGTGTGGTCATGAGATGATGCAGCTTCTGCTTTCCTTCGGCGCAGATGTTAACGCGCCACCTGTAAGGGAAGGCGGCATCACGGCCTTACAGGGGGCAGCAATCAGTGGCGATTTGGGGGCTGCCAAGATGCTGCTGGAGCGAGGAGCAGATATCAACGCCCCTGCCGCAGCTGAGAATGGGAGGACGGCGATTGAGGGAGCTGCCGAGCACGGCCGCCTGGACATGGTCCAATTTCTGCTCGATAATGGCGCTAAAGGGGAGCACGAGACTGGGTTCTCCAAGGCCATTGATCTGGCAGAGGCAGAAGTCCATTTCAGGATTGCAAAGGTTCTGCGGGCGCATGTTGAGACTCCGGCGTACCCGGACCTGGCTTATGGAGAGAGTAGCGATAGAATTGCTATTGGACCTCCTCCAGATTTTGTAATATCGGACGAGACCTTGTATCATTTTGATTTCGGGTTCATGGAGTAATAGAGGGACTCGGTGGGTAAGGGCACAAATATTTTAAAGTAGTCAAGTTGTTGAAAGTAGGAGATAAGAAGGCAACATGTACAGTTTCTCTTACACACTTACTTTGCGGTACTTTTCAGAGACACTGTATGTACGAAGTCATTTCACAGGACAAAAGGCACAAATGTGTGAAATCCATTTCTTATTACCAGCTCTGAAAAGTTGGCCTCACCACTCTCACTACATATCTATATACAATCTCCCCGATACCAAACTCGTCTAACACCGCACGTATATATACCACCCCCCTTCTGAAAAAGACTGACTGACTGGCTGGCTGACTGATGTGAAGAATCATTCAATGCATGTGCGTTGCGTAAACAGGACGTGGGTGTGATATCATAACACTTTGTTTCATTCCTTCTTCTCCTTCCTTCCTAGCCCCTTCATTTCACATTCACTCTTTGACTCTTCTGAAACATCCTAACTCGTTCGCCTCTTTCACAGCTCGTCCCGTTCATTCTCGTCCGTATCCTCCATATGCTCCAGCTCAGTCTCTTCATTCACATCGATATGTGTTTGTTCATCTGCGACGTTTTGCTCCACGTCCTCTGCGACAGGCAATGCCGTCACCGAGGCTAGCTCCGCGTCAGACTCAGCTTCATCCACAGACTCTTCGACTGGTGACACAGTCTCAAAAGCCGATGGTTCTTCAGTCTCGGATGCATCCTCTGCAACGAGAGTAGCAGCGGCAGCTTCTTCGACAGACCCCTCGGCCGCTCCAATCATGGTGTCAGCCTCAGTCTCGGCCTCAGCCTCGGCCTCAATCTGAGCAACCTCAGCTGCAACGCTCGCAGTAGGCTGAACCCTCACAACCTCAGTCTCAGTGACAACAGCCTTGACCGTCTCCGTCACAGTCTCAATGATACGCACCAACTCTCTGGTAGTAATCGTCTCATGAACCGGAGTAGGCGAAGGAGCCCTGAGTTCCTCAGAAGAAGAGGAAGGCGAGGCAGTCACAGAAGTCTCTTGCTCAACGGCAGAAGTCTGCTTAGTAGCCAAAGTAGACGTACTTTCAACATCCTCAACGCTCGCAACAGTCTCAAACTCAGACTCAGACACAAAAACCTCCACACTGAGCTCAGGTGCATCAACTTCAGGCATGTCAACCTCAGGCGTAGGCTGAACAACAACCTCCACCGGAACCTCGGACGCCGTCACAGACTCCACAACAGCCTCAATACTCTCCATCAACGGCGCCTGTGAAGCCTGCGAAGCAGTCACCTCAGCCACGGGCGCAGCATGATCGACAAACTGCCCATCCCAATCCTTCACCTCCCTTGGCGCAGGGCGAATAGCCATGAACAGCACAAGCAAACTCATAACCACAATAGCAAGGTTCTTCTTATCCTGCATGAATACCCGCGCAGCCTCAAGAAGTAACTCCCCGAGCCCCGCGTTCTGGAAGGGTTGTTGGCGCTGGTGGTGCTGGGCGTAAGCTTCCTCTGGCGGGGGCGGAGACTGGTGATGTTGGTGGTGTTGCTGCTCTTGATGGTAATGAGGTTGTTGAGGTTCCGGCTCGGGTTGCTGTTGCTGTTGTGGGGGAGGAGGGGACCGAGCCGAGTACGCGTCGTGGTGCGATGACGCGGGTCGAGATTCGGGGGCTGGCTCGTGGTGCTCTGGTTCAGGCGCCGGAGGGTGTCCGTAGATCTCACGCATGCGCGCCTCATCGCGGAGACGGCGTTCCTCGCTTTGGTCGTAACGGGGCATCGGCTCCGGGGATGGGGGCCGGATTTCTTCTGCCGCGGGGGGAGGTGATGAGATGGGGACGTGGGCCTCGCTTTCGATATAGTTTGGCTCCAGCAGGTTCGTCTCCTCAATATGCGACTCTTCATGCAGAGGTTCCTCCAGGTCAGGCATATCGCGGTCAAAGTCCGACATACCGCGCTCCTCGGGCATGTCTCTCCCCTCAGTTGACTCGAGGATGGTAGGATCGTGCTTGACCAGCGACAACTGCTGAGACTGCGCGACAACAAGACGCTCCAGCTCATCCAGAACAGCTGACTCGACGATGGGCTCAATCTCCACGTCAACGCGCTCCATCTCCTTCCAGCACGCAGCCCAGGCGCCGGTCCTCATAAGGCCGTTGCTAGCGTACACCTTGATGCGGAAGATCTTGCCGGGGCCGAGGGACTCGTAGCGGATCTCGTGGCGGCACGTCTGACACCAATGCGTCTTTACAAGCGCGCTCTTGCGCCTGGACTCTTCCTCGTACTCGTCCTCGTCGCTGTCCATGTCCTCGCCGAGCGTCATTTCGTTGGAAGGGCCAATGTAGTGCCCGCACTCGAGAACGCGGGCCCTCCGGCGAAGAGGGAGGTCGAGGGCTTCCAGCAAGCGCTCTTCAAGGATCTCGTAGTCGTCTTGCGGGTGGGAGAGGAGGATGCCGCGCTCGCAGACAGTATCGGCGACGCGGTCATGGAGGTGGTGCCAGGCTTCGCGGAGGGTCTTTGCCTCCGGGGAGAGGGTCTCTGAGGACGTCTGCTCGAGGATCTCGGCCCACTGCCAGCGGAGCGGAAGGAGCGTGACGTGCAGGAGAACGAGCGGAGCGGGCTCCTTTTTAGGGTTGAAGCGGGTGGGTGTCTTGCGACCCTTGGGGGAGTATTGGGCGGACACGTTGGGGCTGCCGAGGCGGGAGATGGTCGGCACCTGGGAGCGCTTGCTCGATCGCGGCGAGTAGGAGCCGGTCACGGAGGGCGCGGGAGATGAGTATTGCAAAGCCCGAACGTCGGAGGGAGAGCGGAAGGGCATCCGGGGCGCGCCGCGGATGGTGGGGACGAAGTCTTCCTTGTCGTAGTAGGACATCTCGGACACGGAGACGTCATCGGACATGCGAGAGAATCTCTTGGAGGAGCGGTTGCTCGTGTCCTTGTGATGATCGACGTTGCCGTCAAAGGAACCGAGTGAGCTGCGCGGGCTGCGATCGCTGAAGACGTCTGAGTCGCCGTGCTGGGAGGAGCTGTCGCCGCCGTCCTCGGTATGGGTGGGTCGATGGTGTGCGTCGCTTTCCCGCCGGCTAGTTTGTGATTGTGTATTGTAGGACTCGCGACGGCTTGCCCGAGACTCAGTATTATAAGACTCGCGGCGGCTGGCGCGGGAGTCGGTGTTGTAGGATTCACGGCGCGTGCTGACGTCGTAGTGTAACTCTGTGCCATTGTTTGTAGATCCCGTGGAATCATGCCGAGAGTGTGATCTGTTTCTCATGGTCTCCATGGTCTGAGCCTCGAGTCGCTCGAGGACCTCCTTAGCGGCAGCTTGAATGAGAGCTTCGGTACGACCGGAAGCGCGGCGGAGAGATGATGAAGAGCGGCTGGCTTCCTGAACGGCGGCGGGCTCATCATGATCCTCACCGGCGTCTTCAACGGCAGTAGCTGGTGTTGGGGTCTCGTCGGAGTCTGTCTGGGCCATGTTGAGTGAGTCTGCGACCTGCTCTGCCAGTTGGCTGGTTGTGATCTCGGCCGCGGAGCCAAGTGACCTTCCCCTCTCAGCCTCTTCGACTTCAGGCTCAGGTTCTGCGGCGGGTGTAGGTTCTTTCTCGGCCTCAGCCTCGACTTCGACTTCTACTTCGGGTTCGGGCTCTGCATCAGCTTCTGGCTCAGCTTCTGGCTCGGGCTCCGGCGGAGAAGCATCTTCCTTGTCCTCCTCAACTTGAAGCTCAGGTTCCGTCGGAGGCGTCGTTTCTACTGCAGTTTCCTCAGCCTCAACGACAGCTTCGGCTTCGGCCTCAAGCTCTGCCTCTGGTTCAGGCGCCGACTCTTCTGGCTTGGTCTCCTCCTCAGCCGCTGGTTCGGGGGTATCCTCCGAGATAGCCTCTTCAGGTTCGACCTCCCCCATTGAAGGCTCCTCTTCAGGTGTGTCTTTGATATCGGTATTCGCAGACGAATCTGCTAGTGTTGTGTCAGGTTCTTCTGCCGTTGTTGCTTCTGGCTTGTCCTCTGGAGTATCTGTGTCTTCCGAGGCAGGTTCTGTCTCTTCAACCGTGGCCTCGGGCTCTTCAGGAGCAGCTTCTTCCGCAGGCTTCGTCTCCTCGGCCTCTTCGACTGTTGTCTCGGCTTCCTTCTTAGAAATATCCTCGTCATCAGCCTCAGCAGCAACCGCCCCGGCCGTCGCTGAGTCTTCCTCCTTCTCGTCTTCCTTTACATCATCCACCTCGGTCTTTGACTCTCCCACAAGAACCGCAGGAGTCTCGTCCTCGACATCATGTATATCCTCCACCGTCTTCACCTCCTCGGCCCTGGCAGCACCAGCAGCGGGGACCTCGTCGTCCATGAGTTCGGGCTCGACAGCTTCGTGCGCGGGTGTCGTCAAGCAAGACTGATCAACATGGATCTCAAAGTCGAGATCCTCGGGTTTCGGCCCGGATCGTAGCATCTATCTCTCTTTCGCAGAGTAGACAGACAAGAGCAATCCCCGATCCAGAGTGAGAATAGGTCGACCGTAGACGCGGACGGGAAGGAAGCAAGCAAAGCGGTAAGCTGAGATAAAAGCGGGCTTTCAGGAATGCGGTGAATTGGGTTGGGATAATCCTCCTTTGCTCTTAAGAGAGCAGAAAGAGAAACACAACGTCAAGAATGTGAGGAAGTGTGGGGGTGGTACCCTATAATTCCAGTCTGTTTATGAACCCCCCGGTTCGGGACGGGTCGAGGGAGCAACCGGTTTGGAGGTGTGGTTCGTTTTGGGCGGTTTGGGTAACAAGTTGTGGTGCTCTTGTCAAGGTGGACCTTGGTTCTGAAGAGCAGAGTTTCCTAGTGTTGACTTTGAACATACGCAGTGGACAGATCGAGGAAGAGAGAGAGAGAGAGATGTTCGGCTAATATGTGATGCTTCGTTGTCTCCCGGTGGTTGGTCAAACTATTTCAAGTGGGCTTCTTCCTTTTGGCGCCGGTTGGGCATCAGATGGGGAAGCACGAAAAAAAAGCTGCGGTGAGAGTGAGGCGCGTTCAGTCTACAGAGTCGGGATAGGCCCAGGGTGCAATCCTGCATTTGCCTTTGCATTGACAAGTGACGGGAGTGGCTGGCGCATCGACGGGGGGTTGCGTTGCGTGAGCTCATCTGTTTTGTTTACTTCCGTTGCCGGGTCGAATCACGGGGGGGGAGGAGTGTAGTGGGTGGACGGTCACTGGTGACGGGGTGGGGGTGGAAATTTGACCCGCTTGTTTTCCTCCTCGCCCAACCATCTTCTTTTCGCCCAATTGGGTTCTTCACCTCAAAGTTCTGGACACGATGGAAAGTCTTGAATTCGGATGGTTGGGGGAGGGTACTTCATGTACGAATCTGCAGTGTCCATTCGTTTCTTCGTGGTAGGTTTCTAGTTTCTATCTGTCGTGGTCTTGTTGTTGTCAACACACTTTCATGAAGGAGTTCTTGGGCTCTTTACCGGCAACTTCCTCGACGGCCCTTGATTTAACACCAAGACGTCGTCGCCAGCTCGCACAGCCTATTTGACGTCATCTATCAAAGTCCGATAAGTAGATGAGTACGTACGGAGTAGATGGTTCTCCCATCAACGGAAAAGCCCAGACTCTCTCCATTTTGAAAGGTACCTGTCTCCAGGGGTCAAAATGTCGGTGACCGCGTCTGATACCGTCTTAGCCACCCGGATGCTCCATCCGGTCTTCCCATCCTATCCGCATTTTCGCTCATGGTGCTCCCGTTTTGGCGGCGTGGCATGGGGCCCAGTTGCCGGGCCGCTTTGACCGGACAAAAGTCAATCCAACTATCTGTATCTGTACTCTGCGACTAGTGAATTTTGGAAATGAATGCTTTGACGATCGTGACAGCTTAGTTTCGATCTTCTTGCTGGCTGTTGAAATGACATGTTTTGATTTCGTCAGCGGCTTGAGCGCATTGTCGTTTACTTGATCGCCAGGCTAAATATCTATCCTCTAATACACCATCAGTCACATCATCAAGTCACGGCATGGAAAATCATCTGAGAGGTACAAACTCCCGGTCTATGATTGCAAACTACAAAGCGACTATTATACAACCCTCTGGCGGGCCAAGCCATCTTTTCGTCTATCATGCTCTATGCTTTCTATGATAGGCAGTTGCTGAAAAGATTTCCCAAGTCCCGACCTCCTCCAAGGAGTCTTGCTGAACAGATGAAAACAAGAAGAGTTTGCCCAGGCCCGATGTTGTAGTGACCTCAGCCTTTTTCTTTCTTTCGTGTAAAAAAGAGAAATTTCTAATGCAGAGAAGCAATGCTGCTTGCTGCTGTGAGAGGATATCATAAAATGTGGTTCCCCGCCGTTTAGTGTTTCATTCCTGGGTTATACAATCCCGGATCCAGGGTGATGAAGAGGGGACGAAGGAGACATCTCTGTCCTCATCCAGAAACCAGCACCATTCGTCTTCATCTTCTTTGCCAACCATCATCATCTTCCTCTCGCCTCGTCTCTCCGGTTCGTCAAGTCGTTGTTTATTTGGAGATCTCGACACCGCCGGTAGCACCGAGGGCCTTCTTGAGATCACCGTAGATGGCGAACTGACCGGCAGTGAGGGTACCGACCATGAAGAGACGGGCACCGATACCGGTGTAGGAGCCGCGGATGCCGAGCTCCTTGGCGATCTTGATGAGGCGGGAGGTGGTGCCTTCACCGGGGAGACCCTTGGACTTGTTGATCTTGGAGAGCATGGTGTCGGCGGGCTGGGAGACGATGGCGGCGGCGAAACCGGCCATGAGACCGGAGCCGAGGTTGACAGCGGTCTGGGCACCGTCGGAGAGGGTGTTCTTGGGGTACTTGCGGAAGATGGCCTCGGAGACCTTCTCGAAGACGACGAACTTGGACATGGTGTAGGGGATCCTGAAAAGGTATTGTTAGTTTTTTGGGCTTTCTGATACCCAAAAAGAGCAGGATGTGGTACGTACTGCTTGAACAGAATGGGTCCGAATCCGGCGTAGAAGGCACCGATACCCTCGTTCTTGAGCATCTTGCTGAAGCCACCGATGAGACCGTTGGCGTAGGTGGGCTCGGAGACGAGACGGATACGGGTGGCCTCAAGGGGGCACAGGGCAATGTCGGCGAAGAACTCGGCGGCAGCGGAGGAGGCGAGGTAAACAGCAGTGCGGTTGTTGACGGCGTTCTCGTAGCCGATCAAGTTGATGGACTGCTGCTTGAAGAACTCGTATCCACCGAACTTCAGGGAGCCCTGGAGGAAGTATCCGGCAGCGGTAGGTCCGAAGCCGGTGAGAAGAGCGCCGGCACCCTCAGACTGGATGACCTGCTTGAAGCCACCGATCATACCGCGGTTGTAGGTGGCGGGGTCAAGCTGGATTCTAGTCTTGACGCTGTGTATGCCCATGTTAGCCATCTGTGCCAATTACATTGTCACACCATTGCGGTCCGTCATGGGCAACGGCCGCGGTTGAGCGGAGCTTCTCTGGCAGATTGCGGCCTTTCTCTTTAGCCCGCCAATTGGGCTTGTGAAAGAAACGCTCGCACCAGCCAGGGAGAAGATTCTCCCCCCAAGCTGAGGAATCGGCAAGGGAAAACACCTACACATCGACAGGAGTGAGGGCACCGTGGGTGACGGAGCAGCAGACGGCACCGGCAAGGGCGAATCTGGAGTAGAGGGCAAGGCCGGAAAGCTGGCCAGGGGCGGCAGCGGTAGCCTTCTCGACGACGGCATCGACCTTGGCCGAGCCGGTGGAGGGAACTGAAGAGGCCATTGTGGATGTGATGTGTGAATCGAACCGGAGAAAAAACGACAAAAGGCTGAGTGGGGAGGGACTTTTCACGAAGAGCCGCGCAACGGGATCGTGAGGTTCAAGGGGAGGAGGTGATGGATGGTTAAAAAAGGGAGAACTTTTTTTTTTGTTGTTGTCGAGGGACGGGAAGTCAAGGTGGCCGGGGAAAAATTGTGAGGCCTTTTTTTAGCGGCGCCGCGGCTGGGGGGAGGAGCGAGCTAGGACCGAGACAGGCGCAATTGGGAACTTGTCCTTTGCAGCGGAAAAGATTGGCTCGGGATTACTCGGGTACCCGCGATTGCGCACCAACCATCGAGATACGTACTCCAAGCCAGACCTGGACGCAACAGGGGTAAGCTCTTGCTCGGTCTCTCGGAAAAATCTTTGCGTGGCTAGTCGCTGGTCGGCCAAGGTTTAGCCGGGCGGTCTTCCCGGAGCATCGCTGTCCAGCACCTCACTCGCTGCAGTTCAAGTTTTTTCTTTCGTTTCCTTCCAACGCAGCACGCAAAAAAAGGGATCCACCCATCCACTTAGCGCCCTCCATTGACCCATGTGTTTCCCCGTCAGTGTCGTCAGAGCTGTCCGGGATGGCATCTGGACATACGGTACGGATGCCTTCCTTCAGCAGCCAGCTACCTTATCGCCGTTGCATGCAATTCGTGATAATTACCTAATCTTCAATCTTGGTATTCTTGGACGTTGGCAATTCCATCGCTAAACGGCACCTACCAAGTCGACGACAGCCCAAGTCCTATTTCGTACCTACATCTTACGTCCCTGAAACATCTTCGCGATGCCCGGCTTGGTGTAGATTCGACACCTGCGTCAGAGTCGCCCTCCATCATGACTCAAATTCGCCATCTTTCCGCCCGCCATTTTGGCGGATGAGGTAAGCGCTCGGGAAGCTCTCCGCCCACCTTACCTCAGAGTGACTAGACTTAGCCGCCAAGCATCCTTCGGCTCCGCTGCTCCGATGCCTCCGGGCAGACAGCCGGCAACCTACAGACGAGAGGTAACTCCTTCCGTGACCTAGAAATCGATTCGAGATGTGTATCAGGTCATGAATATAGACTGCATGGGTGTGTTAAAGTACTCCTGCGTGAACATCATGCATGGAAAATTTCCGGGTATCGATGGTGTCTCCACCTACAAATTCGATAAGAAACATATGCCGAAAGCTTTTGACTTCATTAAAAATACAAATTCCGAAAAATAGTACAGCGCCAAAAATGCCTATCAACAACGCTGAACATTACATGACCAAAGGCAGCACCCAGTCTTAGTTCATCATCATCATCAAATGATAGGATACAACGCAAACCACAGCCTGCCGTTAAATTTTGTTCCTGTTCCCGCGCCTAGATTTTAGTTACCCAGACAAATCGCAGCTCGTAACACGCTGCTTTGATTCTTTCTTCCGAGGGTATATGTAGAGTGACGGTCCAGTTCTGCAGAACATTTAGCAAGACGCGATATGATTGTAAATGATTGTGCTTCCGATTATAGCAAAAAGATCCTTAATTACGAGCCTGGATCCATATTGTTGTTTTCAAACAGACCCAATACATCTCCAGGCAGGTATTCCAACCATGGTGGCATCATCTCGTTTGGCAAACCCAATGCTCCGATATCGATCGGGTTCTCAAAGGTAATGACATCCGTGATTGGGCCCATGCCATGCCCAAGATAGGAGTATGTCGCGTTGGCGTACGTAGGATCAAATGCAATGTGCTGTCCGTTGTGATGCTGTTGCGATACCGCATCGTGCATATTGCCAGACGGAGAGACCGATGGCATCATTGAGTGATCATAACCTGCAGAGTTGTGTGATGATGGTGTGAAAGACGTCGGTTGCTGCGGATGTGAAGTTGCAGCAAGCATTGGCCCAGTATTGCGTGTAGAAGGCGAAGTGTGCTCTTCCTGGATGCCTTCAAATTGCAGATGGCCTCTTCCTTGATGAGGCGGGCTCATAGATGATGTCGACAGACGTTGCGATTGGTGAGGGCGCGACGTGTGTCGTATGGCAGAAATAACTGGTTGGGGATAAGCAGTGGCAAAGATGGAATGGGGAGCTGCCTCCGGCAAGCTCTGGCGGATTGGATCATATATCATGTTTCCAGGTGGTGTAGGCGCAGATGTGGGAATGCTGGACTGATGTGGTTGCGTAGTACCGTGATGGCCAGACTGGGTAGCATGCATGTTCTGGTACATGAGCGTGAGGCTGGAATTTGGTGAGTTTGTCGTGCCCGTAAGAGACCAAGCTATTGGCGGCATGTTGGGCGTTGATGGATGCGGGAACCGCCCGCCGATCGAGCCTCGCCGAGGTAGCCGGGCGCTCTCGTACTCTTCGTTGGTGTACGTCTCACAATCCCATATCCCCTTTGACTTCTGATCAAGAGCCGTCAGGATGTACTTGACGCCGCCCCAGTATTTATGCAGTTGCTGCAGGCTCTTGTAGCAACGAGAGTAATTCTGGTTGGCAGCTGATGCTAAGAGAGTGTGCTTTGTAGACATCCTTTGCTCATGCGAGGACGGTTTTTGTCTCTGGCCCTCCATCTTTGGTTCATTTGGTGGGGATGTTTCTCTCGACGTGGGGTTTGATGCGTTCGCAATAGACTCCATGAGGAAAGCGCACGCAGCGATGTACATGGGCTGGGATGTGAACGGGTTTCCTATGAAGCTCTTGGGGTCGATGAGCTCTGCAAAGGCGAGAATATCGGCAATCGTTTTGGCGCTGGACATGGAAAGCTCGCGGCTATTAGGGAGAAGTTGATGCGTGCTCCTTAATGAGCCAAATGGCGTGAGCAGAGTAGGTTGGTGCAGGATAATGATGAGCGCATGGAACCAGAAGTGAAGAAGAATGAAGTTCGTTCCCTGTCCCAGTTTCAAGTACGTCTTGAAGTTAGAGACGCTGAAGTGTAGCCGGGGATCTTGCTTTTGGTAGAGCTTCGTTAGCTCATGCTCCATCCGCGAAAGCTTTGCCCACTTCTCCGATGTAAGGTCGTTTGCGTTGCGAATGTTGTTCAAGACGTCGGATACACGGCCGTAGAGGTGGATAATTTGGATGAAGACGGGGAAAGGCGCAGGCCAACCCGATGCCGGGTCGAGAGTCGATACTGGCAGAGCCAACTCAAAGTCATCATCACGAATGGTCACTGGTCTGCCTGTTCCAGAAGATATCACTCTGTCTAGAACGAAGACTGCCCAGAACGTGTCAGTCCGTTCTTGTTCAACTTCGAGCTGTTCTTCGCGGGTGAGACCGTTGTCGTCCTCTTGGGGACCCTCGGTCGCTCCCGCATCACTACTTGCTTGGTCTCCGTGGCGAGTATACCAAGGGTCTCTTTCTCCTTGATATATAACACCGACCATCTTCTGCAAGCCCAGGTCAACAGCCATGCGGATGGCCAGACCCAAGTACATCCACAAAGCACTGTCTTGATCTGCTCCAAAACCTTCGTATGCCATCATCAAAAGCGCCTGGACTGCACCTACTGATGGGCAAGGAAAGGTGTCAACAGTGGCAGCCTTTGCTCTGTGGGCATAGAACTGGCCTTGCTCTGCATGAGACGCCTCTTCATCTTTGCTGTGCCCGAGTTGTAACGAGTCGGAGAAACGAGCGGCCAATGCGCACACAGCATCGACAAGAATAGGCTCGACTCGCTTCTCTTTGACCATACGGACGAAGTTGTCCTCCTTCAGAAAGGGGTAGTTGCAGCCCAAATGTAAGAAGAAGGTTTTGACCAGGTGTAGAACGAGAGGGTGGACTGGCGCAGTATCGTTAGGGTCGTAAACAGGCAGGTCCTCGTCGGCAACAGCAGCCTCTTCATGCTGAGGTATGCCTGACAGAGCCATCCCCATGGACTGGACTACACTAGAACCTGAGCTGGGAGATGTAGCACCGATAGAGCCGCCAGTACTTCGCCTGCGGTCTCGTACAGACACCACCATCTGCTTGTACCCGGGAACGATGGCCGTTGGCCCGAAGTAGCGAAAGTATGGCACCCTGTGGCGCTCGGTATGGTGCGAGACAGGGGAGCGGCTCTGCGTACTGCGCGCATCGTCGGAGAAGGATGTTGTGCGAGGATGTAAAGGTCGCCCGGGTCGAGAGCTCTGGTCTTGGTCACGAGAGCTATGTTCTGACGAACGTCGCAAGAAGGTCGGCAAGTGGCCTGCGTTGGCGTCGGTGGTGTTCTCTGGCGGTTGTTCGCTTTCCGATTTGAGCCCAGAGAGACGCCGACTGCTGGCAATATTCTTTCCATGTTTCCTCTTGTCGTGGTTTCCCCCTTCTTCTTCCTGAGTGTGTTCGGCCTCGTCCTCGTCTTCCTCTCCGTCGTCGTCCTCGTCACGGTGGGGATCTCGGGTGGCGATGGCGCCACTTGAAGTTTTCTTCTCAATCACTTCATTGTACCCCAGGCAGGTGTGCCCATTCTTGGCGCAAGTCGAGCAGCTGGGGCGCTCGCCGGCGCATCTCGTCTTTCGTTTGCGACAGGTCAGGCATCTGGCGAAGCCCGAGTCAGGTTAGCTTCTGCATGCGAGAAACGATTCATGGGCGGTGACATGCAGCAACTGTGCGAGCAAGGCTGCAACATGAGAAGCACTAGGGGAGCACAAGCAAAGGAGTAGACTCACGCGGCGTTGATCCTGCGTCTTTTTGATGGCGGATGGCCTTGGTTTGTGACGAAGCGGATCTGCTTAGGCGCGGGGGTCGCTCCGTTGACGATGGAGGTCATTGCGCGCAAGGTGAAGGAGCCTCTCAATAGCGACGCAGCATGATGCTGCGCTGCAGTGGGCGGAGAATGACTGGAAGGGTCAGAGAGGGGGACCAAACCAGCAAAGACATTACTGCGTACCTTAGTGACAGAACAGCAGCGGGCGCAGCAAGCAAAGCAGCGGAGAGTGATCCACGTTGGGCCTCCAAGTCAGGTCAGGCCTGGGTGGAGATGGCAGGTGTCTCCCGGCTCTGGGGGGGCAAGGGAAGTTGTAGCGGATTGCTTAAACTGGGGTGTAGCTCCCGGGGCAGAGGGCTAAGTACGGCGTGCCTTGGGGAAAGCTTGGGTTGTGCAGGATGTGAAGGGGTTCTGGTGGAGACGCAGTGCTGTAGCTCCAGATCCAGGCGGGTAGGGCTCAAGCTTCAGCTGAGGGATCGGGTGACGGAAGTCAAATGTATGTTGGATGGAAGTGGGACATGGCGGCGGGAAGTCTCATGGAAGAACGGAGATGTCTTGAGGGCTGTAGTCGTGCAATGTAGAAACATGGCCGTTTCATCCCGTCCCGAGGAGGGGGATGAAAAGAAAGTAAGTGAGTGGTGGCAACGGACGGGTTAGACCACCAACAAAGGGGGGGATGATGGGATGGGATGGGATGGGAGGGGAAAGAAAGTAGACGGGCAGAAAAAGATCAGCAACTTTGGAAGGGCTGGGCTGGTGAGTGGTGAATGGTGACTGGGCAATGTGGCAGATGAGTAGCGAAGGCAACCGAGAAAGGAGGTGACGAAGACGAGCGAGGAAGAAAGAGGGGGGGATGTTGGAGGCACTAAGGGATGAAGGCGGTCGGGAGAGGCGCAGACCGTAGCTAGACGACGATGTTGATGCGTACGGAGTGGTGGGAGTAGGTAATGGCGTAGGTAGGTATGGACGCTGTGCGTCGTCAATGGAACTTGTCTCGTCTTGTCTTAGATTGGCATCGGAGGGCGGCGGAACGGGTTGTGTGGTGGTTACGGTGCTTTGGACGGAATTTCGGGAGAGCGATCGTATGGTGGACTGGACTGGTGGATTGGTGGACAGTTGGACAATTGGTGTTCGGGGAAGACGGGGAAAAGGATCGGGGGGGCAAAGTGGGATGGTGGGAGACGCAGGATGCAGTGTGGACCAGGGTCCTGTCGGGTCGGGGGAGAAGCAGAGGGAAATCATCCACTAAGTGCTTCCATCCGTTGTACTCTGTACCTTATGTTGTACGAAGTTCGGATACCTCAAGTTAAGGCATTATGTTGTAATTCGTAGGAGAAATTTATGCCATTTCGAGGGGCCTTTCCCGACGACCTAATTAAACTACCTACCTGACCTTAAGTATCTCATCCAAAGAAGGAAAGAGCTTTCTTCGAGAAAGGTTCCTGCCTCATCACAATGTACAGTGACCATACCTAGACAACTGCACCTTCCTGCACTCAGCAATTCCGAAGCAATGGAAGGTACGGAAAATTGGGTCCGTCATCCGTCAAGTCGGCATCCGCATGATCATCTCTCCTTCCACATCTTCGGGTCCATTCTTGCATTCCATTCTCAGGAAGGGTGAAGTGAGGGGCTGCTGGCACTGGGCAGAGAAGGTATAAGTGAGCGCTTTGCCAATGGCTGAGCAATCTGCTCAAAACACTCCGTAATACAGGGAATCTCGCATGGGCATAGCCTCGTGTGTTTGGTCAGGAAGATTACCAAGTAAGGCCTCGTGAGTGAAGTTGAGAACTGACCGAAATTGCCCCATGCACCGTCCAAACCTACCTCTCCTCTCTGACTCTCAAGTCTCAACCTGCCCTCCACCGAGTCCCACCGCTTGCACAAGTCGGACTTATCGGTGAAGAGCACGAGACTATTGGAAAGAGGCTGTCGAGAAGCTTCGTCTCGGAGTGTATCGCTTGAGGCAGTTCCTCCCATGCCTACGTTGAAGCTCTTTCCCACCCCCGCCTTGCTTTTGACTCTATCCGATGCGTCGGCCCGGCACTTGCCCAGATCACATCTCAGAACACGCACGTTCGAAGAACTCCCTCACCTCTCTCTCTCTTTCATGTTGCCAACCCCATACTACCAAACGCACTCGTCGAACCTTTCGTATCCCCCATCTATTGCCCAAGGATCGCCACTCATCCCCCCCCCCCCCCTTGATGTGGTATCTATCCCATTCGACCATGCCTCAGAAAAGTGAAAACCCGGGCGATTTGTCTCACCTACACGAAATATCCAACCAGACTTACTCAGACTCATGCCGGTATCCCCTCACCCCTCCTTGTCCACACACCACAAAGGCAATAATAGTGACCCGCTTTACCCCAGATCCCCGAGGCCCGCGTCAGCCCACTTGAGCCCTCGGGAACCACGGGAAGCCCGCGCGGCCTGGGTGGCACCAGTGACGGCACTATTGAAGAACAAAGACTGGGCGGTACTCAGTAAACACGCACCTGGTCTCTTCGTCGGGAGAAGAAGCCTTATCGTACGTATACTGGCATTCGAACTGTAAACGAGGCGCCTCAAGTAGTTGAGTGAAAGTGACTTTGATTAACGCCTACTACAAGGTTATGATATCGTAAAATCTCAGATAAACTCCATGTCCCGCAAGCACACATGCCGCTCCGGCTCCCTTTGGAACTGCTTTCTCATGTCCGACCTCAAAAGAACCGGTAGCGCCGAAACCATCGCCATGTTACCGTAGGCCCCCCCGGGCCCCCATAAGATTTTTTTTTTGTGTAAACCACACCTCCTTGATATGCCTGTCTTTGCTCATTACGTCAAGTCTCATCAATGACTCCCTACTATATAACGGCGGCGACTGGGGATGCCTACGCATCTAAAGGGACATGTCGTCGCGCCTCTTTAACCAAAGACAATCGTGACGCCCATGTCCTCGCTGACCCGCCTCCACAAATCGGCTCCCTTGCCGAGCCGTTGACCGGGCGTGGACATTCCAATGGCATGGTCTTCGTACGCGGCATGGTCGTCAATCATATCTGCTCGTCTCCAAACCTCTTGCGCAATTGTCCAGGCGCGCTGAATGTTCGTCATGCCCTGCCGGCGTTCAACGGCTACAAAAGCCTGTCGGGCTAATTGCCGGTCGCTCGGGCTGATGGCTTCGCATGCTGCCACGAACAGTGGCCACAAAAGAGCCGCCATGGGCCCGGCGTGATTGACTGTGGCAGCGCAGTGGCTTAGTGCCGCGTGTGTATGATGTTGCACAAGATGGTGCCGCCTCGGGTAACCGTAGATGCTGCGATAGAGATACACAAACGCAGAGTGGCGGTAGGCGAGGGCATTGTTGAGGATCGAATGCAGACGAGCACGCTCGGAAACGACATCAGACTCATCTGAGCTCAAATCGTCCATCGTGTCAGCTGAGAAGCCCGGGGGGAAGCTCGGCTGCCACTGCTTAAGTGCGTGCTCAATTGCGTCCGAAGTGGTCTCAAATTCGGAGCGCAGGACGGCAACCTTGGTGAGCTGGCCATTGGTGATGGCTGTCTGCAACTCAGTCTTGAGGGCAAGGAGATTTGAAAGGCGGTGAATGATAGGCCAGAGAGTTGTAGAGAAACCGAGTAACGTATCGACAGAATTGAGAGGCGATGTAGTAGGAGAGTCAACCGGTGGGAAGGGTATGAGACAGCCTGTCGCTGGTGCGGTGGAGAGGGGAGCCGTGCCAAAGGAGAGTGCAGCAATAACGTCGTAGAATCGGAATGCCTGGTAAGGGGGTCAGCCGGAGTGCTAGACAGATAGAGGTTTGGGAAACCTACGCGTTCAAGGAAGGCTGTGGTTGGGTCAGTGTTGTCACTGCTACCACTCATAATTGCAATGGCACCCTTGAGATGGCCATCGACGATATTGGACCGGCCCTGCTGCACAAGCTATTGATCGGTCAGCCAAAGGTGTCTCGACGTTGTCAGAAGCAAAAACACTTACTACTTCGTAATATACGAGCAACATGATCGTGGCCAGAAGCTCGTTCTTATTTGCTTCCCCGCCAAGCTCAATCAACCGAGCCAAGCCCTGGATGGCCTGGTTGTGGAAATATACCGCCTTTTCTTCCGCATGACCACAGCCTCTATTCTCCAAGTGTGCACTCGCGAGCGCATAAATAGCGTTTGTGACAGTCTTGCTGCTGTGACACAGCGGTAGCACGAGCTGTTGGAATGGGTTTCCGGCTTCCGTCTCTCGCAGCACTATGAGGTGTGACATAACGTTGGTGAAGTGGTCAACTAGTGCCCGTCGGTTCGGCCGTTCCGAAAACTCGGAGAACGTAGGGAACAGGAACTCAAGACGCGGCGAAGCCACCGGAACAGGCGCGATCATGGCTAGATCTGGGTGGCGCTGTGCCCGTGTGACTGCAAGATTTTGAACCGCATCCTGCTGGATAGAGCGACGGCATACAATTTCCTCATCTGCATCTTCCAGCGAAAGATTGAAAGCGACAGAATCAACCGGAGAAATCAGCGGAGCGTCGTCTTTGTCATGGTGCAGGCCGAACATCTTCTTGAAGTCGTAAGCCAGCGGATCGGCGCTGTCTTCCGGCTCCTCTAGAATGGCCTCCTCCACCGCTCCATCGTCTTCGTCATCCAGAGCCTCCTCCTTCCAGCGTCTAATGGTAGCATCGGGGGCCGAGTATCGTCGAATAAGGGCGCTTCCGCTCGTGAGAGATGATGAGTCGGAACCGAAACCGGCGATCGAGTCACGCTTCTTGCGTTGTCGAGGCTTAACTGGTTCGTAGGAGCACTCCTGACCACGCTCGGCGCATCGAGAGCACTGCGGGCGGGATTCGTCGCATTTCTTTTTCTGCAGGCGGAAAATTTACAGTTAGAACCGTTCCACAGGTCACTAAGAGGGCCACTGTCGTGATCCGATGAGAGGTGATTCCTTGAAATGGGAGGCCCGTACCTTTTCTTTGCTATTCAACGAAGTCAGTTAGGAGCTTGAAACATCAAATTGGAGAGGGGGTTGTTGGGGTTGACTCACCAATAAGTACATCCTGCATGAAGCGAATGAGTTCATGTCAGAGATCGGCTCGAATTATGACCAGTGAAGGGAAGTGTGTCATGGCGGGATAAAAGGGTGCGAGATCTGGGGCAACATCACGGAGCCATTCGAGCGGCAATAGGGAAGCGTGATCGGGTAGCGAATTGGCCCAAACGAGAACCACTTGACTGGCGGGGGCGGGAGGAAACAAAGCGGAGGCAAAGGGCAGAGGAGTGTTTGGGCATCGACTCACCTGATCTGGATCGTCTCTTGGGAGCCTTTGGCGGGGCGAGTTTGGTATATAGCAACATGATGCTCACGAGCTGGAATCTGCGGCGCGCACAGGCATGGCGGTTCTCGAGATTGTCGGAGTTGTGTTTCTCTCAAAAGATGTGGTATATGGACGAAGTTGCCCTACACCTACATCACGCACGGAGAGAAGGGAGAAGGCCTACCGTAAGAGTGTGTGGACCGAGGCTACTTGGCCTAGAAGACGAACGAAGACAGGCTTTCACGATGTCGGGGAGGGTTCCGCAGTAATAGGTGACGGTCGGGGGCAGCGGGCGCAAGGTGGTGCTGGTTTTGCTGGTGGTGCCTTGTGGGATGGAGGGGTGAATAAGGAAGGTAGAGTGAGAAGCTCGTGGGGACTGGAGTACGGCGACCAAGTCCGTGTAGTGGGTGTCTTCCCTCGTCTCTCTTTTTTCCCTTGCCTCCGTTCCAGCCTAACAATGCTCCTTGCCTTTTGCTTAAGAATCGATTTGTCGGTCTAGTGCCGAGGGTAAACGGGGTTGAACGAGGAAAGCTTTTCTCTCTTTCTGGGTTCTTGTTCTCGCCCTTTTTCGACGGGGCCGCGAGCTTGGGAAGACCAGGGGCCGGGGGCCGATGCGCTGAGGTGAGGACCGGATTCGTATTGTTGGTCCGTTCTCTTAGGGTGTGGGGAATGGGGAATGGAGGTGGTGCCTCTCTGGAGACTGGAGCAGACCGGCGAGATATGGGGAATTCGGAGAGGGCGGAGAAGGAGAAGGAGAAGAAGAAGAGTCGAAAGGGCACTCGTGCGAGTCAAGCAAGATGTCGGGCAAGAGCTAGTTCAAATAGCATGGAAAGAAAGGAGGCAGAGTCCGAGACGGCGAGAAACTTCAAGAGGCAAATGGGCAAAGGGGCTCGTTCAGCCAGGCGTTTTTGGCGATTTTTCTCCAACAAAGCCCACCCCAAAAGCACCCAGAATGGGCCCAAGGTCAAGGTCGAATCCCAAGTCGCGTTGGCGTACCGGGCGAGTACCCAGCGGTGCCAGCCAGGCCCGCCGCCCAAGAGCCGGTGACGGCGGCGTCCTTCCCAATGCTGACAAGGCCGCTGCCATCACGCACATCGTGACCAAGAGATCCTGGGAGGCTAAGATGTGCTAGAAGCAGAAAGGTGGAGAAATCTGCGGGGTTACAGCGGCGATTCCTGGTGCGGAGATGGGTGTCACAATCTCGGTCGACATGTCTGCAGCCCGTTGCTCCAGTCCGGTCTCGATGGTGGTGCACTGGTATCTGTGCCTGTTCTCCGTTGGTGGTATGTAGTTGTTGTGAAGGTGAGTCCCTTTCTCTCTGTCTGTGTGTATGGTCACTGGTAGCCGTAGGGAAGACTTTCCCTGCGAGGTGTGAGCGAGAGCAACGCCTGGAGAGGGTGCACAGGTACACCACTGTAGGTACGCACACTTGTTTGGATGTTGGAGTAAAGGGGGGAGCTGCCCCATGACAAGGTAGATGCTGGTTGGTAATAATTTGTTAATGTGTTCGTGAGGGGATGGCATCTGAGCCAGGGAGCCTTCAAGGAGTGCTGCCTCGTAGTGTCCAAGTACTCTCTCGAGCCCAGCTAAACCACGGTGAGTTGCAATGCAATGTTGCGCTGTGACGGTTCGACCACGATGCTGCCAATTTCTTTCTTCAAATTCCGTCCTGCCATAGTCTTGTCAACTCAGAGAGCCGAGTTCATCGCCCGGTACTGGGCCAAGGTGACCTGTCGCTGCAAGGCATCTGCCACAGCTGCCATGCCGCGCCCCCGGGATTTGACTGCCATTGTGTCGAATGTCCGATGCCAGCTGCCAAAAGCGCGTCTTTTGCCAACCACCGGAAGCCGAATAGAGCAGAAATAGAACAGAATGAGAAGGTGGCGTGGCATAGCGTTCTTCGTAAAGTTCGTATACGGTCATCCCAGCTAGAAAGGAAGCTAAGGCGACGCTTCTGCTGCTTCTAAGCTCCGGCTAGTCGCTGAATCTGCCACAACTGCTCCGGCTTGCGAACGGCTCTGCAGTCTTCTGCCGCATTCCTTTCGGTAGCGAGCCAGAAACGTCATGCCTCCTTGTTGACGGTCAATGGTTGCCCGTCTGCCTTGCCACCATTGCCTGAGGCCTGATGATGTTCACAACTCCCTTGCAGGTCAGGTCTTGCAGACCTCGATTGCGGTTGGACGAATACCATCGGTACCTGTGATTTGGACCCTGCAGCATCCGGCAAAGTTTAAATGGCGTAGTCGTTCAGACGGCTCGGAACTCTGAATCTTGCTGGCTTGGGCTCCGCATAAGCATTGCTGTAATTGGAGACTGGCACGACTGATTGTCTCCGTAGGGTCGCCAGGGCTGCGGCTGCGTTGATTAATTGGGCTGGAGAGGAATGAATCGAGTCACTTGACTCTGTTGGTCAATCCACCAATCGAACCGAGCTGTGTCCTTCATCAGTCTGCCAGCGGAACCGAGATGGTCACTGCTCACTTCATTTCCCATGAGCCGTGATTGTTTTGGAACAAGGGGGCCTTGAACTGGCTGGCAGCCTGTATTTACTCGGCCTTCACTGTGACATTGTCGAGCACCTATTGTCATCTATCGGGTATTATCGAGCGCATGACGGCAATCAGCGATGGCAGTTGGTCTGAATGCCGAGACCGATGTGAGGGTACCAAGCCCTGCATGTATCCCCAATGGCCCTGCTGCTTTTTGCCTCTTTTTTCATTGAATGCAAGCATTTGACGAGCACGACGAGGTACACGCTTGTGACGACACGACTCGAGCGCTATGTTAGCTCGGGACATTAGCTGTGGTTGGGACACCACAGACACAACCACACACGCACACACACACACACACCCCCATAATCCTAGAGGTAGGCCGCCAAGTGATGAAGAAGGTTTTCTTCCCCGCATTCTCCGAGAGCTCAACCGCCGTTGATCCGTCCAAGCCATGGGGTAGCGTGCCTGGAGTCTGGAGATGACACAGACTAAGTATGGTGGTGACGGTGTTCTCGACTGCTTCCAGCCGCTTCCCAGCCGGGCAACATTCAGAGTCCCAGACGGGCCTCGTGTCTCCGATGCTACCACATGGCGCAGGATGGGATGGGTGCCAGGTAATAGGTGACGGAGAAGAGACGGGCTGACGGGACTCTGGGTGCGGGTTACGACGCTTGCTAGTGGCAGGATGAAGAGGTTGTCGGTGAGGGGAGCGACTTGAGCGGTCAGGGTGATCTCTTTGAACGTCTTGCCTGCCTCAGCTCTCGTGCTTGCTAGGCGCCATGTATGCCTTAAGGGGACAGAAGACAAAGTCGCCATGTCCAGCAAGGCGGAAGTCTCGAGTCCCGTACTTGAGCTGTACCAAGATGTATCTTGTTGGTTGCAAGTGCCCAAAGGGACGGTGGTAGGCATGTACTTTGCTAGTGCCTATGGTTTGGTAAAACCTGGCAGTGTACTCCGTACTCCATAGGCATTGCATTCTTCGAGACTGGAAAGCTGCCGTTTCCCGTGCCCTGTCAGGCACTGCTCACTTTTGTACGAAGTAACCGTATGGAGTACGAATACACAACAAGCACAGGGCAGAGTTTGGCTCGTCTCTTTGGCGAAAGACAGAAGCGAAGATGAAAGATGAGACGAATCCGGGGAAGGTCTCCTAAAGCAGAATTTGTAGCGGTTGATCAGCGGAGCGTCCTGTCGATATTCTGGGGCCTCTGGAAGGGAGCGTCGGGCTGCGGGCAACCGGCGAGAGCATCCAGCGTGAATGGAGATGAGGGCTGGGCGGCGGGTCGCAAAGAAACCCCAAGGGACCAAAGCCCACCTCCGGCGGACGATTCGACTCCACGAGCCCACCGAAAAGGTGAGGTTCCCGCCGACGGTGTTTCCCACGCGCTGTCCAATCGCATTGGGCATTGACAACCAAGACTGAGCAAAGAGCAAAAGTTCTGCCCTCTTTTTCGCCATTCTTCCGTCGATATTGCTGTGGAGTTGTTCCTCGCCAAGGGCTGAGACTTGGTCCTTGTTAGGTAAGGGGAGGAGAAGTGTTTCTCCTAGGGTTGCCTTCTATCACGAGAGTCTATCCGCATGATTCTGCAGGTCCTAGCCTGAGGCTGCCAGGAAGTCTGGTGGTGGGGGGCAAGGCAAGCACGGTGAAATTGCTCGTCCTCGCTCCTTCTGTTGCTGTCAGTCACGGCTGTCTGGCACCAACTAACCAATCGACACCGCAGGTGCATGAAGATCAAACATTGCGGAAAGTGCGAGCAATACATACGGGCAGGCACACAGGAAACGGGAAGCACACGTGGAAGGGAAGCCCGCACCTGCATCCGTGTGGCGTGTCCGCTGCTCTTTCCTGCTCTTTGGGTGTCACTGATCAGTACCTCACTCCGTTTGCTTCAGGCAAATGGGTACCTTAGCCTGAGTGCCAGATCGAGGCAGGCGTTGTGACTTTTGCTGTGTGCTTGTCGCGCCTACGCCTTGTCCACGCCTTCCTCGCTCGTTCCCATCGGTGATCACGCCGATCTTCTCCCCTTCTACCTTCAGTGCAGGCACGCAGTTTATGTTCCTTCCGTTGGAACTTAGACCACCGTCCATATGGAAAGACCAGGGGATGGGCTTTTCTTTCATTCTCCACAGCTACTGCCATGCCGTTGTGCCTGATATGATTTATTAATAGTCAGCGAGTACGTGCCTCCTCCGGCACCGAGGCCGTGTCGAGCGTACCTGCACGGAAGAAATCAAGCCAGCAACTTGCCTTCTGCATCTTCACTGCCGCGAAGAGCAAAGGGGAAACCATTTCGAGCATCAGTCTCTCTCAAGCTCGTTCACGGATAGGAAATTCTCACCAAGCATCAGAATTTGATCCGCCGCCTGGATTCCAAGGTCCTCCCTGATACCAGGCAGTCGTCATGCCGTTTTCTTCGTGCCACCACATATCCGGTGAATCTGCTTCGGTTCCTGTTCTGAAAACTCGGTGGGCTCTTGATCGAATGATATCACTGTTCCAAATGGCCAAGTTTTCATCTGATGAAGAAAATAGATCCGAGTGGATGGTTCGCTCGTTTGCAACTTTCTTTTTTCGTCCCATGTCCTGCATCATCCAAACGCCAGGTCCGTGCCAGAGGCAGTCAACTTCAGCCGTTGCTTGCCTCGAGCAGCCACAGCTCACCTTTCTCAAGTTGAAGCAATCTAAATGTGGCGGATACCCCCGATTACGATAGTTGCAAGTCTGCAACACAACATCTTCGCCATCTTCTGTGCAGCCCTCGAAGCTTCACAACAGCACTCGCTCGCTACCTTGGCACTGGCTTCGCTCACAACGTTGGCCTTGCTTCTCAGACCCGGTCGGCGCCTGGGGTGCCGATAGTTCGTGAGACACGGGAAATCTGCAAGCATCAGCATGGGGGTCCAAATCCATGTCTTGCTTCTGTTTTCTGGAATATGCAGCGATCCTTGCGGCTCGGATATTGACTAGCCCATTCAAAGCCACTGGTTCGCTCTCAAGAGTCTTTTCGAGGCTACATCGCTTGTCGAGGGCTTCGACTACCTGCGGCTCCATCGAGTGATGATTCGCCTTGCCGGATATCTTCACAAATAGATATTGTGGAAATCTGCATATGTCCCACCAAGAAGTCTGAGCCGCGGGAGAGAAGCAGTAGAGTGAATGCTCGTCACTGCGGACGTAACAAATCTCGTTCGATACTGTTGGTCGTTGGTTATGGAAGCGCTGGCGTTGGCTCAGTGTCGCATTCACTCGGAAACAGCCCCCAAAGACGACCAAGGACGGAACGCCTTGCAGACAGCAACTCCAAATATGCGCATCGCCAACATGTTGCCCACTCGCATCTACGTCCCGCGGGCTCCTCCAGCGACAAGCCGCTACTTTGCATGCTTGCTGCCCAGCCCTTTTTCTTTGAGCTGCCGCTCCTGTTGGCTCCTTGTCGTTGACTTGCAGCTCACACTTTCGTCTCATTGGTGGCCTTCGACATTCTCACCACACGATGCCCACTCTGGACGGTAAGACAGGCATTGTCGTGCCGCATCACCGCATACAGTGTCCGACCAGGTCGTCAGCTGCTTCTTCTCTATTCGCCCCTTGAGTCTGAGACCAGCGGTGCCCAGCATACTCGCAGCAGTGGCGGTGATCAAGAGCAACCAGAGAAAGCGCCATTTCTCAAATACCCTTCCACCCTAGTCTTCCTACATGTTGCTATCGTGGCTTCTCAGAGGCTTTTACCGTTCTTTACTCTCGTCCCATTGGGAGAGATTCACCCCTCGCTTCTCCCGTCGTGGGCAAGTCCGTTATCCAGAGTGCTGACACTCTGACAAAAAAGCCACTTTCGAAATCCCATCATCCCAAAGATGCCCCCGTGGAGCCAGCTGCGAGCCACGGCCCTCCCATCACACATGCCCACAGTCTAGGGATTCGTCCATTCCCCTCCCAAACAGTCCATGATCGCCCCCTTTTCTTCCATCTTCATCTGCATCCACCCGCTGTCGGGTCGATCATACCTGACGGAAAGAAGACAGGCACGTACGCGCGGTGTTGATTTCAACTGTACGCCCCTAGCACGAGCTATACGGCTGAAGCGTTTTCAAGTTGATGATATACGTATTGTTTAATCACTTTCTCGTCTGCTTCGCTCCTCAGCCCTACTGCTGTGCCTCCGATCGCCGATTCTTCTATCGCGGGGTGTGGCTGCTTGTGGTTCTGCGGTGCTGTGCTGTACACCCGCTCAGCCCCCCATACACACTTGCAGTTGGGTCATCTCGATCCTCCGCGCTCCTCAAGGCACCAGGATAACTTACCCTCTTCACAACCCACCCGGCAGCTCACCAAGTCACCCAAGTCGGACGATCTTCGAAACGCTCCTTACATCGCCGCCGATCTCTCGAAAACCTCAAGACTATCGCTCATTCTATCACTCACGCCCGAGACTGTCGACAAAACGCTCGCAGACCCGGAGAATCATAGATGATCGGCTGATTCCGGAGTCCCGTTGTACCACTCAACACCTGTGCTAATTTATTCGATCATCGCCACTATGAGGGTGATTGCTTGCTCGCTCTGCGTGCTATACCTAGGGGTCGACTTGTTAGGTGGGGTAGTAGAGGGGGCGGATTTCAAGAGACGAGATGGGGTGCATCGTCTGGAGAAGGCGCACGTCACAGTCTTTCACGATCTTAATCGAAGGGGCACAACGACTTGCGCGACCGGATACTCTTCCTGCGCGTCAAGCTTGGGTGGAGACTGTTGCGCATCAGGCTATGCATGCGCGACGGATTCTTGCTACGCGACCACAAGTGCACCGCAGACCTGCGCAGGAAAGTCTGGATACTACCAGTGTGATCCAGTCGTGGGTAGTGAGTTGATTCGGATCAGAGCCCTTCTTGTATAGTGAACTGACGCAGTTTGTTCAGCCGGCTGTTGCCCAGAAGGATATATGTGTGAAAGAGGTTCAAACTGCGTTCCGGCGTCTGGAGTAATGTACTCTCAGTCATGTCCGGCGAGTTACTACTTATGCCCAGCTAGCTTGAGCTACGGCTGCTGTCGAGACGGACTCGGCTGCGCTGTGAGCGCTTGCTACTCGACAGAGCCCTCAACTGTTACGGAGACGACGACGATCACTACGACGAACAATGCCGCGCAGGCAATAACCACGACAGTTACCGCTACTGCTGTACTGACACCCTCGAGACCTACCACGGCACCAATAGTAGCGACAGGGGCAAGCGATCCGGACCAAGTTGTGTTCAAGTACTATCCAAGCACCGTTCCCAAAGAGCAACCTATCCCGAGCAGCGACGACAGCAGTGATGGACTGACCTCGGGACAAATCGCGGGTATCGTGGCTGGAGGAGTTGGCCTGCTCATCATTGTGCTGGTGACAGCGTGGATCATCATTCGTCACCTCAACAAGGTTGTCCAGGCAGTCGAGACGAGCAACAAGGGAACTTCCTCTGGGGCCAAGTCACGTCCCTCGATGTATGAGTTCAAACCAACCCCGTCAGAGGTTGATGATTTGAGCATAGACCCGCTCATGATGTCTCCTCGACCATCACACCGCAGGCATGATTCTGATACGACCGTCGACTTCACACCTCCGTATCGTGGTACTCCAGGCTCTATCGGCGACTATCAGGCAGTGCCGCAAGGCTCGGGATCCGATCGACACGCCAGCTACGACTCGGCATACACAGGGGGCTACTTCGATGTCGCGCCAGACAGAAGTCAGCGCGCCAGCCAGGGGTCGAGCGCGTGGATCGGTTTACATCGTGGAAGTACGGATTCACAAGGAACCTACGCGCACCTTCGCCACTGGAGCAATGCCAGCGAAGCAAGCAGTGATCACGGGAGCGCGGGCACTCGAACGCCACTCCAAGAGCTTGACTCTACGCCGTACGTACCAGAGTTGGCTGCCACACCCGTACCAGATGCTACCGCAGAGACGCGTCGCCGGTCAGGGAGTGGCTTATCGGGCATGAGTCGGCCGCCTGCCGTCCATCAGCGGAGAAGGAGTAGTGAAGGCGGTCACGGCAGAACGAGGAGTGATAGTTCTGCGCCGGCTGGGCTGAGTGTCGTGAACGAGGCTTCAGAGCTCATCGGCCATTACGGCCCGACGGATCGAGCGAACGGCCAGACGTCGAACGGAAAGTGAAGCTATGATCAGTCCGTCGCATTTCTGTCGACAATCTCTGATGTTGACCACATCCCGGCGCAGGAGCTCGTCAACTCGGTACTGCGGAATGAGTCACAGTATGAGGCTTTCAAATAAACACAAAATTTGGAGTTGGAGACGGTATCAGACTAGGTTGTCTGGCGCCGCAGGACTGGGGACGATTCCATCTATCATTTGGCTTTCTTTTCTCTGTCAATCGGTCTAGACATGGCCGATCTGGTGGTACTATGTCCTACACGACCTGATGGGTCTTCGTGGCTTTGGCGGAGAGGCAGCTTCATCACCATGGGAGTTCGAGATTACTTCTCTGGAGGTAGAGGTCGGTTGCTTCTCGATCAAAGCTCGTGACTCGATAATCCCTTCTGTGGAAGGAATGAAGGAAACGGAGGATGGTCGGTGACCGCTCAGGGCTGGGGAATATGATAGAGAGCGGATGGCGTTTCCAACGGCAAAGGATTTGATGCCAATTGATGAACCTTGCCGCGTCAAAGCTGCGGAAAGGTGGGCTTACTCTGGCGCAAAGTGTTTGGTTTTACTTCTGCTCCGTCAAAATACATGATACCTTTTTTTCCTTTACTTTGTAAACCCGTCCTGAGTATTCCGGCTGCCCGCTTCATCTTGCTTCCCACGCGTTATCCAAGGCATATACGGAGGTAATATCCTCGATGGGTGGTAAGAGAAGGAGGTGTGATATCAATGCGAGTTGCAGGTATTTGGGATCTTGAGACTTTAATGACGGGTTGTGGTTATTAGTATCGCCTTTGGCGGAATGTGAGGGCCTGTGAAAAAGACCAGGCGGAGCAATTGTCGTCTACGGTATCTCTGAAGCGAGGGTTCTGTGCCATGAGTATCAACACTAACGTCAAAGGAGCAAGAGTAAGAGACGATGCCAGATTCATCTGCACGACCAGCGGCTCCGGTGCTTTACCTGCGGGGTATAGAGAAGTAATACAAAACCAGCGTCCAAGTAACCCAAGTCCCAAGCTTTTCCCTCGGGGGACATCATCGCGAGACTGGAGGCTCGTCGGAAGAGAAGAGAGGTTCCAATGCTTAGATGGGCTCGGGAAGAGGCGAACGCGAGGCTTGGCTGACGATGCATGGTTCCCCCCATTCTATACCTACTGTCGATCATATCTGATGAGATGGTTACCCACATCAACCTGCTCGTCGGGGAAACACACTCTCTCGCTTGAGAGTCGTTTCTAAGGCGGCATGCGAAGGTGGGGAGGCGGGGAGACAGCTCTCCCGCGGATCAAAGCATATCGGCTCTTCGGGAACTCGCACAGAGCCCAAATTCCATTGAAAGAGAATCCTCATGTTTCTGCTTCCGTGGATTTGTCTCGGGACAGACTCCTCCGTCAATCAGATGCGGCCTTGATCAACCCCTTGGAAGTTGGACAGACGCACGTTGCCTTAGACGGAGCGTTAGTCCGTACCGGGTGTACGTGCGGGGGAAGTGCATGGTTTGTGGTTCGAGGCTAGGGGAAAGCGGTGGAGGAGGAGGAGGAGGAGGAGGAGGAGGATGAGCGGGGGAAACAAGCTGGGGATGGAATGGGGTTAAGATTGAGAGGGCACGAATTTGCTTCGCGGAGATTTGATGTCCGAAGAAATATTCTGGGGAAGCTGGTGAGGGGGAGATGGAAACCTGGAAGACACGAGAGAGAAATATCACAGCCGGGTCAAATGAGCTTGCTTAGGAGGAGGACCGATATACTTGTTGTTGCTATCCACGCTTGCGCTAAGTAGATGAACTCGAAGCCGTGATCGGTATCGATGAAGTGCCTATCTGGGCCGCAAGATCAGGGCGGTCCGGGAGAGGCAGCATGTGGACTATCCTTAAGATACTGCGATATCGATAGGGATTTCAAGCAAGAGATTGTCTGTAGACAAACCCTCCTATATGTGAGCTGGTTCGTGGCGTTGCCATACCATTTGATTCTTCCACGCCCTGGACATCTTGGCTTGAGGCACAAGATTCTTACTGCCCGTCCTGGTGTGCAGAACCTTCAAGTTCAGGCATCACAAGAGTAGAAGCGGGGGCGGGATTGAGACGAGCGACATGACTGGACGGCTTAACCAATCTTCCAAGATACACGCGTATCTTTCTGAGGATTTAAACCTGGGGGGCGAATAGGCAGGGGTTGACACCGGCCAACGGTGAACAGAGCAGTGAGCTTCACGATTGCGACAACGTGCTTCTGTCGCCAAGCCTCATGAGGGTTGCTAGGACTCGGAAGACTAATCTACTTTCCTCGTTCACCGAGAGAAGCCCACCTCGCTTGTGGGCTGGCAGAGGCTGTCATAGTCTACGAACACACGTGCTACTAGAGCCTGGGTCAACGACCGGGAGGTGAACATGTGCCCTGAACGAAGTGAAAAGTTGGCTTTAGCTTCTCCCTCTCGTTTCTTTGTGTTTTCGCAACTCGGCGAGCCGGAGATGGGATGTGTGGGCTTCTTGCTTGACCTTAGGCTGTAAACGGGAATGATGCGCCGATGGGGGCTAGCCTTATTGATGGAGTTGAGCCAGGGGACAGAGAAGATCGAGTCGCGACCGGGGAGGAGGACGAGAGTCTAAATACTTGAATTATCAAAAGTCTTCGGCTGCCTATTAGGTGTCAATGCCCTGGGAGTTCAATAATAGTTCCTGACTGGCAACATCTGGCCTGTCAGCCACGTGCTCCTACAGAAGGAAGGTCAATCAAAACAACATAACGGCCTTCCTTGCAAAGTAAGGAGAAATAATGATGCTTAAAAAGCTCGAGAGAAAAAAGAAGGAAAAATCGGGAACGGTGGAAATTGGGAAGCTTAGTCCAGCAAAAGGCCCCAGCCGGCGCGGGACCAACGAACCAACCTCCACCCATCTCATCGGGCACGCCCCCCAATGCTCCAGCTGCCTCTTTCGGTGAAGCGGGCTACTCTACGGAGGTGCGTCTCAATAGTCCTTGCAGTCGCTGCCAAGCCCCAGACCCACAATTACTGCCCATCTGAACCAATAAGAGCCTAGGGATTGATCTTGACCCACTTTACTTACTTTCCCCCCAGCACTGCCCATAGCAACGATTTTACCCCATACACCGCCATTACGATACTACCACTAATCCTACGATAATATCAAAACCGCCAAATCGCTACTTACTACGCTGCTCTTTTTTCCTCAGTATGGATCCTGAGATGCCGACAAAGAAGAAGCTAGATCCAGGCGTCAGGGCAGTGATTCTTGCTCTACGAAGTCGACTTGTTGGGTGGACTGCTGAACAGGTCTCTCAGGCTCTAGAAATTCCAGTTCGAACTGTTTACGACGTTCTTGCCCGCGCAAAAAAGAACGGATTCGACCCAACTGCTCCTACCTTCTCGATTGAGCCCGCCCATTACGAAGATGCCCCCCGAAGTGGCCGTCCAACCAAACAGACGAAAGAGGTCAACGATGCCGTCATCCGCAAGGTCTGCCGCGACCGGTATGGGCGTGAAAAGAACTGTACTGATATTGCTGGGGACCTATTAAGGGACGAGGGCGTTGACGTATCTGCAATGACTGTTTGGCGAATCCTTCGTCGCTATGGCTTCCACAAGACCAAACCAACCCGCAAGCCAGGCTTAACGAAAAGGATGCGGCAAGAGCGACTTAAGTGGTGCCTCGACCACCAATACTGGACCCTCGACGATTGGAAGCGGGTTGTATGGTCAGACGAGACCGCGGTTGCCCTCAACCACCGCCGCGGTAGCTATAAGCTCTGGCGTCGCCCAGACGAGGCCTACTCTAGGCAGTGCATACGAGAGAGGTGGAAGGGTTATTCCGAATTCATGTTTTGGGGGTCTTTCTCATACGATTCGAAAGGGCCGTGCCACTGTTGGATTCCCGAGACTGCTGCTGAGAGGAAGGCTGCCGACGCAGTGATTACCGAGCTTAACGCAGAGCTCGAGCCCGTTCGACGTCAACAGTGGGAGCTCGAGAGTGGTATGGAGCGAATGGGCTTACGGAACCAACCGGGCCGTAAGCCCCAATTCAATTGGAATGCGAAGTCGGGCAAGTTAATACGGAACGGCAAGGGCGGAATTGACTGGTACAGATACCGCAAAGAGATCCTATTACCCAAATTATTCCCTTATATCAAAGGATTACCTGGTAATCCAATCGTACAAGAGGACAAGGCACCCGCTCACGACCATCACTTCACCCACTATACGTACAGCCTTTTCGAGATTACGAAGCTTCTCTGGCCGGGTAATTCGCCCGACCTCAATCCCATTGAACCTTGCTGGCCGTGGATGAAGAGATGGACCACCAGGAAGGGGGCGCCTTCGTCACGGGCCGAAGCAGTACGTCGCTGGCAAGAGTGCTGGAAAGCATTACCGCAAGAGGAGATCCAGAAATGGATAGAAAGGGTACCTCACCACATCCAACAGATAATTGCCCTAGAGGGCGGCAATGAATACAAAGAGGGTCGTCGGGCTGGATTATACCGTCAAACGACCACTAATTGACCTCAATTGACGACTTTTTACCGCTGAATTGACGATAATTACAGTGGGTGGAAGTGGCCGAATTCTGCCGCTTGTACACACCCTAGCCAGCCCCTTGTCGACTCCCCTGTCTATGGCAGGGGTTGGTCTTGGCAGCAACTGCAAGGACTATTGAGACGCACCTCCGTACTCGTATGAGGATTCCCCCTGTTGATTAGCTTTTGGCTCTCGCCGCTTCTCGCTCTCTTAGTGTCCGTAGTTATCGATGATGGCCCAGCCGATGACTCGAGGCGTGCCGGCTTGGTATCTGTAGTCTGTACGGAGTAGGCGATGGAGGATTGGCGATGATAACAGATAAAGAGGAAGTTGAATTTACCTTGCTCAACGGCCAGCGCCGATGAGATCGAGCGGCGCGTTCCTGGCGCCGTTTGGACCGTTGGGAAAAGAGAGAGACTACGCTGTTTTCGTTGCTGATAGCTTGCCTCCGGCTCGGGAATGGCGCCGCCAGGTTGACCGGC